CCTCATCTCTGTAGTTATCAATATCTTTTTCAGAAAAATTTACAAAAAATTTATTTTCTGTTCAAAAAAACATATTTCTGTTCTGTAGTGTTGTATTTTATAAGATATTGATGCAAACACATTTTATATTACCATCTGTCTAACAATGAACCACCTAACCTGCAGGAGCATAATATTTGACATACCTATCCCCAGAAAGAGATAGTACTTTCTTGTATTATGCCTTTACTTTAATAAATTCTATTACTACTCTGAAATTCTATCTACCTACCTATTCTCTTCTTATTGTTTAACATTCTGGTAAAGAATTTCAGTGTCACGAACATATTGTTTAATACAATACAAGGTTACAGTATGCTTCAAGGGTTATCTATTGACGTACATAGAATCTACTAAATGTACTCACAAAAGCTAGTACTTAATATGATAATGAATTCCAGTAGATTACTAGTACTTGTAATTGGTTGTAGATCAGTCTGTATACAAATATACAATATGTTTAAAGGAGATGTCTGAGATATATTTCAGTGAGTAAAAGTACTTGTCAATACTCAAATAGCTATCCGCTGCTCTGTGTCCAGTTGCCACTTTAAGCTGATTTAGCAATTACCCTGTGCTTGGAGGAACCTGCCTATAACATGAAGCTACACATTGACAAATTCCCATATTTTAAAATATTTTTATTGTTTTCTATTAATTTTGCTGATTAATGCAATGGTTTCATAACCTTTTGACAGAGTTAACAGATAGTATTTAAAAGTTACATTTATCAGGTCATTAAATACAAAATTGGAACGTGCTAGAGTCGATTTGTAGCATATCTGACCCACGGTATATGTTTGACACTTGTTAAGCATTATGATTACAATGTTGAAAACCGCATTGAAACCGCATGAATTTTGCCAATAGCAAAAAAACTCAAGGGGGGGCAAAAATTCAAAACCATGATGCAAAGCTTGTCATTGCGTACCTTTAACTTAGCCCCTATCTGTTTTGGCATTTATTTCGGAACAGATCATTATATTGAGCTTATAATTTCAGACATTGTAAATAGTCTTTCTCTTCACATTTTGACATTTCCTGTGCATTCTTAAGCTTTTCTTTACGAGACTCAGTGAAAACTGTAACTTCTCCATAAAGAATTGCTTTTACAGTTTGTAATTCCAATAAGATAAACATGACCATATATCTGTTGTACTTTTGGGATACGGGGTTGGATGGTCGAATGTTTAGCACGGGCGTGCTGTATCATAAGGCCTGTCATTGAGTCAACTGGCGTGGTTTCGAATCCCCGGTTGTACGTGACAAGAAGTAGGGTCGCCTGTCGAACCTCGTGGGTTTTTCTCCAGGTCCTCCAGTTTCCTCCCTCTGCTAACAACCCCTACGCGCAAGCGTATTATTGAAATAAAATTAAACCATATGTTAGTCCCAAAATTAAATAGTTTGCATCGAGTGGAAGTCAAACCTCATTTCTCTCTCTCTCTCACTTTTGGGATAAAAACAAATCCTTAATGCAATTGAATATTGTCTCTTGCAATTGGATTGTCAGTTTGAATCCTCTGTGATCTACTAAAAATAATACTGCAGGTACATAACAAACAAGATAGATATTTAACCCAGGATCTTTAATATTTTCATTAATTTTATATCTTCTATTTATACAACTATACATCACAGAATCTTTCTAATAGTTGAAATATTTTCCAATTGTATGGCTGGCAACTGTAAGTTTTCTTTTAAATAAAAAAGTGTTAGCCACTTTTTACAACTCTGTGTAAAAGCTGAAAAATGTCTGACTCTATGTCTTGTGAATTTCACCCAGGATTAGATTGCGTTTGCAAAAAGTTCCAATATCTGCAGCACATTGCCTTTGACCACAACACCACCTATGCCCCTTCAATTTAAAATAAGAAGAGCTAATATATTAGTCATTTTCTTGTGAGGTAAGAGTGATTTATTTTTTTATTATTATTTCTTTTAAATGGCTAATTATTATTCATATTGTAGAAGAGAAGAAGGGTCAGTTTGAGTTGTTTATATATCAACAAACCATTCATTACCATATAACAATGTCATTGTGTTAAATGTTTATCACTGAAATTGACCATAAATACAGAAGTACAATAAAAGTTTGTTAGCTTTGTGAATTCCAAAAATGAGAAATGTATTAGTGTAGTGTCAAGTAGGATCACATTTCCTTAATCAATATTAGAGGCACTGTTTCTCTGTACAAATGATAAGTGTTTCAACTGATTCAGCAGCACCAACAAAATAATTCATTTTGGCGATTTAATACTATCTTAATTTTATAAGATCCCAATTCTGTATTTGTAATAAAACATATCACAGAAGGTATAATAATTCCATATTTCAATTATCTCATGCTCAGGATAGATCAAATGTTTATTCTGTGTATGATAAAAGTAATGAGTGAATAAGTATGTACATGTACATAAAGAGAAAGTCTATAATACCATGTATAGTACCAGGTTTAGGGTGTGATAAGCATAGATTAGGAAAGATAAGTTGTTAATAAAGCTCATAGTAAGTAAAATAGAAGAACACAGTAGGGATATCATCAGGTATACTTGTTAATAACCACAGGGGTGGTATAAGTAACAATATTTACCCAAAATCCTAAATACTTTATATTGACACTTGTGGGTGTGAATAACATTATACCTAGAATTATACTACTTGTCAATCTGTAAGGTTTCACAAGCTTCTTCATTTTACACCTTTTCATTTTACAAAGGAAACTTACATGTACTCTACATTCATGTAAAAAAAAAGATTTGGATATTTGTGAATCTTAAAAAATTTGGCTTCACATTTCAGTGATTTTTTTTTTTGCCTCAAATTAGCACAATTTATATCTAGTGTTGATATTTTCTAATACAAACTCCACAGGGGAGTTTTTGAGATCTCATTTGATGTGGAGGAAAGTATAATCCTATTGAAATTGTTTTGTGCAATGATTAAACATTGAAACATTGTACATACAAAAGCTAAATCTGCCTATTGCAAATCTTTCTTTGAGCCTTATATTTTATATAATCAACTCTTGATGCCATCGGATTGCTCCGATTTTAAATAGATTAAAATGGATAGGCCATTTAATGATAAACTTTAGTGCTTTGTGGAATCACATAGCACTTGGTGCATGTAAATATTGACTTCCCCAGTTCTCCGAGAAAAGTGATGTTTTTATACATTGCGTTTTGTTAATCATTTTTGAAATCACAGCAAATTACTACTTGTTAAACTGCCTCAACGTCGAATTGCCTGAGTCAAAGAACTAGTATATGGTCTTGGAATAGTTTGCAGCTGCTCATGTGACTCAGGGCAGTTTTGAGGTGCCAGAGAGGGTAGTAGTTTTGGACTGTCTAAGTTAAGTAATCTTATACCTGAACAAACTTATATTACAAATACTTCCTTCTATATAGAATAACAAATTTACAAACAATATTTATATTAGCTTTGTATAATGCTATTGTATTCTGCTTCATTCAACTTCTGCTTTATTGTATAAGCTCAAGGTCAAGAATAAAGAGACCAACTCTCCTTTTATAACTATTTTTAAAATAGAAAGACAACTTTAGAATTAGAATTATTTGATGAATTGAGCAGAAGTTGCCTATTTCAAGATTATTTTTGTGAATGAATTCAGCTAGTGTGTCTCGTTTTCTTGGTCTTCAGGTCTTAACAAGAAAAATAAAAACATGTCCAGCTGTTAAAAAAAAATATTTCAAAAGAATCTTTTATCAAAGGAAAAATGACCTTGAAGTAGGGTAACTTTTATTTTGATAAGGTGCAAAAATTTTTGAAAAGATTTGAATAGTTGACTATTTGAACGATTATTTTTGTGAATGAAAACGGTCTTGTGTGTATTGTTTCTTTCTTTTCATGTGTTGAACAGACTTGAACCCAAGATGTCGGTTCCACGCTAGAGCATGACACATTTTGTTGACTCGTTGTTTTAGAAATTGTTTGAATAAATTTGCTGAGGCACAATAAAACATCAATACCTGTAAATGGTAAATTTGTTTTGTCATGGTTGTTTTATTTTGAAAGATCTCCGTTAGTTATTTTGTGTTGGCCTGAAGCCAGTGTGACTAGAATAGAGTTAAAATAATGATATGATGAATAGATAAAGTTAGATGTGATTACAATCAGGTAGGCAATACTAGGTCACCAAAGTGAACACATGACTTCATTTTCTCAAATAAAACTAAAAAAAAAAGAATTATGAGGAATTAAAAATTCTGGGTTTGCTGTCAGATGTTGTATCATTCCTAACTTAGCATGACTTCCTTTCTTATCAGTTATTTGTTATCAAGTTTTTTTACTTTGAAGATGGTTAGCCGAGAAAGTTAAAGTGCGAGTGGAGATAAATTATTTATAATGGTGAAAGTGTGATAAACTGGGTTCAGGGTGGATCATGGGCCTTTGAAAAGCCGTTTTTACCTGAAGTCAGTCAACAGTCCAATACACCAGCACAGACTATTACTGGCTCTTCAACAAGAGGATTTGAGACACTGTGTCAAGCCCATCTGTCTTTTAAACCTAACAGGTCACATTTCGTCCATTTGTAGCTAGAACATGCCTGTTGAATAGGAGGTAACAGGAGCTGTAGAATAAAACTAGATACTGCTTGATATAGAGTAACCTGTTTGTAACACACCTGGATAACAGAATACTAATCGTGTTAATATAATCGCAAGATATAAGATCGTATAAGTGCTCTTAATATTGTTTGAACTGTAAGATTTGTGTCGACGACTAAACAACTTTGTCGTCGTAATCGTAAACAAATGAATGATTATATGGCTGTGTGTCGTTTAATGTATGAATATGCATCATGGAGTCTCGACTACATAAATTACCGATAGACCAGTTAAACAGTTTATAAGCCGTTCTGTATATTAGTACATGGATAAACACCTGTTTGTTAATCTTTTAAAAGTTTGTGTTAACTGGTTTGCATTATGATCTGTTAACGAACTTCCCATCTAAGTCGTGTGGAGTGTCCACCTTAATCCTAGATCATTGGTCAACCCTACATGTGAAGGGTGTCTCCCTTTGTTAAAGGATCTCTGTATTATATAAGAGGGTTTCACGCCTGCCTGCACTTGCTACAAAACCAACAGGTAAAATAATAACTACACTGAAAGACTGATACAAGGCCCGACACCAAGGAGGTAGCTGATAAAACATTTTACAACTTCCAAGGTGGATTTTGGATGTCAGATTGTGATTTATGCTAGTTCTGGTCAAGTGGTATAATGGTTATTTTCAAACCTTGATTTAGTCAGTGATGGGGATAGCTGGGTTGTAATTTAACTCTCTATTTGTATTTATTGAAAGACCTAATACAGTCCTCAATTACAGTTCATTGGAGCAAACCTTGCAATAGGTGGTATTTTACAAGGGTGGAATCTAGTACTGCCTGTTACTTTTGACAATTGACTGTCTTTTGTCGGTGAATAATAGTTACACTTTCTCCTTTATTAATGGATAGTATTGGGGTTGTTGTATTGTGAAAAGTAGAGTTAAAGAAGGCATTTTGTGTCAAATTATTCATGTTGTCTTAAAGGTGAGATACAGACTTGACAGCTCCTGTCATTCATGATGGTTTTATGTCTTCTAGTATCGTGACATGTTGTTGCATGTTAAACCTACAGATAGAACTTTCATTTTCCTTTCTCATGACATAACATTACAAATAGAACTATGTAAAACGTTCACAGGTGTGCCATAAGGCAGATATCAACAGTTATACCTTGTGACAGAATTCAGTTTATTTAACGACCAGCCACAGGTGTAATAGGGTTCATTGTAGACACACACAGGCTAACAAACCACAACAAGAAAGAAAGGACAAAAACTGAGATATATTCATTTAAATGGTTAATGTGTTGGGAAAATTTACTTTATTTTGTGAGCCGTGTGTTCAAGTGATTAAAGAAAGGAGTGAAAATCTAGAGGTAAGGAGATTGTCTTGTTGACAGGTGGATGAGTGAAGGATTTACTTCATTATACACTCGGCATACCTGATACTCTTACTCGATGGCCAGTATACCTGGTCAGTCTTTCATGTCTTCATATAGCTATTAATGGTCACTTAATGCACTCATCAGATAATATTTCTACAGAAAAAGATATGAAGAGACTTAAAGTGACCAATTCAGGTCAATCAGACCAACAAAACGTGAAATCTACTATAGGTGGCTATTTTCAAAATGGGAGTAATAATGGAAGTGAATTTAAACATTCAAATGGATCAGATTTAAACAGTACTGAAACTAAAAACGGGAATGGAAAGCCACTCGACAAGTTCACATCAGAAAGTGAGAGAGAAAAACAGGTTGTGTCTCCATCTTTGATGAGACGCAGGCGGCGATTAGATAGAAACAGTGATGCACTACACGAATTTTATAAACATGCAGAGAATATTAGAAATGGTATTGCACGTTCAGAAGATAATCTGGCAGGTTTTCAGGACAAACCAAAAGAGTTAGATCAGTTTGATCGAAGTGTTTCAACAACTCAAATAACACCAGAGTCTTTCAAACCAGAAAATCAGTTAAAAATGACTTCAGATCAACACAGGCATAATGAGGAAAAACAGAGTCAACCATTGGCAAAATCAAGGGTTAGAAAAAGAGATAGCATGGAAACGGATTCAGAACATCATCAGAAGTTAAGTAGAAAAGGGAGCAGGGAAAGTATGAGTGGTAGGGCAACTCCAACACATGGAGAAACGGACAAACATCAGCGGTTAAATCGGAGGACCAGTAAGGAAAATTTAAGTGGTAGAGAAACTCCAACATTCAGAGATTTTCAGCGTCAGTTTAGTAACGAATCTCATAGACATTCTTATAGAGGAAGCTGTGATAGTTTAACCAATCGTGTTAATACACGCCGTTCGTTTCGGGGAAGTAGTGACGGTTTGAGTAGAAAGACTAACTCAGGTAGAGAAACACCAGAATTGTATGCACCAACATTTCAAAAACGCGAAAGTTATGATAAACCGTGGTTAATTCATACGGGTCGAACATCGCCATCACCAACGAAACAAAAAGTTTCTCGTAAGGCCAGTTTAGATGAAAAACGGAGAAGTATGGAATCTCCAGTGCCTTCACAACCTTATACTCCTGATTTACACAAGCGAGAAACTTATGAGAAACCATGGCAATCAAAGCCAGTTTCTAGAAAAACAAGCATGGAAAGACAAAATTCTGTTGGCTCAACTGGCTTACATAGAACCAACAGTGAAACAAAATTACGTCGTTCTAGTAGCGGGACGCCAAAACGTAAAGATAATTCAGAGCGCCATCCAGATCAGTTGCGTATAGGATGTACCTCGTGTATGAGACGTCATGAAATGCAACAGGCGTGTGAATTTCCATATAATAAATGGAGTTGGAATGAAAGTCATGATTCTATGTGTAGTTTAGAAAGTTATAGATATGAACCGCAAGATGATCAGCTAGATTTAGAGAAACTTTTAACTGCTTTACATTCATGTGACAAGGATTTGGGTGAGATTAATGTTCACAAAAAGGTGAGTAAATTGGAACATTTATCGTAATATTTTATGTCAGGTTGAATGGATATTTGAACAGAATTCAAACATCGACAGTTGATCGCGTTCTTTCTGTAAAAAAAAAAAATACCTATCTAACAATACGGTGCTAGTTGTTGACAGTTCTAAGTATGGATAAACAGCCTTATCTGTGTCCAAAACAATGGCTTTAATATGACAGAAGTTGGCAATGACAGAAATTATTTTAGGTTTTGGCTTTGGCTTTCTGTGGTGTCTTGGTTACTCTGTCACTTGTGGAGGTATTTGTATTTCATATTTGTCTAAGGACCATGATCATGTTCAAATGCCATCTTAATACAGCAACAACAAATACCATCACTTTTCACTTCTAATTAGACACTTGTAATGTGACATATATTTACCTGGTTTTTAACCTTCAAAACACCCTACATTTTCTAATGTCAAACACAGATTACCTTTTAAATCAAAGGTCAGTAAAGTTGGATAAATTTGGTGCATTAATATAATTTATGGACTTCTTTGATAGAGCTTCACTGTTAATTTATGGTTAAGCATTGCCATACACAAATATTGTATAGCAATGAATATTCCATACATATTCACAGCAAATATTTTATAACCATTTCGTGACAAAGTAAATGTATTTAAGTTATGTCATGTTTTAAAAACAGATATCATGCTTAATAGTTTTTAACAAAATTTAGTGCTAAATTAGAGAAAAAATTCTGTCATTAATTTCTTTTTATCATTTAAAACTGAAGTAGATTATTATGTTCATTTAGAAACTGTCCTCTGGGAACAAATATATAAACAATTATTTAGTATGCCACAGAAAAACAGTGGGCAAATTGCCAGGGTATCCAGACAACTCATCCCAAAGACCACTTGGCCCAAAAGCAGACCACTCGTCCCAAGTTTTAGAAGACCACTCATCCCACAATAGTTGCCAGGGCTGTATATAGTCATATCTAACACATCCGCATGTAAAAATTTTATTGCAGTATGTCGATACATCTAAAAGATTATATTGATAGTTTTCAGCATTTATTGTATTTTGAAAAGAGAATATTGAATGGTTCAGAATACCATATGTTTACAAAATGGAGTGATTGTGGTGTTTGTTGATTGTGACAACTGTTACCTTGTACTAAATCACAGTTGGTTTACCTGGTCCTCATAACTTACTATTACCTAGAAACAATCCATTGTTCACACCATCATTGTAGTTAACCATGTAACATTTATCTTAGCTAGAAACCAAAGACCCAATTATTTTGACATTGATGCATGCTTCAGAGACTGAAAATTATTTAACAAATATTTAAAAATATGCGATTTGAACAGGGTTCTACCTTTAAAACAAGTATTTAATCAACACTTATAGCATATCTGCTGGGTGGAAGACTCTTTAGGAAATAAAAATATTGAATCTTAAATTGTCATCATGCCTTTCCTGGACACCTTTTATAATAAAACTATATAATAGCTTCATAGGTATACATATTTGACATTACACTTAAAAAGAACAGTTAAAACTCAGTGAAGTGTGACATATTGGTGTGGTGTTACCTGAAGACAATAAAAGTATTGGATGGGTTGTAATGATTGTTTGCCTCTTGCCCTGTAGGCAAATTTTAACATTAATGAATGTTGCTAGTTGGTTGTGGCAGGGTTTGTTTTATAAATTTCGAATGTAATTAATTGAGACTATGTGATAGACTATAAAGGGTTTAACTAATGTCAGTCTAAGTAATTACCGGTATATCTGACTTTTTTGTAAGTTGGTTGAAAGTGGTTTAAGTAAATGAATATGTCCATTTGCAGGCAGAACTGGCAAGGATAAAAAAACGATGTCCCCAAGTACATATCAATGTGTGCATCTGAAAGAATTTGATATAAGGGTAGACTGTATTGTTGTCCGAGCAAAATTTCCCATATAGCACACTGCATGATGTATACTTATCCCAGTCGGTGCATAAAAGTAATTCGTTAAACTGCATTTTATTTCAATTCATTTCATAGCCTATAACAAGTTTTGCAAGCCTGGAAATACATTGAAGACACTTGTATGTGGTAATGCTAGGGGAAATCCATATGGAGATTGTAATTTTGTCCAACACAGAATGGCCTTTTTTCTGTGTCTATACAGATCTTTATACATCCAGCACAAAGTTAAACATGGCAGGTATAACTTTAATAGCACCCGCCAGACTTTTGTGAAAAATAACTAAATATCTATTTCTACTTTAGACTGGTCAGTCAGAATGGACACACATTGCTGTACACCTAAATCTTTATAATGCCTGACAGTTATATATTGAATATAATTAGTGGTCTGAACAAAAACCTTCTGCCAGGATAATCTTATTCTTTCATTCTTTTCAATTTTTGTATACATTGCAGTCCATGAGAGTTTTAGATAGATAAAAGGCAAGCAAAGATTGATAACACAGAGGGTTTGAAATATTTTGATTGAAATAAGTAGAAATCAAAGTAACCAATAAGGAATGATATTATTTAAATGGATGACTTGAGAAATTGTTGACCTCGAGAAATGTTGACTCTCAGATTGGTGTATAAGATGTATGTAAATAGAAAGTAGATTTGTTCAACACCAATATACACTTTCTTCAAACACTTCCTTTCACCTTTTAAACTACAATAGAATAACCCTTATTAACATTAAGAGCATCTAAAGGCCATCCATTTGGATGAAATTCGATGGATAACCTTAATTTATAAAATAAAGTAGTTTATTGTGTTGAATAGAAAAATAACTAGGCTTGGTCAGTAACATACTGAAGATTCTTCGTCGCCTACATGAGTACATTATGTTGAAATGAAACCTGGGACCACCTAACCACTTCTGTCCCTCTATTAAGTTATCATATTTACACAGATAAATGAATGTTTATATATTAATATTGGTAAGGATAGCCTGCCTACTAACTTCTGCTGTGCTTTTATTATGAGGAATTTATTTACAGGGTGGTCGAGTAGTTTAATATGTGCAGAGGGGGGTTGGATGGCTGAATGGTTAGCGTGCGCGCGCTGTATCATAAAGTCTGTCATTGAGTCGACTGGTGTGGTTTCGAATCCCCGGTTGTACGTGACAAGGAGTAGGGTCGCCTGTCCGACCTCGTGGGTTTTCTCCGGGTCCTCCGGTTTCCTCCCACAGCTAAAGACCCCTATGCGCAAGCGAATTATTGAAATAAAATTGAACCATATGTTAATCCCGAAATGACCTAGTTTGTGTCGAGTGGACGTTAAAACCTATTTCTCTCTCTCTTTTAATATGTGCAGTTCAGATCATTAGGTCTGTTATCGAGTCCATTGACATGGTTTTGATTTCAGATTTGTATGTGACAAAGACTAGGATCGCTTGCCATACCTTGTGAGTTTTCTCTGAGTCCTCCGTTTTTCTCCCACTGGCTCAGGACCTGCAAATTATTTAAATAAACTGGTCTCGAAATGATCTAATTTGTGTTGGGTGGACTCTTTATGACCACAGAAAGAGCAACATTTATAAGAATGATTAACATCTAATGAGGAATAAATTGATATTCAATGTTTGTGAAACCTCCAGATCAATTGATCATTGTCTCTAAAACACATTTATAATGACTGAATGCATGAATGAATTGATATTCTTTACATGACATATCCAATATATTATGAACTTAAACATTGTCGGAAGAGTATAATAAGGTACAAACATCCATCAAAGCAATTTAGATGAATGAATGGGTATCAACAAATCAATGAATGACTAGAGAATATAGTCAAAGTCAGTGTGGCTGAAAACTGTATTGTGTAGGGTATTGTTTATGTTTGGATCTGAAACTACTTCAATTTCTTCTGATTATTAAACTGTAAAGAGTTATAATATACAGGTTTGAAGTCATACAAGTTTCTGGTAGCTTTCCTACAGTTACTCTTTACACTGTATACACTGTTATAAATAACTTTGTGACAAGTATTTTTTATTATCTTTTTTTGTTGTGTTGTGTGTGCAGTTTGATCGCATGGCCTATCAGTTTAATACAAAAAAAAATCACAACCAGGCTTTTCCTGGAAGTACAACATATTGTTTTAAAGACAGCTTGAGCTACACAATAGAGCTTAATCAGTTAAAAATGCAAAATGTGTGTTATAAAGAAATGAAACCTCTTTATCAGGAATGAGAAATTGACAATAAATTATTAAGCAAATCATTGCATAAAGTATCTATATTGTTCAACCATTGTCAGACACTGATAAACTAGTACCAGGCATTTTGAACTTTGTACCGGACATGTATTACAAATTTCATTGAAAACACTAATTCTCTATTCTTTGACACATAGAATTGGACACAAATGGGTTGCAATGCAATCGTTTCTGTTTTTACTGTAATTTCTAATCGGTTATGTACGGCGAAATATGCGAAGTGTTCAAATTAAATGACAGTCTTTGGTGTCTGGTTATTCCAGTCTACACTGGTTATGTTCTCCTCTGGGATACTTTTAGCCCCGTTCATAGTGTCGCTTCATTACAAATGGAGCTCGATAGCATTCTGACATGCGATTCGTGTGCCAATTTTAAAATTTTCATTTTTCTTAAAAATGGGATATCAGAAGGCAATCTTTTCACGGTTGATTTAAATTGACCAATAAGTCGTGTTTTCAATATCGAAGACTGTAGATGATATTGAGTTAAAGGCTTGGCTACTTTAAGTTACAAATTGATGCTAGACGGATTTGCAGACACCAGAGAGATTGTGCCTGACAAAACCTGAATTTGTGTCTCACAATGCCAGTGATGGGTACCTTATTTACAGGTTTAGACTAATTGAAAATATTGTAATAGTTTGATATTTATGGAAGCATGGTAGTTGTTTTCAGATGTTTTATGTAGTCAGCAGGGAGTGATTTATGTTGACTAACCAATAGTAGTAAAAAATATGTGGCTGTAGTTAGCCGGGATTTTTTGTTATAGGTTGACTTTCTTTAACTGTGATGTTTTTGTAGTTAAATGTCATGTAGTGTGGATGGATCAAAGTAAACTAGTGGAGTAGAACACTAGTTACATGCTAGTTCAAAGATATAATATCATATAAAAACACTAATAAATGACAGCAGAATAATAATAGGTTATCTTGACAGTTTAGAAATATGGTCTATTGATATTCTTTTTTTTTAAAAATTGCACATCTATACTACTGTATAAGGGTTATATATCTTAACCTTGAAACTGTAAAAATAAAAATTAATAGATATCAGTTGGAGTACCATATTGTATAATATTTATGTAGACTGATTTGTCACTTAAAAGATATGCTAAAGCGCCAAATAAAGTACAATATCAAACTATGACAATTGATAATTGGGGTTTGTGGTATATTTCCAAAGAATTGCTATCATAAAAAAAAAATCAACAAAAATATACACTAAAATCAAAATCAACAATTGGCTTTTTGACCTAAATTAAAGAAGGTTAAAACATGAATGAACTGGTATTAAATACTATACATTACTACCTGCTTGTATTGTTATATATTTGTATTCAATTCTATTTGTACAGCATGTATATAATTGTTCAAAGATATACATTATAAAAATGATATATTGAGACAAGTGGTTGACAGTTGTCATTCTCTTCAGGCTATATTCTGAGGTATTTCAAGTGTGCTTTGATTGACAAATGATTTGTTAAAATCTACAATACAATACAGCTTACTTATTGTTACATAACAATCTAAAATGTTTACAAGGTTAGAGTTTATGTCAAGGATATGTTCAAGTTGAGAACCTGTGTAGGAACATCTATACTGTGAATTGCTTAACTTGTATAACAAGTATTAAAGTATTTCTAATCATATGCTTGTCTTGTTCCTCACATGTCTTGGATTCTTTTTTCAACACCAAATTCCATTGGCAGATAATATGGATTTCATATTGACTAATAACAAACAGCAACAAAGAAATCAAATGTGACATAAATGTGAAGAATTGAGAATTGAGACTAGTTTAGATCTTAGATACAAAATCAGTATGCAAGATAATTTTTATCTAGTATTCTGCACACTGCACTTTGTAATTGAATTAAAACACAAAAAAAAAACATGGTATGGCAATGACTTGGGGTAATCTATTGGAGCATGAGTTAGACCTAAATGCAGTAATTATCAAATTTCCCAATAGTGTGATTTAAATATAGTTTCTTATTACTGACACACATATCTTAAAGAAAGATTGTGTATGCCCTTGAGCATTAGGGAAATTTTAAGAGAAAAAAATATTTATCAATTTTACAGCCCTGAATATTTGCATACATGTAACACTTGTGCTTATTTCAAGACCTCAAGATAGGGTGAATCGTTATTTGACGTAGAAATTTAATAGAGCTATTTTTAATTGAAGGGAAGATTTACTATGTATCTTCTGTACATATATGTAAAGTAATGGCTACTTGGTTCTTATCAGAATGATAAACCGTTTAACGCTTTATATTTATTTAAGAATCATTTAATACAATCTTGTAATGGGGAGATTGGTATTTTTTACTTAATATTCTAATTTACTTTAAAGTAGTGACAGGTGTGACCAAAATTCAGTTTACATATCTAACAGATTATTTTGTTTTGTAATGTTTATCTGTTTAAAAGTAAATTAAAGCTTCGTGAAGGATACAATACAGCTTTTTATATGAAATATTGTGCATACATTTGTGAAAGTTATTGTTTTAAAGTTCACACGTTTGTAGAACAAAAACTGCCAGGTACTCATTATTATTTATCTCTTAACATATAACTTATTAATAAAACACACAAACAAATGCATATTCAAATTTGCATTAACAAAATAGATGGTTTCATAAATGATACTTCCTCATAACAAATATATATGAAACAAAAGTACATGACAGTTTATAAAAGTTGTATAGTTAAAGATACTTAGATACCTTATGGAAGATTAGATAAAGAGCTGACAGTTCTCACTATAATGGTTAAAAAGTAGATAATGTAAAGGGAATATGCTGAAAATTTCAGTCAAATTGAATTGCTTTAAGCCAAGAAAACCGTATTTTAAAGGCCTTGCATAATTTATGTTTAATTAAAGATACATTATATGGGAGATTCAATAATGAGTTGGCAGTTCTCACTATAATAGTTAAAAACTAGATAATGTAAAGGCAATTTGCTGAAAATTTCATTCAAATTGATCCACTATGAACCAAGAACTAAGCGATTGAAATTTTTGCCGCAATCATCATTACTAAAGTCATTACGATAAACAGCATAGTCTCGCTTATCCATTTAATCGTTAAATCGTGAAGGAAAGTTATGCAGTAAATCGGCTCATAATCCACTAAAGATCGCAGGCTAGCGATACCATCTAGAGTTGATTATGGTCTGGATAGGTTAATTAATGTCTAATTAATAATTTAGATAACATTTCAGGCCTAAAGAAAGACCTGCAATAGACAGATTTAGCTCTTGCATATTGTATGTTTAACCTTGCTGTCAACAAAACATTTATGCACCAAAATATCTGAACAGGGTAATTATAAAATAATTCATTTTAAGGATAAAAAAAGGGGCCATATGGTAAATGTTAGGATCTGTGATTATCGCTAACAATATTTTAAAGAATCTTTTTGTAACTTTTTGTATTGTTGAAATACCAGGGTACCATCTTTAAAATGTATCTGGAGCAGAACATGACGTAGTGTATGTATTTATTATGTAGTAAAATGTATCTTAAACAATCCGTAAAGATGTTCTGATAATGTACTGGTGTATTAATATACTCACAAAAGACCTACCTTACTCTTCTTATGCTATTCAGTATAACATAAAAAAACATAGAATACCATTCATAAACAGTTTAATGTTCCGTGATAAAAGATCATATTTACTGATGATAGACAGATTTTGACATATCTACCGTGATTAATGATATGTTTACCGTAAATTTATATAGTATAAACCTAAATCGTATTATAATAAATATTAATATCATATAGTGAAAAATTCCCAATAAACACTGTAGTAAAATTATAGTAAATAAAATACATTTAGTACATATCCTAATAAATTGCATAAAAAAAAACCAACATTATGAATGCACAATGTCCTGGGGACCTTTCTGGCAAGACTAATTCATTTCAGCACAGATAATTTGATGAAATCTTTAGTAATTAATGTACATATTTATTATTTTTACCCAGTCTACACTGTAAAGGTTAAAAGATATACTTGTGCAATAAAAAAAACCTCTTATTCGTTGTGAAAGAATTGAGAGGTTGTTAAAATCAAAGTGCACACACACTAGTCTTTGAATAAGAAAAAGTTCACAGACTACATAAACCTATGCACTGTGTTTATCTAATAGCTATTCACAAGTCTACTTAGATGCCAGATTAGGATGCTAATCTCATTGTTAATCCTAAATAAAGTATTGAAGAAAGAATCACATGGAGTTGTCAAGTGATTTACTGATTTTCACTGGAATATTTAAAAACTGATTTTCTATTTACAGGCTAAATCAGAAGATGAAGCTAAGACAGAGAAAGAATGGTTGGATGCTGAGAAAGTTTGGTTGGTGCATAAGGGTGGATTTGCTGGAGCTTACTTACTTAAACCAGATGCCAGTAATCCTCTGCCTGAAGGTAAAATACGAATTCGACTGGAAGCTAGTGGTGATGTCCTTGAAGTGGAGGAAGATGATATTGAAAAGGTGAAATATAATAAACTTAACAATACATATACTTCAATAGTTTGATGCAAATGCTAAAATTTTTCACTGATTACACTTACAAATGTGTTTATTGGTTCAGTTTCCATGATTCATTTAATAATGATTAACATTTAGACTATTGGAAGTTGCATTTCACTTTCAATCGCGCTGCTAGTTTATAAACGTAATTTGTGTTATATAAATCAAACCATACCTGCGTGACATCTCCATTTATGGTATAAGAAGCGGACGTTAAACCACCAGCTACTACACAGATCATTCATTTGTATGAATTTCTCGGTATTTAACCCTGGATTTGTTCATTATAACAACATTTATGTTATTTCCTCAAAAAAGAATATCAGTGTCAGTATCAGTAATATTAGAAAGCCTGTGCTTTCTATTAATGGGGGGGGGGGTGTTGTGTGGATGGCCGAATGGTTAGCACGTGCTCACTGTATCATAAGGTCTGTCATTGAGTCAACTGGCATGGTTTCGATTCCCTGGATGTACGTGACAAGGAGTAGAGTAAGGTCCTCTGTCCAACCTCCTGCGTTTCCCCCGGAGCCTCCGGTTTCCTCCCACTGGTAAAACACCTACGCGCAAGCAAATTATTGAAATGAAATTGAACCTGTGCTAGTCCTGAAATGACCTAGTTTGTGTAGAGTGGACTTAAATCCCATCTCTCTCTCTCTCTCTCTCTCTCTCTCTCGCTTTCTATTAATTATGAAAAATATGTGTTTGTCTGACAATCGCCACCCACTGTAAAAATTATTTAAAGTCTTTTGAATAATTTGATGTTGAATGATTAAATAATGCAATGATTTATTTTATTTTATTCAGGCAAATCCACCTCAGTTTGATCGTGCTGAGGACCTGGCATCATTACGTTACCTTAATGAATCTAGTGCTCTACATACATTACGTCAAAGGTTTGCTGGCAACCTGATACATACATATGGTGGACCTTCTCTAGTTGTTATTAACCCGATGCAATCATTGCCATTATATTCAGAAAAGGTATGAGTAGTAGGACTGTTTATTTAAGTAATTTATTTGCAGATGTACAGTGCACATTAATCATTTGAAATTAGTGTCTGAATCAAAGTAATTTGAAAAAATCTAATTTATTTTATTTTTTTGGAACGTGTCTGAATCGAAGTAATTTGAATTAATCTAATTTATTATATTTTTTTGGAACGAGTTAATCATGCCTATAATGGTGTAAACAGTTTGGATAATCTAAGTAACATTTGTATTAATGAATGTTGGTTCCAGTTTGATTCAGTATGCCCAGAAATTTGTGAGACTTGTCATTGATGTAAAATTCATGCTTTCCTTAATTCTAGCATGTTAAAGTAGTTAGGAATTTGTAAGCTATGCATATTATATGAAATTCACTAACAATAAAAATTAGTATCCCCAATCATAATGGGTAATGAAAATAACAAATTAGTTCAGTGGTATGTGGACTTAACTACTGGAACATGTCCGCCACTGCCGTTTTCGAAATTTGCACACAGGATCACGTTGTTTTTTTTTGTTTTTATCAAAACAGTGAGCGAGACAGTTTCACCCTCAGACCTTTCTTCTTTTTTTTAAATAAAGATGTCAATAATTTTTGTTATATTACAGTTAATACAGATGTTAAAAGGATGTAAACAAGAAGATATGCCACCTCATGTATTCTCTATGGCTCAGATAGCTCATCGTGAAATGTTATCAACACGACGAGATCAATCTATAATAATGATGGGACGAAGTGGTAGTGGTAAAACTACTAATGCTAAACATATCATGTCATATCTTACAATATCTGCTGGTAGTGTCAACAGTATACTTACAGGTAAATAATAGTATGTTGTACACACCTGCCAGGTGATAAATATGTATTAAAAATATTAATAATAACACAGCAAAATGGCAAATCTGTGCTGGACGAAATAACAGAAATTGTGTCTGACAAAGCTGAATTGGTACCTGACAATGTCAGTTAAAGATGGTTTATTTCCAAGCTTGATGGTATATGGTATTTAGTATGTTCTGGTACTTTTATTATTACACAATCCAGAGTTTGACATATTACGGACACTGTCATGCACAGCAGGTACACAACTATTAGCGCACACAGAATTTAATTTGGTTCAGAGATGATTAAGATTATATTCATACTGTGATACAAATCTACTTGGTGCATCCAAGCCAGTATGCTTTGTCTAAAATCGATGTGAATGCAATTTAAGAGTGCTATCTTTGTTAAAAATTAATTTTAATACTAATAATATTGATTAAAGATATGTATATAGGTATGCATTTCCAAATATTATTCAATAATGTTGATCTGTTCTATTTTCAGGGGATAAAGTTAATGCCATATCTGTTTTAACTGATGCATTTGGTAATTGTAGGACATTATTAAATACAAATGCTAGTCGCTTTACACAACTATTTACTATAGACTTTGATCACTCAGGACAAATTGCTTCAGCTTCTATACAGGTAATTAATTAAACATAGAAATGACGTTATTCTTAAATATTTAGATGTTACAACCAACACATGATAAGTCCAATTGTATGATAGCCTTTATGTTCTTCATAATCGTTTGAAACAAATTTTATGATAGCCTTTATGTTCTTCATAATCGTTTGAAACAAAATCGTTGCTATACAGCTTGACCCACCACTAATCAAATAACACATCAGATCAACGCACTAAACACTATTTATGGATAATAATTACTTGTTTATTAACATGCAACGTTTTGATGATGATACTCTCGTCTTTATCAAGCATCGTCGAAACTTTGCATGTAAATAAACCAGTATTGTTATCCATAAATAGTGTTTAGTGTGTTACTGTTCAATTACTAAATGCCACTTAAACAACATCAGATCAACCCAATTTAGTATTTTATTATTACCTAAATCAAAGGGTTTTAGGCCCTTTAAGTAACAATTGGATTACAGAAAGTGGTAGTATAGATTTTCAGATTGGAATTTAGTTACTACAATGAATATGAATTTTAAAAGTTTATATGCCATGATTTTATAATGAATTTCAATTTTTATAATTGTGTAATACAGGTATTGTAATGATATGTTTAATATTTTCAGGTTATGAATTTTGAAAAGAGTCGGGTTGTAAGGAGACCTGAAGGAGAACCAACTTTTAATATATTCTATGAAATGTTAGCTGGCTTAGATTCACAATTTAGGTAAGACAGGATATTTCTCTTATAATGTACATAACAAAATTTGACCTGTAGGAATAAATGTTTACATTTAGTCGTCACTATTAAAACTTTGGAAAGTTTCTAGTTGTTCGAGGGAGCCAGGATGTCTGGTCGTTTGGATTGGACAAAAAACCAGGTCCTGTGTATATATTGGTGTGCACGTAAAAGATCCCTTGGCAGTTGGAATTCAATATAAGAGTAGTTCATAGTACCACTGCCCTTGCAAAAGTTCTCTCATAACACACTGTATGGTGTATGCCCATCTTCATTAGCCCATTTGAAGCAGAACAGTAGGATGTTAAACCCCATTTCATTTCTAGTTATTCGGTAGGATGGAAAGTCAAGATCCTGAGTATAAATTTGCAACACAAATCAACTGACAAAACCCTTCCCAACTACATAAAAAGAAGGACCCAAATATTTAAAGATAAATACAAAACTGTCAACTTCGTTAACTTCCCAGATAAATGTGTCGGTGTGTTGATAAACTATGGTCTCCTGCATATCCGCCATGGAGACTGTAAACTCCATTATTCTAATGACATTTATTATGAAACTTCACGACAGGATTGAATAATATTTATTAAATGATTTAACATTTTTTATTCTTTATTTATTTTAGAAATGAGTTACAGTTGCAAGTTTTAAATGAAACTAATCTATTTATGACGCCATTGCAAAAGGTAAGATTTTGTTATATCTGATTTATAAGTAGACCAAATTATCAAATATGTTGGGTTAAAATGTATGATATCGCATGAGTTACAGATGATGTATAGTAATTTGATATGAGACTTACTAGTATCTCATCTTTAATTTGTTTGACATGGAATCTTTATTTGATTTTCAGAATGATGATAGACAAAAAGCTACACAGAATTGGGCTAAAGTTATTCATTCGTTTGGTTTAATTGGTGCATCAGAAGATGAATATAAAGCATTAATATCAGTTTTAGCAGCTATATATCATCTTGGTGTAGCTGGTGCTACTAAGGGTAATTAACGCAAATCATATGAATGTTATTATTAATTTAAGACGTGGATTTCAGATATTGTTTGGGCTATCAATATCTAGCTAACAATGAGAATGTTCAATTGAGAAATATATCTATTAGTCAGTTTGTGTTACAGGAAGGTCAAATATTATAATGGATTGAACATAAGTTGTGTAAAAATGAAAATATAGAATCATAAATCAAGATATGATCTTATTTCTCAGGTAATAATAATAAGGCTCAGTTTGCTCGTCCTGCAGCTGCTCAGAAAGCAGCCTCTTTACTGGGTACAACATCAGAAGAGCTGAGTAGATCTATCTTCAGTCCCCCAGGATCTTCTACTTTAACAAGAAATACATCCATGAGGTAAGATGATTTTCAATAAAACTAAACCTCAGCTGGTTATACATTTGTACTTAATGACCAAAATATCCAGGGTCAATTTCAAGAGTAATGCTTACATGGCTTGAAAGGAATATGTGTCAAATCGTTCATATGAGGAAAATATATAGTTCTGTGTATAAATTGGCATTATGTATATTAAAAGTTCTTGGTAGTTGGAATTAGAAGAACAGGAGATGGAACAAATCCATTTTTTTGGACAAATTCTCCTGGCATTGTAACAATTTCTTCTTTCACCCATTTTCTACCACAGCACAGATTGTAAACCAGGTATTTTTAGGTATTTTTTTGATGTTCACAATTTTATCTTTATGATGATGTTTTTTTTTGTTATAGGGTACCAAACGCAAATGATAAAAACAGTATTAATGGTGAAGTTACCTCCCCTGCATTAGACGCTCTAGAAGGATTTGTCATTGGTTTATATTCAGATGTATTTAATGCTGTTATTTCACTTATTAATAGGTAACTTAATTAAAACTGCTTGAACAAGGCCTATACAAAGAGTGCTATAAGGGACCGTGATGACAGCCGCTATAAACTAATACCAGCCTTGTATGCACTACTTTTAATGAGCTGTCTGTGTATATTTAAATTTGTCAAAGTAATAATTTTTAAGAACTTTGCTATCTTGGCTGATTATTTTCCATTTGTAGGCATATATACACTGAATACAAATCAATTTAAAGTAAAATTATAGATATTTTTCATGACTCGTGGTCTAAGGGGAGATAACCCTCTGAATAAATTTGTTGAACTTGACAGTCAAGCTCAAAATTATTTTAGCAGCTGTATTAGTAATATTATTCTACTATTTCAGATCCATGTCATCTAATATCAGAACTGCCAATTCCATCATTGTATTAGATAGTCCTGGTTTCCAGAATCCTGCATCTTGTGGTAGACCTGCAGCTAGTTTTGAAGATCTGTGCCAAAATTATACCCAAGAACGGTTACAGTTATTGTTTCATGATCTAACATTTACGCTACAACAAGACAGATATGCTCAGGTAAATCAACTTGGAACCAGTCACTGTGTACAAATTCACTATATCAATAGTAGAAATCAAGAAAAACTGACTATAGAAAACCGTGGTTGTTCCTCCGAAAAGTGTTCTTTAGATAGTCATCTGGTCAACTAAATCTAAAAAAGATCCTACGTAGATGATGATATCTTTACCTCAGTGGATAGAAACCAGTTATTCTTATGCAATCAATGATGATGTCATGAAATAAAACACAAGGATTGTTCGATTTATAGATATTTGGATCAATATACATTTTTATAAGACTGTTTTTTTATATTTATTATTTGTTCTGGAATATATTTATTTAAACCAGTTTGTATTTGTTATATTATAGGAAGATATAGAATGTGATTTTGATTTTGTTACAACCAGTCCAGCAGCTATGGTATCTTTATTTGATAAATCACCACAACAATCTCTGGTATGTACACTATATAATATATTATTACAGTTAAACCACATTAATCCACACATTTGCGTTCATATAAAAGATATAAGAGTTGATCGGACTAAAGAAATTCTGGACTGCTCGATCATGTCCCCCCGTTTTGGCTGAAAATTTTGTAAATGTTGACTTATAACATAAATGATCTGCAAACTTTTTGTAATATTAGTTCGTTCTGAGAATTTTCATTATCGTCAAAGCTCAATTCCCAAGCAATTAAATAATTCTTCTATTTTTCTATGTCATAAATTATCTCCACGAAGGGAAGCAGAACCAACCGGAACTCAAGATAATATAACTATCTATCTGTACTTTGGTTATCAATTTTTGCACATTAACTATAGATGTGCATTACTTGAAGGAATCCTTGATTTATTTAGTTTATGTTCAGAAATATTTTGTGGATTGAATTAAGTTATTGGTGACTTGATTGAACATTCACTTCTGACATTTCTTCATATTGTTCTTTATGTATCAGATTTCATAATAATGTTCTGTATGTATCACAGTCCATAAAAATTTTCTGTATGTATCACATTTCATAAAAATGTTCTGTATGTATCACATTCCATAAAAATGTTTTGTATCACATTTCATAATAATGTTCTGTATGTATCACATTTCATAATAATATTCTGTTTGTATCACATTGCAGCTACGATCATCAAATCAGGATTTACGAGATGCAGAGAAGAAAGGTTTATTATGGATATTGGATGAAGAAGCTATATATCCTGGTGCTACTGAAGATAGTTTTATGGAAAGATTTTTCTCTCATCATGGTGAACATCCTGTTCGACGTAAGTAAAAAATATATATAGATTTACATAGGTCAATACAAATCAACATGTATAATTGTTATCAAGATGTTAAAATATCAATTTAGTACTAGCAAGAATTTTATATGTTCATTATGAATAGGCCCCAATTAATATCAGTACACATATCTGTACTGTTATGTAACAAATAGATGAAATGAAATAAAGTTTAACTACCAACTTGGCTAATGAAATCAGGCATAAGTCATCCAGTGTTCTATGATTCACTATAAAGGAAATTTTTCCGTGGATCTATCTCAGTCGACACTGGTATAGAACTTTCAATGTCCTGGTTATGGCTCGCATAACAAAACGAAATACACATCTATCAAATCCAACACTCTTCAAATTCCTGTAAAGAAATCAACAGTAATCCAAAAGTATAATAGATAATATGTGATAATTATTGTAAAGATTTTGAAAAAATGCACTTCTCCAGTTAAGGAAACAAACTTATTTTCATTTTTTTTTTGTTTCAGGAGAAAGCTTATTACGTAAAGGAGCTCCAGGTCACACATTCATACTGAATCATTTCCAAGGTACCTGTCCTGTACAATATAATGCAGCAGGCTGGTTAAAATCTTGCCGTGAAAATCCTGTATCTAGAAACTCACTTGTATTATTACAAGATTCCAAAAAGTAAGTAATTGATATCAGGATTACAAGGACAATCACAATACACATTCTAGACACAAGTCTAAATATTTTCACTAGAGTCCACTGAAAAAAAACTGCAAAGATTAATTTTGAAGTTTCTCTACTGAATATTGGCATAATTTAATCCCTGATAGGTGGCAGAGAATCCTTGCACAAATCAGATTTTGAAGTTCTTGTAATTTTCTATGCTTGAAGAAATAAACAAAATACAAAATTCTTGGAAGCTAATGGAATAAAACAGACTTTCCTACATTTGTATTCGGGGGGTTGGATGGCTGAATGGTTACTTTGGTTAGCATGTGCGCGCTGTATCATAAGGCCTGTCATTGCGTCAACTGGCGTGGTTTCGAATGCCTCGTTGTACGTGACAACGAGTAGGGTCACCTGTCCAACCTCGGGGGTTTTCTCCGGGTCCTCCGGTTTTCTCCCACTACTAAAGACCCCTACACACAAGCGAATTATTGAAATGAAATTAAACCATATGTTGGTCCCGAAATGACTTAGTTTGTGTCTAGTGGACGTTAAACCCCATTTCTCTCTCTCTCTCTCCCTAAATTTGTATTGCTTTATTATTGCTTCTCTTGATGATTTGTCCTGACTTTTTACAGATCTTAATTCTGATTCGATTTCCAAAGTAATTGTGAAACATTATTTTGAATTAAAATGTAAGTTTATTATTTGATGATACATTACAGACATAATATGAGTCAGTTATTTATGAGTGTAAAGGCACCAGTAGCTGGTATGGTCAGTGGGTCTATAGCTGGTATGGAAGGAGCATCATCATTACGTAGAGTAGGCAGCATGAGACGAACATACATGTCATCAACAGCAGGATTGAAGAAAAAATCTCTATGTCTACAAATTAAATTCCAAGTTGTAAGTTCTTAAATACTAATTGGAATTCTTTTTAGCAATTTGATAAAAAAAAGAGTAGTAAAAAAATAAAAATAGAATTATCGATTGTAAACTAGAACAATAGATGTAATATTATTCTTTTAGCAGTGAAGAACTCATTGAAGAAAAAATCCTTATGGTTTACAAATTAAATTCCAAGCTGTAAGCTTGTAATACTAATTGTAATTCATTTCAATTCATTTCATAAACCAGTGTAGTAAAAATAAAAAAATTTATCTGTTGTAAACTAGCACAGTTTATGTAATATTATTCTGTTAGCGATGAAAGATTACCAGAAGGCTTATAAAAAAGATAAACTATTGACAGTGGATAAAAATGAAAGAAATAATATATGGTTTGTTTTACAGGATTCTATAATAGAGACTATACGTAGAACTAGATGTCATTTCCTACACTGTATGGTGGCACAGAATAATGCTGGTTTGTGTGAATTAAGAGGAAATGTACAGAATGGTGATAAAACAAAAGATGAACATTTGATGAATGTGCCATTAGTTAGGTCCCAGTTACGAGGTTTTGAAATACTTGATGCCGTTAGAGTTTTTAGACAAGGTAAGAATAACCTTATTTTAAAACATAATTATCAACTTAATGATAACAGATTATTACCTGTGTGTGGAAAAATGTTTGATTGAAAAAAAAAACCCACTTTTAGAGGAAAGTTGCTATTTAAATATTATGCAAAAATATATGTATTATGTACCAGTGTGTGTATTAATTCATATAAAAGTATTATTATACCATTAGGGATCAATATGTTATCATATTCCTTGTTAAACTGTAGTATGCAATAAGTGAATTATTTTCCTGAGTCACAAATCAATAGTAATTTAATCTTTTATATAAGTTTAATGTTTAGTGCACAGTATTATACTGAATATGCTTCATTGAAAATTTCATACCAGTTAAAATATGTACTTTTAAGAGATTTCTTCTGCTTGACAAAACAGAGAACAAGAATACATAGAAAAGCAGAATGTATATTAACCAAAAAACAAACCGGTAGTGCACATGGTGCAAACAAAATGTCAAAGTTAATAAATCTGTTAACAATCAGTTATAAAGTAGATTATGTATTTGTCACTAGGTTTTCCTGATCACATGCAGTTTTCTGAATTCCGTCAGAAGTTTGAGGTATTGTTACAGCCTGATAAAAGACCTGGTAAAAATAAAGATGAGAAAAAGGTTAGTGCATGTATTTATTATATCTTGAATTAGTATATTAGAATGTATATATTTTATCATAACTTTTCTCAATAAGGTTTTCAACAATTGTTTTTTTTTTTGTTCTTTGTAAAAAAAAACATTACTGATTCTTCAGTTTGTTTATATATACTGTGCAGGAACAAATGTATTTTATCCATGTTGAGATTCTGTAGTAAAAATAATATGTCCATTTACAAAATGCTAAATCTACAAAATGTGCTAACAGCACATAAATTTAAGCGTGTGTTGAAGTTCTCTTTATTATTTTGTAAAATGATAATTTATATTTGATACAATGAAAATGCTTGAAAACAATATTGATTTATCAAATAATGAATTTGAGTTATTATGCTGATATTATAGCTGTAACATATTATTATTACTTCTCTTGATGTCAAGGCCAGGTTTATTATTATTTGTAGCCCGTCAAAAATTCCAGTCCATAACTATAATTCCTATTGATAATTACAACAGTCAGTTATAGCCCTTGATCACTTAGACAAATCTGTAGGAGTTCAAAGTTATCAACCAATTGACTTCAAATTATACATAGTGTTTATGTTCATAAGTGAAGGAAGTCTTATAATTTTCAATCATTTCATGGCACTTTATCACAGAGAAAAATCCTGTGGCCACTCAAGGAACTTAAACTGATGAATAATGTTTATGTTCGTAATTGGAGGAAGGCTAAGATTTTAACAGATTCCTGATACTTGCTAATAGAGTTGTGTCCATGATCAATTAGAAATATCTTGTGTGGGTCAAGTTTCTGAACCGATTGACTTAAATTTACATCCAGTATTTATGTTCACAAGATGAAGAAACTCCTTAATTTTCAATGATTTCCTATAACTCGAAGAACTATCAACGTTATCATCTGAATACTAGTACTGGAAGCCCAAAATTTTAAAATTAATTCTGATTAATTACTTTATGGGTTATTGCCCTTGATCGGTTTTTAATGCCTTTTCAATTCTCCCATTACCTACAAAGAATAAAGAATGACTTACCAACTGTGGCGAATATTTTGTTGCCTGGAGGGGGATCACGTGGCTAAGTGGGTAAGACGCTAGCTCGCTAGCCTGGAGGTCGGGTGTTCGATCCCTGCATTGGCCGAGAAAGTTCATCCAGATTTTCCGGCGTGGTTCTCCCTTGTCAGTGATGCAGGACGGAGGGGCTGGCAAGGAAAGCTGTCTAGTCGGTCGGATGGGACGAAAAACCGAGGTCCCGTGTACACATTGGCGTGCACGTAAAAGATCCCTTGGCAGTTTGAATTCGATATAAGAGTAGGCCGTAGTGCCGCTGTCCGGGCAAAATTTCCCTGATAGCACACTGTATGGCGTATGCCCGTCTTCATTAGCCCAGGTTAGGAGCAGAACAGTAGGACGTTAAAACCCATTTCATTTCATTTGTTGCCTGGTAACATTTTTATAACTCTAAATGGTGTGTTCAATTGACCTACTATTACTGACAAGGGTTTTCATCCACTTTCTCCCAGAGTGATATTGTGACACCATGTCTAGTCAACAGATGCTTTGGCTTGGTCAAGAATGATTTTAAAAAATCACAGTGGCTAAAATGTTCTTAGATCTTCATGTAATGTAATTAGATTGTCAAAAATTTCAATAATAGACAAAAGTTTGTTTGTATTGATGTAATTATATGTTGTTGACTGCTGTTATGTGTGGTTCAATTGTTGAGAGCAAAACATTAAGTAATATATTGATACTGCACGAGGGCGTCAGTCAGAGTGCTGTATCAAAATATTATGCAATGCCTTGCTCGAGACCAATAAAAAAAACCTGTGCTATTCAATGAAATTGTCACACAAGTTCAATAATTCATCTAGGATAAATAATGTACGATTGTTGCCCTTACATTATTTGAAATAACGACACGCCAACATAAAAGTATAACGTCACATTTGTATTTTAAGCCAAGATAGTAATTATATGAATATTGAATAATTATTATATTATTATAATATATTTCAGGCTGTAACAAATCTAATGGATTATTTGGATATTGATAAGCTGAACTATAGAATTGGTTTGAGTCAGGTAAAACATTTATTTTATCATTTACAACATCCTCATTATAAGCTACCTAGATTATAAAGTCATTAGATATAAAGATTATAGATTATAGATTATCAAATCACTATATAAAAATGACATAAGATATAAACTTCATTAGTATTAAAATATGCAGAACCAAACATATTAAAATCCGATTTTCAAATGTCCCCATATCTTAAAGCTATTTTTTTTTCACCATACTCAATTAGAGATGCTGTGACATTTTCTGTTTAATGCATTTTAATAACATGTTCCCAAATGTGTGTTAATTCTGCTGAATTTTAACAAAAACTGAGTTGTGTTTTTCATACCCACACCTGCAAGAATTTTAAACAAAGACCTTTTGATAGGCATCAAAATGCCATTTATTATATGTATGTTGGTGTATATTTAAAGATACTTTCCCACAAAAATATTTATCGGGTGGTTATTTCCACTAAATTTATAATTTTGGTATATTTGGAAAGTAGAAACATCCAATCTTAATAGAAAAATGCTGGATTTCCAGAAAAAGACCCCAGGAACGCATACAGGACAATCATGTATAGGTTTCCCTAACCCGCAACCTGACAATTAGGGATGTCTGTTCAAGTGACGTCAAAGTTTGCACGCGAAGAGGGAGCACTTGATGTATAACATGTTGATAAACTTGATGGTGAGCAGACTAGGAAAAAGTGACAGACTTAAATGTACAATAGTTTCTGAGATACAAACCACAGAAAAAGATATGGACAGTGGATAATCCAGGAATTTAATTAGACATCAATATTTATGATAAATGGAATGTGATTAAAGACAACATCATCTTATATATGCAATCGATTCTCCTCCAGCTTCGCATCCGTTGCTAGGTACCGCGTCAGCCACGTAACGCGACAAAAACATGACTTCTTTTAATAGATTTGTCATAGTCTCGGATATTCCCTCGCGAATACAATGTTTCGAGAAGGATTTGAAGCAAATTTTGATAGATTAATTAGGTTGAATATGTTTTTAGTCCAATTATATCATCAAATCACCCAGTTTGTTCGAGGGAAGGTATCTTTAATAAACTATTAACAAAATATCATACATTGGAATGATGACTATAAAACTACAGTGAAATCCTATCATTAAGACCATTTGAGGGACTGGTACAAATTGGTCCTGATAAAATACAAATTTGATACATTCTTATGAAATTTTATCTTGAGTGGTTAGTTGTGTGGCCGAATGATCTAAGGCGTGCGATTAGATCGTAAGGTCTGTGTACATGACAAAGTGTAGGGTGGCCTGTCCCACCCCATGGATTTTCTTCTAATCTTTTGGTTTTCTCCAACTGCTAAAGACCCCTATGTCCAAACTTATTATTGAAATAAAATTGAACCATGTTAGTCCGAAAATTATCTAGTTTGTGTTGAGGGGAATTTAATCCCAATTTCTCTTCTCAGTCCTATGTGAGTGGGCTATAATATTGAGGTGATCACTAAGCGAGATTTCACTGAAAAATTGTCGATTACATGAATTTAACTAAATGAAATGTGGTATCTACATAGATTAGTGGATAGAAAAACTGACTTTTACTTACGATTGGTTAATGTACATAACAGAAAAGAAAAATATTTGGGTGCCATTATATATCTATTATGTCTGTTGAGTTTTCTGACCAGTGAAGTTTTTATCAGCTAAATATTTGTGTTAAATATTGGGGATTTGTTTTCATTCCATTACCTATATTCTAACCTATATTCTCTGATTTCACCTACTTAAAAACTCTATTAATGTCATACAACTATTTTTCTGTTCCACACATTTTATCTCACTTCACTGATCAAAGAGTATGGTAAGGCAACTGATGTTGGCAGGAATAAATAAGTGGGAATAAAGAAGGTACATATAGATATATTAGGAGGTTTGATATATATGTTAATAATGGTAATCTGTATGCTTACTAATCAGCAATTCAGCATAATATTCACTGTCTTAGAAATTAAATAGAGACTTAAATTTTAAATCGGATCTTCTGTGTCATTTAAGACAATTGACTTGTTCGATGACATCCCCTTGATCAGGACTCCTGTTTCAGTCATATTTGTCAATCTTGATGACCCGCTAGAGAAGATACCTGTCAGCCATTCTGCCTACTATGTTATTAGAATTTCAACATTGTTCACAAGGTTCGAATGACTATTTATTGATCAAGACCCTGATTAACTAAAAATTATATTGCTTTGGCCTAAGTAGCATTATGGTAATGTACAATATAAATACCATAGTTTTAACCCCGATGCTGTGCAGTGTTGTAGTAATCAGTTTAGTAGTTAGAATTGTAGACTAGTTAATGATTGGAAGTTAAGCTGAACTAATACAAAAACAATCTACAAACATCTGGCGTTACTTCTTCAGGTACATACACATGGTAAAATAACACTCATATTTTTACCTGCCAAGAAAAATGAATCAGATTACCTGAATAAATAAACCTAATACTTCAAACTAATTTAATTACTACATGTTCAACATATCCATACTCTTAAATCTATCAGCAGTCTACACACTGAAAATCATGTTACATACATTTTACACAGAGAACTTAATTTATGGGAAAGACATTAATAAAGAAAAATATCAGTAGAAATTTTGTAAAACTGTATGACATTTAAACATTTAAATACACGATTCAGTTTAAAGTTACATGTGTCTAACTGATACCATCTTCAACAAGTGCAAGTTTTATTAGGTATTTTTGTTAACATATCAGATACTTGCAGATTTCTTGTGGCAAATGAGCTTTTAAGATTAGAATAACTGGTTTTGTGCTTTATAAGTTTTACTATTTATTACATGTGTGTATAAATATTTTAAGCTGCCATAGTGAGGATATAAAGCCACATATCATTGGTTATTTTACACCTTCTGTACATGTAATTCCTTCCTCTTGGTCTATTTCTGGCTGTCATTTTTTACCTGTTTCTAATAACTCCCATATCTCTTGTAGTAATTACCATTCTTGAACAGCACATGTGAGAGAAATGGTTTGCTAATTTTGTGGGAACGGATTAGCTTGGTTTTCACTAGGTTTGTGATTTATTTCTCTGATAATTTTAAATCATTGATTATTCTGTTGTTAAATAATATTATTTAAAAAGAGGGTTTTGGCTGATAATTACACTCATCGCATTCAAAATTACGATGAAAATTGTTAGCTTTGGGTAGTTCCAATATAGATGAGAAATGGTATCACATGGTATGAGTATTTTGGTTTTAATGCATCTTATCGTTACTCATAGTAAAATGAAGCAAATAGTTTGTGATTACATAGGTAAAACATTGGTAACTTCTGTGCATATGGACACAGAGACACTGGTGCATTTGTCAAGTACAATATACATTGCTAGCTACATGTCAATGGAAAATGGTATCAAGTGCTCTGGAAAGTTTAAATAATACACTGATAGCTAGCCTTAGTAATTATTTGGACACAGAAGCTAGAATGACAATTAAAAAATGTATCATGACTATGTAAGTTTTGTAGACATGTGGATATCAAAGGAGGTTAATGATATGACAGACAACTACAGCATCCATTGTTGATGTTGTGGAATTTTTTGTCTATTAATAAACAGTATTACCTTAGTTATATTATGATAATCATTATCTGAGTTAATTACAAAATACTATCAGATCACATGGTGTTATTAGTATCTGTCTAGCATTAGCTTAAAACACAAAGAGATTAAGTGTGAAAGTCAACAGACAGTCTTGTATAGATATGTCATTAAGTAGAAGTAATAATATTGTGTAACTATTTCATTTCTTTTTTTTATTCTAAAACTATAATTTATGGAGGAAAATTTTATTAATCATTACAGTTTGTTATATTTTCTTTTAGTTATTTTGCCACTTTATGCCCTTGCTTTCTTCCTTTTTTATTGGTTCATTTGAAGGCTACACAAATTTGAATTTCAGTTCTTCTGAAACACCTATTTAAGTTGTGCTTCCTATTTTTTTTTTTTTTTTTTAAAAGTAGAAAATTTAAAAGCTCTTAGCTTTAGATATTTAAGTTTTGAAATTTTGTACGTTTAAGATCACCATCAAGTGAGAAATCAGACAATTTTCGCTTGCAACCTTTGGCACCATTCGAGCAGACATCCCTAATTGTCGGGTTGCCTGTTAGGGAACTGGAAGCCCTTACATTTTTGTTCTGTATGTGCACCATGGGTGTTTTTCAGGGAATCCAGCATTTTTCTAGTAAGCTTGGATGTTTCTACTTTTCATATATACCAAAATTGCCATAAATTTATTAGAAATAACTACCAGATAAATACTTTTATCAGAAAATAACTTTAAAATGTCCTCATGTTTCGCATTAATTGATTTTGTTGAAATGGAGTTTAACATCCTACTTTTCTGAACTGACTGGGCTATTGAAGATGGGCTTATGCCATACAGTAAGTTATGAGTCAAATTTTATCTGGACAGAAATTCTAAATGTCAAAGTTTCTTTTAATTGTACACCAATGTGTACACAGGACCTTGTTTTTTGTCCCATTCAAAACACTAGACACTGGCATTATCAGGCCCGCCATCTTGCACCACTGACAAGGGGAAACCACCTCACAAAATCCAGAGGAAGTTTCTTGACCAACATGGAGAACGAACCCAAGGCCAACTGGTTAGTGAGCCAGCATCTTATTTACTGAGCCACAGCTTCTTCCTCATTTGGTTGTATCTTAATAACCCAATCACAAACTTAATTATTACCCGTACTTTGATGTTGGTATTAATAAAGAGGTTATATTAATTAGAGGTATATAAAGATGTATCAGGTGATATATTGTATGATGTAATGAAGATCAAGGTGCTGTAATCATCTAATTAGTTAATGACTTGTGGCAGAATGGGTGTTGCCTCTATCGTAGCTTTAAGATATACTTCTTTGAATATTAAGATCCTAATAGACTTTGATTGGAAAATCAAGATGCTGCAATAGTTAATTAATTCTTATTACCAGAAAGGGTGTCTCCTCTTCATGCAGTAGCTTCATATTAAGAAATATAATTTTTACTAGGCATGTTTATTAATTAAGTTGTTATAAATTATTTGTGGAATGTGTGCAGAAACTAACTCCTACTGGTATCACTTTGTTTTGCCTTCAAGTATATTCTACTGTCTGGGAGTATATACCTCCCAGTTTTTGTGTTCAATCCAGTAGCTACTGGTTGTAACTGTCACCTGCAAGTTTGGATTATAGGCTTCAAAACTGTATTTCTAACTGGTATGTTTTAAGTTATATTTGCATGTGTTTCTTTTTTTCCAAATTTGTTAGCACCCAAATTATGCTCTATTGTAATTTGTATATAGATGTTGAATAAACTGAAATCTGAATGATCTGAACTTTGAATTAACTAAGCTGAAGATGGCATTGCATTGATTTAGCAGGATGAGGAGTGGTTTGATGAAACTAAATATGTGTTGCATTGATTTGGGGATTCAAAATGACTCAGTGAGTATGGCACTGGCTCACTAACCTGTAGGTCCCAGGTTCGATCCTGGGGTTGGCCGACAAAATTTTATCAAGAATTTTCAGCCTCATTTCCCCTTTACATTGGAGCTGGACGAATGGCCTAGCAAGGAAAAGGCATCTAGTCATTTCAACTCATATAAAATAAGTTGAGCCTTTGCACCTGTTTACGTGGACACAATAATACCCATGACAATTTAAAATCAAAGAAGAGTAGGCCTGTGTTTGTAGGCCTGAGTGCACTGAACAGTCATTTGATGGAGATGAAATTAGGTATAGCATCCTACTGTTCTGCTCTGGTGGTTGGATGGAACTGAAGGGTGCATTGCATTAAGTTGGGTCAGTAGTGATAATTTTAGTTGATTCGTGATGATTTTCCTGAATATCTCATTGTGATTTATTTATTAGTACTATTATATATCTGTACGACTTTTGACTAGAGTTTTGTATTTCCTAAAAGATAGTTGATGAAAATAGATTTGTAAAATTGAACTCTTTGTGAAGATAGAGATTGACTGATTCTGTTATGAATGACAATCCCATGTTTTGACCTACATGTAAAGATTTAACCCCCAGTTAATCCTATATTATCATGTTATTTTGGATTATCTTATAGGTAGATATTAATACATGTAGACATAATTAACTTCTAAACTAATTATGAATAATCAAACCCTAATATAGTAATAACTTATTATTGACTTATATGAACAGATGAAACACTCAGTTGTCTCTTGTAATAGTGAATCAAAAGGATCAAACATTTTGAATCAAACGTATAGGATGTGGAAGTAAACCGAAACACTTTTAGCGGTGTGAATTTCTCGTATAAATTAGAAGTGGTATCTGATGTTCTAGAACGAGTAAGAAATGTCCCACTTCATTCACAATATGCATTGTAAAAAAAAATCATGAAGTATTGTGTTTATTTTGATGTCTTTTTTTGACAATTTTGTAGCTAGCAGAAGAAAATACTTACGATTATAAGGTAGTCAAAGTTAATTTTGATTATTTTCTTGTTAAAAGTGAAATGTTTTTGAGTATTTGTTATTTAATTGTTTTTTAGAATTTGTTGTTGTTATTGTTATTGTTTATTTATAGCGTTTTTCTTTAAATTTGTAGTATTGTTCTTGTTTCTGCAACACTAACAGATACATATGGACAGAACCAAAACACTGTATACACAAAACCTTTATTTGGGTTTAAAGTGAATAAGTTGATTAATAATATACCACGTTATATATGGAATCTATTTCATTCATATTGACTTTGTTGAAACATGAAGTATTGATAGGGTGACCCATGCACTCTACAGAAATACAGCCCACCGCTGATAGTTCGAGACTACCACTGAAGCGTGCACATTCGCCGTGTCGAGACCAACTTTCTGACAGTATGATACTATAAATAGCCATGGCACGTGCAATTCTCTACAAATCTATCAACTATTACAGCCATAAAAAATTTATTGTTGACGGTTTTGAATAGCAGTAAAATTAAGCTTCTTGGTTATTACAGCAGATTAAGAAATTACGTTCGTTTCATTTTTTAAATTGCTTTATCATTAACTGTACCGTTAAGAGCGGCATCTTTTGGTTTAGTACAAATAATATCTCTGAAACACTCGGGTTAGACAGGAACATGATACTAGCAGTAGTTTCATTTTACTTTTACAAGCTTCTTAAAACAATTGTTGAGCTAGCTAACGTGCTTATTTCTAAATTCAATTTCTTGTTCTAGCTTTCTGTTATGTTTCGTAAAAAAGTAGTCTTGATTATCCCGACCTGTCAATCAGACGTAGAATGGTTGATAGACTGGTTAAGCGAGACTAATTTCAAAACAAGGGCACGTAACCTATCTTTTACTCAAAAGTGTCTGGATGTTATGGACGACACTTGGAACCAGTTTTCAGTCTATTATTTATAGATGATTAATGGTCATAGCTTATTAAGTACAACATGAACGTTTATTTAGTGACTATAATTGTGTGAAACTGATTTGAGGCTTGGCATATATATAAATATTGTGACGTAATTGTCGAGATATTTGGAGATATTTATTTATGGTGGGTCACCCTAGTATTGATTAATGGTTTACAGAAACAAGTTAATTCTCCATACTCTCAATGTTTTAACCAACTTGATGAACCTCATCGTTTTTGCTGAATGTATAATTTAACAGTTTAATTGATAGTAGGTTTACCTGTGTTAAAGTGATATATGAGTATATCATTATGTACTAGTTTATTTTACTTACCTATTTAATAGTGTCAGTAATTGATTTGACTCTTCATCAGTTCAAACAGTTATGTGGTTTATGTGTCAAATGGCGGTTGAATACAGCAGAGTAGAGTTTTATTCTTATTACTTGTTTATAACCCAGTGGAATATGTTTCTCTAGCATGTGTAATAGATGTCATATTAGCTTTTATCATGAAGGGAGAGTATTACCTATTGAACAAAGAAGAGAATTAATCCTAGATCTATCCAAGTTTGTTCACAATTTCTTTTAGGAACCCCCCCCCCCCCCCAACAGTTTTCCATAAGGTATTATATAGACTGATTGAATAAATAAAAAGTTCAGTTTGGTTAGATGTACATTGTCTGTTTATAGGAAATGATGTCTCTACTTGATACATACATCAACTATCTGTATTCTTTCATCAAAGAAAGTTGAAGTCACATTCCCAGATTTCACAGAGCATCTGTTGATTCAAGCCAGTTCAATCATTGACTATATGCAAGATGGACAGGCAACATCCTGGTGGTCTTTGTAATTCTGTGTCACGACAAAAGAAGTCTGGACAAGAAAAGAATTACCTCTCCTCGTGTTTACTATATATGGATACTACACATGGTCATTCCCTCATTTGTAATGGATGGTCATTCACTATCTGGATGACCTAAGGGGAAGCAGTGCTTTTTCAATCCAGATTTTCAGGATTTCTTTTGCGTCAAATTTTAAAGACGGTATAGATATTGCCTGAGTATCTCTGAAGTATGTATGTGTATGACTGTATGTATGCAGAAAGTTAAGAAATAACCTATTGGCAATATCAGCTCACAATATTGAGCTGTTGGGAATTGATAACCTTACCTTTAATTGGGTAACATAATTCAAATAAAGAATCTGGTCTGTTGTTTTTGTGTAATGAGTGACTTGCTATGACAAATTTATAATAGACATGATCACTATCAGTTTAAAAAAATAACAGTAATATTTCGTATTTCTTCAAACTTACAGAGCTTCTCCAGATAATTGCATGGAACTAAAAAAAATTAAGAATCAGTTTTATGCTAGTGGGGCTCCCTTGATATCAGCTAGTTGCCAGTATCATTAACAAAAAAATATCAACACATCAGCTATACTGAAATTGACACAAGTCAATAAATATAATAACAGACAGAGATTGATTGTCTCCTAAGTTTTGTATTATTACCTGTATCTAGAATAAATACAATTTGTATTTCCATTTAGCACCGTATACATGGATATTTGTAATTAAAGTTGATAAAAGTAATGGGGCTTCTATATTTAAGAGGATGTTGCGTCATTTAATGGGATAGAAATCCCTTGTAAACTAACATATTGTGAAAGTTTAATCTCTAATAGGAATATCAGTCCAAAAATGATTCAATTCCGTTCAGCATATACAAAGTTATGATAAATTGAAATTTTGTCGATCTATGCTGCTCACTATTACGCTGCCATCTTTTATTAGTAGCGGAGAAACCTGATGGGCCAGCCTGGTTTTAATCCCATTAAATCCAAGCCAAGAGATTATCTTGCATTGCTATTTTGATTCTGTTTTCTTAATTAAATGGTTAGCGATGTACATGTTTAGCGTGGATTAACCTGTGAGAAATTTGATATTTTACATTAGCGAAAATGCAAATGATGCATCAAGCCCTTAAGATAGATAACATAAAATAAAATGCATTAGGATAAGAAAGTAAACCATTTAATATTGTACCATGCTGTTAAGTAGAAGTATGGTTTAATTGACAGTAGAATGGGTGCTTGTTAAAGGTTCTATATAATTGGTCAGTAAGTGTATCTGGTAGATGTTTAACACTAGCCACCATTAACTACTAACGATACCCTTACTTCCAGCCACATTAATTCCTCTTCTATTTTTATTTCTAGGTGTTTTTTAGACCTGGTGCTCTGGCACAACTAGAGGTATCTAGAGATGAAAAAATAACTGGTAATGTAACAGCATTCCAAGCTTTATGTCGCGGACATTTAGCAAGACAAAAACTAGAGAAATTAAGGGTAAGTTTCTGATTATATCAAATTTAAAAAAATTCATGCCAAAAAAAAGATAAATTAAGAATAAATCTTTCAGGATGTATTCAGCCACTCACAAACTAGACAAATGAATGTTTAGTTTTTCGTATTAACAGCTAAAGAATTGTTAATGGACAAAATCTAGAGAAATTGAGGTTCAGTTTTTCACATTAACAGCTAAAGAATTTATAATGGACAAAAACTAGATAAAGTGTTATTGTTAAAAAATTCAACTGGGCAAAGAAACTTTCTCATATTATGTTTTTAGTGTCCTTTTAAATTCTAAAATGTAACAAAATTCTTCAGTTCATAAAGATTAAAAAGAAAAAATCCATATTCTTTCTGACAAAGATTTGTTAATGTTAAGGATTTCGTGGTGTGTGGACATGTTTTTAATGATATTTTAAAGGTAATCTATGCATTTTAAAGATTTATTTAACTGGATATTTTCAGATTCAACATCTGGCTGTAAGTTGTATACAGAGAAACGTGAAGAAATACGTTAAAATACGAGATTGGGAATGGTGGAAACTTTATACTAAAATAAAACCAGTCTTAAATGTCCATAAAACAGAAGAAGATCTACTCAATAAAGAGGTAGGAGAAGAGATTAATTCTACTTTCTATATATTTCATTAAACAACTAATAAACACTTAATTATCTTGTCTCTACTACACTTTTAAAAGCTAAGATATCTTTTACTTCTTTAATGAGCTATGAAATAGAGTCAGTCAGTTCAATCTTGTACTTAGAAATGGTAATAAAATTTGTATATATTACCATATTTGTCATATTACCATAAAATATAATGGAAAACTGGCACGGTAATTTCCCACTTGTTAAGACAAGGAAATTGTGATTAGTCATTTGGATAAGACAAAAAAATAACTCGAGGTCCTGTGTTTACATTAGTTGTGCAGTAAAAAGTCTATTGCATTTTACACATAACCATAGAAAATGAAAATTACCATATGTTAGTCTCAAAATACCCAGTAGAGATATTTGTTGGTGTTATTTTAGTTTGAAATAGAACAGATGAAGATGAAGATAGAAAAGTTAGAGAAAGAAAGAAATGAATATAAAACACAATGTGATAAATTTGAAAATAGGGTAAGTGGAAAAAGAGATTGGTCTTGTATTACAAAATAATTGTATGAAGTTTCTTAAAATCCCATTTGAAGCATCTTATCATAAGAGAATACATCAGTTGGTATTTCATAAAGAATGATTCTTGTAATTTCTGTGACACAGTACCCAAAGATGAGGTGTGACGTCATTTCTGGAAACATTTGATGTGTCTGGTGTTCTGTCTAATCATTAGAAGATATATTAATTAGTATTTCATTTAGATATATATATGAGATTTGAATGGATAATACAATGATTCTTGTCGTTTATGAGATCTATTAAGTCTCCATGGTGTCGTTTCTGGAACTGTCAGTGCGCAAAGTGCGATTTAACATCTATTTGTTTAAACAAAAACTGAGAACTATTTTTTAGTGGAGTTGTTTGAATAATGATGATAACAGAAGTCTATTCTTCTTATTTTAGAAATAAAGTAATGTAGATAAAGAATGATAATAAAAACATTATATATTTTTTTAAATGATGTATTTTATGATTATAGCTGTCAGAATTATCGGCAGACCTAGTGGAAGAAAATTCTACATCTAATCAAGCTACTGAACTCCTAGAGGCTGAAACTGCTGAAAGAATGAGATTAGAAAAAGAAAACAAGGAAATACAGGTATTATATATTAATCACTTGCTTAAAGTCTCTAAGTGTAATTTAAATAATATAGGTATCCCTTACAAACCACAATATTATATAATGTAAAGGGTATTTGCTGAAAATTTCAGTCAAATTGATCCACTTTGAACCAAGATTTTAGCGATTGATTTTCTGGCCTAGCCTCGATCATCATTACTAATAAATATCGCAGGTTAGCGTTGACATCGAGAGTTGATTATGGTCTGGATAAGTTAATTAATGTCTAATTAATAATTTAGATAACATTTTGGGCCTAAAATAAAAGACCTGCAAAGGCAGATTTAGCTCTTGCATAATGTCTGTTTAATTAAATGTTAAATAATAAATCTAATTTAACATGTTCCAATAAATACAAATTGTGCCGGGAGATTAACTATTGTGCTATTTTAATTCTGTTTTCTTAATGAAATGTGAGTACTCCATCTGAGTACATATTAGCATGAATTAAGTTGTGAGAAGTTTTAATATTTTTTGAAAAATGCAAATCGTGCACATTTACTTCAAATTTGTTTCTTGAATTGAGTATTCTAGGGTTCATATGATCATCATGTCCCTTGACTAATGTCTCAAATGGTATTTGATAGATATTAAGATGCAAATTGATCTGAATATTTCTAAAAGCAATAGTTTTGTACAAATTGATATAATTTAGTAATCTATATAAATGTGTGTCTTCTTCTAAGACTTAAAAACCCAAATTTAGCTAAGAACCTCAGTAAAATAAAAATTAAATCAAATGGATATTTGAATGTTTACAAAACATTACAATATTTCTAATATCACTGTGAATGTAGAATTGATCAAATATTGCCCAAGGATGACCTGATCTGAAAGGTCTTACTATTTTACCCATTTAACCTCACATTGATTGTAATAAGATATTATGTTAAATGTAATATATTATTTATGTTGACATTGTACTTATTGATTTATTTCATAATTTATTTACCATATTGTCCAATAAAACTCAGATATATCTAATCTTTGAACTTTTCATTAACAGAACTGTAACTCTTTGGGTTTAGACTTTCTGTTAAAAGAGCCATAATTCTTTATAAAATATGAATGCACTAACCATTTAGTTTAAAAATACTATGAATTTGTTTCTTACTTATCATCATATCTTGGCCATATAATAAACAATGCATTCTCTGTCAGAGAAACAGGAATACCTCGTAACTCAGTCTTATTTTGACCAAAATTAAACTCTATAGGAAGCTTATAGCAAAATAATCGAACCAGCACATAAATGTAGAATTATCTTCTGTTATTGTGTCTAGATATTTCTCTCCCCACGTGAAATTGCAGAATATAAAAAGTATCAAAATATTAAACCCCATTCCTTTTGTATAATTTCAAAACTAAAGAATATAAAAAAAATACAAAGATAAATTGTGAAAATATTAAACCCTATTTCTTTTGTATCATTTTAAAGTTTTTGTAGCATGCCATAATAAAGTATTTATTTCTCTTAACAAGGCCAAACTTGCTAACATCAAAAGACAAAATGAAAAGCTACAAATGGAGGTTATGGAATCCAGGTTATGGAATGCATCCAGTGTGGAGATGGAAGACGAATTAGATGGTAATTAATTTATTATTCCTCTTTTATTAGAGCTCTGCACGATTATGTTTACATTAATATAAATATTTATCTGTAAGTGGATGAGTTGGACTTGGATCTAGTAGATGGTAGAGATGATAGAGGGTTAGCTTTTAATACAAAAATAAGCAGAATGCGTGGGTAGGTTTTTTAGCTGTTTATTTTAAAATCTATTTATATCACAGCCAGATCCTTTATATTAGATTTTCTAGATTAATTCCATAAACATTGAGATTTATGTAATGAATGCTGTTTCATGTAAGAAGGCATCATCTGTTTAACATTCTGTGAAGAATGATTAAAAAGATAGTGTAATGTATAATTTCACTAATACAGCTGATGTTGCATTTAGGAATGAATAGTTGCAGAAGTGAATAATATTAGGTTCATAGGATTTCTAATAGGATTTGCTACATATATATTTATTCTTGGTAATATAGCTGATGCTGCATTTATTAATCACTCTTAATAGAAGAGTTTTTGGAATGAATCATATTCTATATTTAATGGATTTCTTATATTAACCAGTGAATGAAATAAGACATTTATATTTTGGGGATATTGCAACATCTGTAGCTAGTTCTTGGCAATTTTCACCAACTTTGATGAAAAGTTACAGAAAGAACAAAATTTAAATGATTTATTCTACATATAAATATCAGTATGTGGATTTGGATATTTGAATTTTTAGGGGATATTATAGTATCTGTAAAGGTTTCCCCATGACTATTCTTGTCATTGCTGATACTCCTTTATCTCGAACTTGGCATGCCCCAGTTAATATTACACTTATTTGATTTACAGGAGCTGGTGATTCCATATATAAAGATAGATATGAAAGAATGGTCAAAGAACTGGAATTTACCAAGAAACGTCTACAGCAGCAACATGAAGAAGAAATGGATTCTGAGTTACAATCTAGAAGACTTTTAGAGAAAAGGGTATGTTAGTTTGGGAGTAAAACTTCCACTTGTTAGTTTAATAAATATTTCACAGTTGGTGAATATTTGGTTTGAAAATGTACTTATTTGATTATCATATTAACCAACAACAATAGTAAAAAATACTTATTTTATCATTAGGTGTAGAGAATGAGTTAGTTCAGGAAATGTTTTCATATTTCATTGAAATAATAGTTGAAATATCACAAATATGCCATTTTAATCCTGCATGGTATTCAATACTTTTACGAAAGTTGGGTCAGTGATGTTGAATACACAGGCCCACTTTAAAAATAATAATCTATGCCCAAAATTTCATGTCTTTAACATAATTCCAGACATTGTTTCAAGGACAGATAACTGACATGGCTTCATTTTATTGAGAAACATTGTATTAACTCAAATGCTGGTTTTCATGAACATTCTGTCAAGGATCCACTTAAACAATATTTTTTTTTTAACAGCTTCATGATACAGTAGAAGAAGCAGAAGAACAAAGACGTCTGGTGCAGGTGGCTCGTAAAAAAGCTCAAAGACTAACCGAAGAGATGCAGGATACTAAATTACATCTTGAGGAAAGAATGTCCAGAAATAATGATCTCGAGAGAAAACAAAGAAGGTAAAAATTTGTATAAAATGGCTGATCAGGCATTTGTCCGACAATATCTCATTTTCCATGTGTTAATCCATTTAAAATACACTCAAATGGATACATTAGTTAAGAGCTAAATATACCTATTGCAAGTCTTTCTATAGGCTTTAAATGTTATAAAAATTATTAATCAGACCTTTATTTACATAGCAAGCCCAAAATCAACTCTGTAGACCAGGCCCCCCCCCCCCACACACACACACCCGAAAAAAAACTTGCCGACCATAGCTCTAAAATAGACTACCGGGTGTGCCCCCCACAAAAACTTCACTGCCCCTCCGCAGTCAGCAAGCTGGCTACGGGCCTGCTGTAGACCCTCGGATGGTATGAATACAGCTTGGATTTAAACAGTCGTCCATATGTTGACCAACCTAACATTTACCGTTAATGACTGACTTCACTACCGGAAAGTGCCGATGAACGGACTGACAATCGAGGGTACCATAGGCCAGTTATCGTCTGTCATTCAAACGGAAATTCTTGGATATGCTACGGAGACAGTTGATGCCAATTTTAAGTCCAAACTTCCAACAGTGATAACTTAGTACAGAATAAAGTAATTTGACTGAAATTTTCAATACTTGCTATAATAGTTCCAAAAATAGATAATGAAAATGGAATAAGTTGAACATTTCAGTCAAATTACTTCATTCTGAGCAGAGTTATTGCCGCTTGGAGAATAGTGTACTCTCGATTGTTATTAAGTCTTGATTATCCATTTTTTAATGAAATTATTAATTAGCAATTGCGTTTAAATCCGTTGAAAATCAAAAGCATCCGATAACCTTAAGTGTTGATTATGGGCTTGGCATGTGATTAAATGTCTAATTAATGATTTATATAACATTTGAGACCAAACGAATGACCTGTTTTAGGCAAATTTACATAATGCATCTTTAAACAAGATTTATAATCATCCAATTATGAAATTGGTGCGTTTTCACAGTGCTGCATCTTGTGAGAAGTCAAAATCGGTGGTTTTCCACAGATTACATGTAGATGAACCTTCCCCTTTAATATTAATGAAAGTGTGCTTTTTATAAAGATCACATATTATTAGAATTTAATTACAAAATGCTCAAAGCTGAAATATTATGATTGATTTTATCACTATTATCAATTACCAGTAATAGAAAAATGTAGAAAAATTATATTATATTTCTCAATTAATTTACTATTGTAAAGGTTTGATGCAGAAATCAACATGGCTCATGAAGATGTGAAGGAAGAAAAACAACACAGAGAAAAATTACAGAAGGAGAGAGACAGTCTAATGACCGAAAAATATGCCCTTGAGCAGAGTGTCATGGTACAGTGACTTTCATATTCTAATTTAATACATATATACACACATGTATGTATATATATATGTCATTTATGCAGAAAATGAATGTATTAATATGATATTTTATTGTTTTCTTGTCATTGACAAAAAGAAATATAGATGAATGCATGAAATATTTTATGGTAATGTAACACAGCCATATAAGGTTTGAATTGGTATATGTGGTAGTGTCTGGTTTTATGTTAAAGGTAAATTGCATACAAAGGAAGATTTCTTGTTGAGAAAGTATAGTTAGACGTCACTATAACACATCTGTGTGGATCCACACATTGTATTTGTTTAACATCAATTGTTCTGTGTGTTACAATTCATGTAAACGCTTGCTTTATAATGAAGTCTCAGTGTATAATGGATATTGAATTAATTTGGTTTTATTATTTATAACAGAGAGTGAAGATGGATTTTGAGAGTCAGTTGGACAAAACAGAAAGATTAGAGAAAGAATTAAAAGATATTATTGGTTCATCCAGTGGTAAAGATGATCAAGAGGTGATTATAGAATTGTTTTTAAGGAACCTGAGGACTTAGATGTTCTTGACTCGTTCGGTAAAAACCATCATCTGTGGGGTGCTTCATCACAAAAGATATGTTTTCTTTGAGCGGCATTTAGCAAATGACACATGTAATGTAACAAACACAAAAACATAATATGGAACACAATTACTATTTGATTAAAGCGATGTTTCATTGAAGGTTTTCTCTATGAAACTTTGCTTTAATTAAATATACATTGTGTAAGATTAGGATAAAGAGCTGGCCATTCTTGCTATAATAGTTCAAAAATAGATGATGAAAAATGAATATATTGAAAATTTTATTCAAATTACTTTATTCTGAGCGAAGAGGCATTTTTGATTTGTAGTCCTTTTTTTTTACTGATTAAACTTCACTATATTATTGTGATAATTGTTAAAATGAACTTACTATTATTTTGTTTTATTGATTTTTATTTTGTTTTTTAGTTGGTGTCATTAAAGAGATTGAAACATGAATTAGAAAGAAAATTAAAAGAACAAGAAGAAGAACTAGATGATCAGGCTGGTCAAATACAACATCTTGAACAAGTAGGGACTTTTTTTTAACTGGCCACCTACTTACAAAAGACCCCTGTGCATAGACTTTGTTAGTCCCCAAATTAACTAAGTTGCACGGACTTTAAACCCCATTTACTCTCTGACACATTTTTCCATGTTTATGTTTTGATTCTATTTGAAACTGTTCATTACAAGATCTATTTGAAACAATACTATTCATCACAAGGTCTATAAGAAACTGTACTACTATTCATCACAGGATCTATTTGAATTCCTAGAACCATTCTATGTATGTGGTGAGCACGTCTGGTAGTAAAGAGAATAAAATTGCTTCTTTTTTTACAGGCTAAACTTCGTATTGAAATGAGTATAGAGAAAATGAAACAACAATATAATAAAGAACTTGAAGAAAAAGAAGAAGAATTAGAAGATATGAGATGTAGAACACAGAAAAAGGTAATTTGATATATCGGGTCTATATACAGCCTGACAAATATTCTGATACTCATAGTAGCTTGGGAAGCGAAGGTGGCTAAGTGGGTAAGAAGCTGGCTTGCTCCCGGTGTTGGCAGAGAAAGTTCAACAGGATTTTCTGGTGTGGTTTCCCCTTGCCAGTAGTGCAGGATGGAGGGCCTGATATAAAGCTGTCTAGTTGTTTGGATGGGACAAAAAACTGAAGTCCTGTGTACACATTGGCATGCATGAAAAATATCCCCTGGCGTGCATGTAAAATATCCCCTGGCAGTTGGAATTCGATATAAGAGTAGGCTGTAGTGCCAATATCCGGGGAAAATTTCCCTCATAGCACACTGTATGTCATATGCCCATCTTCTCATTAGCCCATAGTAGCAGTAGCTAACTGTTGATTTTATTGCTATTTAGATGACACCTGCTATTTTCAGTTTTATTAAGTCAACAGATATTTGAAAGCTAAAATAAGGATTAGGTTTGTAAATTAGGTTGTATACATAATCTAGAATTTATGTGGTTACCTATACTGGGTAGATTCAGACTCAGAAATTTATTCCAAAACTACCACTATCTAAATATTTCCATTGCTTCTGTGTCAGGCATGCATTAAAAATATATCAATCAGTTAAATTGGCAGACACAAAAGCAATTGTACATGACATGGCTTGAATTTGAGTCTAATGTTGTTACATGGCAAAAATTTGTATAGTTATTACTGTATGTTTTAGTTGAAATCAATGGAACAACAAGTAGAAGAAGAATATGAAGAGAAGAAAAGAGTGCAGGAAGAAAAAGCTTTAATAGAAAGACAGTTATTAGAATTAGGTTCTAGAGAACCACAAAGAGATATAGGTATTTATTTTCATTTTATTAGCATAAAACTTTCTGCTGAATGAATGAAAATTAGGATGATTAATGCATTTATTTGATTTATATTTTAAGAGAATTTTCATCTGTCAAAAGTAGTGCATGCAAGGCACATTGGTGTGCATGTAAAAGTACACTTGATAGTTGGAAATCAAAGCAGAGTAGGAGGAAATTCTCTTCCCGAAATTACATATGTGACCATAGAAATAAAGATGACCATTTGTTAGTCTCAAAATGACCGTAGTACTAGGTTCACGAGGAGTTGGCATTGCATTCATTTGGTTGTTTATGAGAGAGGTTGATATATTAAATATATGTATTGTAGATAATGAGAAGAGGTTAAAGAGACATTTAAAGAAAACGAAAGCTTTATTACATGATGCTAGTACAACATTACACAAACAAAAAACAGCTGATGGTGTTAAATCTCAGATAGCACAACTCAGAAATAAGGTAAAAATTACAGATCTACATTTATATATCAGTGGGCTTATTACAGAAAAGTTAAACTCAAATATATTGAAATTGCAGCCTTTTCCTAGTTCAAATATCAGGGGGCTTATTCCCGAAAAGTTAAACTCAATTATATTGAACTTGCAGCCTTTCCCTTGTGCAAATGTTTTGGTTTAAGTTCTTGTGAATAAGGCCCCAGTCTGTAACTGCAAAAATAACATCATGTTGGTAATATTAGGATTATATTTGCAATGATAATACTTTGTCAGCTTTCAGGATTCTCACTTCAAATATTTGCCAGCCAAACATTTCAGTTCATTCTTAATTTCCCACGGATTAAGTACAAGTTAAAATTACAAGTCATGTACGATGTATCATTATTGAAATTTGTCTTATTGATTACTAGTTGGAGGATGCTGAGTTTGCATCAGCTGCAGCTATTAAAGGAAAAAAGAGGATGGAGTTAGAAATGCAAGATTTAAATCAACAAATAGAAGATTTGTCCAGAGCTAAACAAGAGGTTTGTTGACACATTCAATCATTGTTGACTTTTGAAATATTTCAAGGGCAAAACCTGTGGGACTAACAGTGACACTGTGTTTAGTCGTACACAGATCTTTTCCTTCAATTACTGTCCAAATCTAATTTCTTTAGTGCACCTTATGAGATACCAATTGTCTTTTTAAAGCCAATATTAAAATATGGAGTTCAGATTCCCACTTTAATGCATGTCGTGTAAATGCTTGAATCTGGGCGACATAAGATATGTGCAATTCATCGGCATGTGCCAATCCTTAATGTATTCACCGATGTATTTTTGGTTTGTTCCTTCCCGCATTTGCTGGTTTAAAATACAATCTTAGAGAAATGTTGAAATTTTATAGAATTTAAGAGTACTTATTTCTATCTCATGGTATTGTGTTCACAAGATGTGAAGCGCTATACATTTCCTTTCCTTCAGTCATTCTAAGATGTACAATTATGGTTACACCCTTATAATTATTTGTCTTAAGAAAAGTCAATTAATACTGTATCTTTTTCGTTGGTTTTGAGTTCATAAAAAAATATAACTATTGTTTAGCACAATCAAATAACCCACATTGATATATGTAGCCATTATTTATGTTTTTATTTTATTAGAGTGAAAATAAATGTATGTCAATATTACGAGAGAAATCTGATCTACAGAATAGAATAGAAGAAAATGAAGAAGATATGGCAGAAATCATGAAAAAATATAAAGCTGCTGTACAACAGGTAAGATATACTTATCATATATATAGTGTAGTTCTTGCAGAAGTTAGATGTAGTTGTGTTCAGCAGGAACTAGTCTACACTACCGATATATACTTATTTATGTCTATTTTCTTCACCTACATCATTTGGTAGTCACATAGATCAAATTGGTTTGTTCAACTATGTTAGCCCTGTCTATGGAGTATTGTTTCATATCCTATTTTTAACCCTAATTATTTAAGTACTTTCACCTCTGTTAATAATGTAAATACATTCACAGGTTTAGACTCTTTCATTTCAACATTTATTTGGGTCATTATATCCCTTTAAAAATATTAACCTATTCATTACCAAATAAAATTTTCATTAAAAATGAATGATCAAATTTATTAAGAATGTTTATATAGCACCATTTGGACAAAGAGTAATTTGATCTAGTGTTTTACAGTGCAGATTAGGCTACATAAGAATTTATAATTTACTGTATTAAAGATACATTATGGGAGATTAGATAAAGAGCTGGCAGTTCTCACTATAATTTTTGACATTTCAGGCCTAAAGATAGACCTGCAATAGGCAGATTTAGCTCTTGCATAATGTATGTTTAAGGATTTTTTTATTGGTTTTCAGCAATCTGTAGATCATATTACAATATCAGACCAACTACGCCAAATAGAAGAAATGTCTTCAGAAAGAGAAGCTTTAAAACAAACAGTAAGTTGAAATAAAAATGTTTTCAAACTAAAGACTTTATTGTGCATTGATGAGCTCTATTGTTGTACACATATTCAAAATAACAATTATCAAACCTGTACTTTCTATAAAACAGACTTCATCAAGAACAGCTATTTATATATGTTGTGTTCTAAGAGTTACTCTGGTAGGTTTTTGTTATGAGATTGGTAATCAAATTTTTCTACAAATGAACTTATTGTGGCTGTACTAAGAATGGGAGGTTTTTTTTTCATAGGTAAATGATCTATCAACCAAAGTTACTACGTTTGAAACAAGTACAGTAGATAAACATTCTGTTACAAGACTGGAGGGTAAAATACGTGAATTAGAGAATAAACTACAACTAGAAAGTACATCCAAACAGAGATTAGAGGTATTATCATTGCTCTGTATATAAACTTAAAACTATGTACTCAAATTATGAAAATATTATGATGTTCCAAATATCTGAGTTTCCCGCAAAAATAGTTTTAAAAGAGTATGATTTAGAATAAAGGAAAAGTACCACAGGAATTTTTCTAGTAAGGCCAAATAAATATATATTCTGGTTCATAATTACCACATGTAAATGATTTCCTCCAGGTTACAGGAAATATTAATACAAAAAACTTTGAATGAATCCAGAAATGTACCCTATGCTCAATCATTAAATATACATCCCTGACAAATGTTATGGACAATCATAAATGATGCTGGATAATCATAGGCCTACATTCAACGATGTGAAGATATAAAAAGTAATGACAATCATAAATGACTAGATAATCATACATTCAACAATGTGAAGATATAAAAAATAATGACAACCATAAATGATACTAGATAATCATACATTCAACAATGTGATGATATAAATGTAACTTGATGTTTACAAGATACTTTGCCCAGTAGAGATCCTTTGACAAAATAAAACACAAAAATAAAATATCTCCCTCACTCACCAGATTTTTAGGAATGGTTATCTGAGACCCAGAATATTTTTTTTGTATGGCCTAATAACAAACCTGATGGAAATATTTTTGGGGGAAATAAGAAGAAAAGAAATCATATTTCACCTAGAGAGAAAGTGGAATGTATATAAAAAAACCAATGTTTTTATTTAAGTCATTTTTCCATAGGGAAAGGTTGCACAGTTCCTCACATAAATTGTTAATTTGTATTATAGACACAGATAACCAGATTAAAGGAACATCTGGAGAGATTGCAGAGTGAAAAGGAAGAATTAAACTCCAGTAAACTACAAACTGAAGAGTTGTCTAAACGTAATCAGAAACAATTACGTGAATTAAGAGAAGAATTGGTTGATGCACAGAAACGGGAAATGGAGGCTAGTCAGGGAAAGAAAGAATTAGTAAGTTGGAATAATTTTTGGATGACTTATTCTTTTTCTTTTGTTGGCAACTACATATTTCATAACCATGCTTCAAGCAATGGATCTATTAAATTTGGTCCTTTTTCCCCTTCCATCACACGAGTGTGAATGGATTTGATTTGAATAAATAAAATTTGGAATAAACCATATCTATGATGCAAATATGAATATCAATGCTATCTGTGCATATTTAATTAGCTTACTGCATTCTCAATATTAGCTTTTTGCATTAAATTAATGTTGTTGAATATTCCTACAGGAGACAATAAACCAATCACATTTGATTAGTTTTAATTGACATCGAATAACAAATACCCAGAAAATCAGTTGGAATTTTTGAATGCGAAGATTAATGTGAGCAGTTATGTAAGCCCTATTCACTGATAAAATATTGGAAGTGTTTTACTACTATGTAAGTTGATATGTAAGTGTAATATTTGCAGGTAACTCGTATTGAAGAATTAGAAGCTGATCAAATACAGAACCAATCTGACCTCAAATTAGCATTTAAACGTATTGCTGATTTACAGGCAGCTTTAGAAGAAGAAATAGATAGTGATAATGATAGTCTTCTATTAGATAGGTAGGTTCTTATAAATATTCATGTTGTTTGTGCTGCACTCTTTAGACACAAAAGATATAGTTTGCAAAGATGTTCGGGGGGTTGGATGGCTGAATGGTTAGCATGCGCGCGCTGTATCATAAAGTCTGTCATTGAGTCGACTGGCCTGGTTTCGAATCCCCGGTTGTACGTGACAAGGATTAGGGTCGCCTGTCCAACCTCGTGGGTTTTCTCCGGGTCCTCCGGTTTCCTCTCACTGCTAAAGACCCCTATGCGCAAGTGAATTATTGAAATAAAATTAAACCATATGTTAGTTACGAAATGACCTAGTTTGTGTCGAGTGGACGTTAAACCCCATTTCTCTCTCTCTTTTTGCAAAGATGTTCTGATATGTGAAAAGTTTGTTGAGACTACTGCAGTGATATCAATCTTAAAGTGAATAGCTAGACTGCTTTGATGTGGGTCAAAAATAAAATTCTAGATTTCATTGGGTTTTACATGTTGATTTATGGCAGTAAAATCTGTGTTGAAATATTTTTTATCTACATGTATAGGTAAAGACAGTTTTGAGACATAACTGATTTTCAATTCCACTGTCAACACCGTAAGCCAAAATGTAGACTAGAATTAGTAAACAATATGACATTGTTTAATCTTTTGAACCAAAATTTTATTGGATAGAGAGTGTAACATCACTGATTGAAAAAACATATCAGATCAAATTAAAGAGGTTTAGCCCCTCTGTCCTGCACCACTGACAAGGTAAATTCACGCTGAAAATTCCTAAGGAACTTTCTAGACCAACCCCGGGAGCAAACCTGAGACCTCATGGTCAGCGAGTCAGCATCTTAACTTTGTTTTAAATTTCTTTGTTTCTATGTCTACTTTGAACTTTATTCTTTTTTTTTTTTAGTGAAGATGAAGATGATGATTCAGATTTAGATTCATTTTTAGAAAATCATAATCAGTCACCAATTGGTCGATCTAGTTTAGGTAGTTATAGAACGCGGTCACAAGGTAGCAGTATTTCTGATGGTTATTCATCCCATCGTTTACCTAGAATAGATGATAGTAAGTAAATACTCTCTCTTTATATTTTGATACAGAGGAGGACCCTGTAGTAAATAATATTATCTGCTTAATCATTATAGATGCACTATGTAAGAGCTAAATCTGCCCAATGCAGGTATTTCGTTTGTCCTCAAATGTTATATAAATCATTAAAGATACATTATGTAAGATTTAGATAAAGAGCTGGCTGTTCTTGCTATAATGGTTCACAAATAGATAATGCTAAATGAATATATTGAAAATTTCATTCCAGTTATTTTACTCTTGCATAATGCCTGTTTAATTAGACATTTATTCTTATGCCAAGGCTAGGGCTGGACGATATTTTCGGTAATTCGATAAATCGCGATATTAAAATTTGAATTCCGATATTTTATAAACCACCTAAAAAATCGCGGTATAATGATATATCGTATTGTGTGTTTTTCTATCAATATACCGGTATTTTACATGATATAATCACGATATTATGTGCTGCATTTGGGATGGGATTGACATCGAACAATTTACGAAGTTTTATGTAGATTTTGCAAGCGCCGTGTAGCTGCAAAAGGCGGCAACACCAGCAACTTGTATGTTCATTTAAAAATACATCACCCAATTGAATATGCCGAACTTCAAGAGAGGGGAGAGGGGGGGGGGGGGGATGACCTGTTTTTAACACTTATATAATCACATCTTTTATAATAAAACTAAAATATCGGGATATTGTGATATATCGCGATATATCGTTAGGTTTTTATAATAAAACTAAAATATCGCGATATAGTGATATATCGTCGTTTTTTTGGGAAATATCGCGATATTTGATTTTACCAATATCGTCCAGCTCTATGCCAAGCCCATAATCAACTCCTATCGGATGGTTTTGATTTCCAAAGGATTTAAACGCGATTGCCAATTAAAAAATGGGTAAACGGGACTGTTTATTGTAACAATGGTAGCAATGACAATTGTGACTACAGTGTTCTTCCAACGGCCATAACTCTGCTAAGAATGAAGTAATATTTCTGAAATTTTTAACATATTCGCTTTTCATTATCTATCTCTTAACAATTATAGCAAAAGCTGTCAGCGCTTTATCTAAATCTTACGTAATGCATCTTTAACTAACAGCAAATGTTTGGTCAGATTATCATTTGACCTGTTAAGTTTAAAATGGCTTAGTGATGCTTGAACAATGTTGATGTCTTGTAGTGAAAAGATATTTTTTTGTTCAAGCGGACTATGACTGAATTTGAACTCTCAATATCAAATGATATGTGGTAGGTGTTTGGCACAAGACAGGGCATGCATAATCATTCAAGAACACCTGATGCCAACATTTATTTATACTTTTGTCTTTTTCAGCAGATGCGTAATGATGTTATGCTTGTTGCGGGCTGAGTGCAAAAGTTCCTTGAACTATGTTTCCGTGTTTGTTCCAACATTTATTACGGGATGTGAGACCGCTATTATGATAGTGATTAGACTCAGATATTTAAAGAATAGTGCTTGTTACCATTTCAGTTTTTAAAAGTGTATATTATAGTGATCACTAATTGACTAAATAAACTAGTATTGTTTAAATACACAGAGGAAGGAGAAAATACATAAAACTCAGTTCACTTCTAATCAAAGACAAGTCTTCAGATTGTGTGCTTTTCATAGCTTTTTGTATTCCTGGGAAAATACACTTATGACTGGACCAAATGATTTATCGGTGTAAAGTACTAAAATCAACTTGACATTGTTTTGTTTGGTTATTTGTACCATACTTAACTGTTGCTACTACTAATTTAATATCAATGCTTAGATTATAAAGCAGTGGCACCATGCACAGATTCTGGTAGTGAAAGTGATGATATTTTTTATACTTGTGCCAGAAAGCATTATTTATCATATACTTTTATGTGTCAAATTTTAGTTTACAAGCCCTTGATAACTGAGGCAAGATTAGGCAAGTTTTCTGATATGTATGGGAATATGAATTAGCCTATTTACATATTGTTTATAGATAGATATATAATATATATTAAAGCTTAGTAATCATCTTCCATAATTGTACTATTATTTTTTTATATTATAAATTGTCTTATCATATTTATTTGTGTCAAACACAAGCTGTGTATCATAAAATATAAAATAATCTCAACACTTCCTGTAGCTCAAATATAAACTTTTAAATTTGTTTTGGGCTCAATTTCTTAAATACTTAATTTTAATTCAGTTTGTGCTGAATTGTGGTGGTATAACTTAAGATTTTCATTAAAAACAATGCCCTTAAAAAATATTAAAAGAATAGTGTATGTTCATTGACAGAATGTGAAAATCATTGTGCAGATTTTAATGGCCCTTTTTGGGGGTCTTAAGTTTTTATGCATATGGTCCCAGGATTTTAAGAGTGAAATGTGAAGAAAAGGCCCCAGTGTTCTAACATATCTATTCTACAAATATATTTAATCTTTTTCATATTTTACTGAATTTATAAATTAACAAATGAAAATATAAAATAGCAGAAAGTGTTTATTTTAAAAGAACAATCAGTCATATCTCGCGACATCTTGCAATAGCAATTGTCTGTTATGTATTATGAATCCTAGTGTCTAAGTAACATTGGGAGTTGGGTCTCTGTGCTCTATGATTAACTCAAAATGTCATGAAATTAGTTAGGCCTTTTAAAATCAATAACATTTCATTTTATACACAAACCTAGACGCATTGAATGCTGTATGTATGTGTGGTTGTGTCAAGATGATCTCACTGCGTAATCTAGAGCTGTATAGCAAAATGCTTGAATTACATTATGTAAGTCTTATGTATGCTTAACGAAACAGGACCCAAATAGAAAAAAGACAAGTTATGTATCCCATCAGTTAACAGATTTCAACTGTAAAGTATAATGCAGTATTTTTTGTTGTAGATGAAATATACTACATGTACTTCAACATGTTTGCTGAGGTGTACTAAACACCACATTTTTAGATACTTGCTACATACTCTGCTATCTACTCATTAATAAAATTTGCAGCCTTTTTTTTTTAAAATGGCGAATGCTGTCAATGGTTTTAGAAATTTTTTTCTGAAATGTATTTATTCCTAGATCACAACCATAAGAACTTTCTCAGGCATTAGATATGAATATATGACATTTTGAAAAATAATTTGATATATAATTGAACTTCCAAACTCTGTTAGTCATATTGATAGCTTATTTATCTGTACACAATACACAAGTATATTGGCAAATACATTTGAACCTCACTGACTAATAAAGTCTTACTAGTAATTCACTTTCACTACTTTCAGTCAAGTTTTTTTTTTTTTTTTTAAGAAAGAAGTAAACACAATAGTATGTTTATGATTCTGGTCCAATTTTATTCAAGTATGTTTATTTTCATATCTTATGGTTAGTGATAATTTTAATCATACCCAATGTACATCATTTTTTTTTTTGTTATATTGTTTGTTAATGATATCTTTGTATAAAAATAATGAATTTCTTGCAGTAAATGATTGGAATGATTAAAACCATAAACATTAGTCTGTTTTTCTTGACATATTTACATATTTAGAGCATAAAATAGGCTGAATAAAGAAAAGAAATTTCATCTAGATGGGAATTAATTGTCTGTGGTGGCAAATGTCCCTTAGAAAGTTTTACTTCTCTCCAATCAAATAATTTCTGGCTGTCAGTATCATCCATCCCAAATTCCTCCTCACTGTTATTACTTCTGACACTGACACATAAGAATTTGACAGTTTAGCCTGCTATGCCTAAATGACATACATATCCCTTTCCTATTAAGGAGGCGCCTCCATTATTGTAACTTCATATAACTATCAATATCTGTCACAATTAGTTTTTGTAGAGATAAGATAGCTTAGAAATATTTGACAATCATTTCACACAGCACAATTCCAATCAAAAGATCCTGTCAAATTTAATGTGAATGTATCTCCCCCGTCGTTATCCCCATTCTTCATATTTCAAATTATTGAATACATCTGGTGGTGGGGGTAAAAGAGATGGTGGAAGATTTGGAATGTGCATCAAGTTGGTTGGTATTGTATAAACTGGTAGAGTTAAATCAGGTGCAATAGAAGGGCTTTCAGACTGAAGTCTTTTATCTCTCTTAGACAGCCAATCTTCTAATGATGGTGGTGGGCCTGTATTAAGATGACGTTTTTGTAAAACTAGAAAGGAAAAAAAAAAATCATAATTGGCGGGCTTAAAAAAAAAAAAAAAATCACAATCTACGTTCAAAAAAGTAATTTAAAGAACAGAAAAAAAATTATAAGTTGCCTACAGGTAATACCGGTATTAAATCCATCAAATTTTAAACATACATACATAAAATACATACCTTGTTGCTCTAGCTGAGCAAAATCTGCTTCTGTTAAATGAGAATACCTGCAATTGTCACCAAAGTCACACATTCCTGCAATAAAAACAAAATACAATCAATCATCATAATTCCTATTTTTGTTTCTGTAAGACAGGCTCTCATTTGCCTAAATATTTATAAAATTCTTGAATAATTGTATTGAAAATACTGCTGTCTCCAACTACTGGGGATTTAGCGACCAGTTTGTATGCAACCTATATGCATTCTTTGTGTAGCCAAAGTTGACAGGAGTATATATATATAGAGAGAGAGAGCGAGAGAAATGGGTTTAAGCCCACTCTACACTAACTAGGTCATTTTGGACCAACACGTGGTTCAATTTTATTTCAATAATTCGCTTGCACGTAGGGGTTTTTAGCAGTGGGAGGAAACCGGAGGACCCAGAAAAAACCCACGAGGTTGAACAGGTGACCCTATCCCTTGTCACGTACAACCAGGGAATTGAAACCATGCCACTTGACTCAATGACAGACCTTATGATACAGCGCGCACGTGCTGACCATTCAACCATCCACACACACCCACCCCCATTTCTGGAATATCACTAGTCCTTATTTCTAATAGTTTGGTTGACAAATGTTTCAGAACATAAAAGATGTCAGCTAATCAATGTTTCTTTTAGAATTTAAAGCAATTGTGCACAATTTCATATGTGTAGTTTGATGTACAGCAAGCTTATCAATTCTATTACAAATAATATTTACTATGCAAACAGGCTTTTTTACCTCTAGGAAAATTTTTGCATGGTCTTTTCCTTCTTTCTTCCTGAAGTCTTTCATCTGGATCTGTGAAAATAAAATTTATAAAGTTTTATCAGCTATCTTAGAAATTACACAATATCTTTATTTCAAACCCAAATTGGAAATTTTACTTTATCTTATGAAGTCCAACAAAATACTGAGGATATAGTACATCAGCTATAAAAGATTATTTGATTTTACTCTCTTAAGTAAAAGCCAATAGTGACTAGGACCTATCCGGGGAACTGAAAGGCGTAGAAAAACATTTTTTACTGTTATTTTTTGGGACATCAAAAAAGGAGAGAGAGAGAGAGAAAGTCATTTCGGGACTAACATATGGTTTTAATTTTATTTCAATAATTTGCTTGCGCGTAGGGGTCTTTAGCAGTGGGAGGAAGCCGGAGGACCCGGAGAAAACCCACGAGATTGGACAGGCGACCCTACTCCTTGTCACGTACAACCGGGGCATCAAAAAAGGAACACCAAAAACAGTAATTATTTAATAGAACTATTTGAGAGAGACTATCTGTAAAAACTAAAAGGTATAGGAATTTATTATGGGAATTGATGAGACAAGTCATGCAAGAGCTCTTTCTTTGCGTCAATCTGACAAGTCAATTGAATGTATGAAAACTAATCTCAGTCAAAGACAACTCATCCCAATAAAAGACAACTCATCCCAAGACAGAAGACCAATTTCTTTGCAAGTTTAGGAGACCACTCATTCCAAGTTTAAAAGACCACTCATCCCACCATAGTCGTGTTTATTTCAGTACATGGGCCGAGATATAAGACCACTAAGACCAATAAGATTAAGATACCGGTACTCAATTTATTGTTTATTATTTATCATTATTTAATGTTCATTCCGTTAGTTCGTTGGCCCATAGATAACTCCACATCTTTTTAATAACTGACTTGTACACACAGTTTAAATAGTTTGAACTGGGTAGAGCAAGTCTGTTTTTGCTGGTGCCTTTTTAACCTATTCTCTGACACCATTTTAATCAGTGATGGTAGATGAGCTGATTGGAGGTTGTTTCCTTTTTTTGCCTTCTGGTTCATTCAGACGTGCCAATCTTCAACATCCTTGTTGAAAATCAGGTTGGCCTATGTGGTCTTCATAGTAAACAATTGTATTAAAACAAATACAACTATCACGTTATTTCTTGGGATGAGTTGTCTTCCAACTTGGTATGAGTAGTCTTCGATCTTGGGATGAGTTGTCTTCTATCTTTGTTGTTCTTATTGTTTAACGTCCACTTCCACCGAAGTTGATATCGTAGACAAGTCTTTTTTTTTTTAATTATTTTATCATCTTAGTGCAAGGGGTCTTTCCTGTGCAGGGGAAACCGGAGTAAACCCACAAAGTTGAGAAGGAGCCCCTATCTCGAAGCCACATACGCTCACACCTGGGATCGAAACCACAACCGTAAGCCAGAGGTGACCGGCCAGCTAGAGGTCAAAGCGTGACACTCTAGGCCATCCCAACCCCCCTCTTCTACCTTGGAATGAGTTGTCTGGATACCGGTCAATCATATCTAGATCTACCTTTAAAAGAATTGTAATGATTTTTGCGATTATTCTTATGCTGTGTTCCATTTAAATGATTTTTTCTACTGGACGGATTGTCTGCAAATGATTTCTCACAAAATTCACAGTAATATTGACGACCCATTATTACACTGAGAGTCTGAGACAAACACAAACAAACGAGATTTTATTTTTCTCTGTCAGCAGGAGGAAGTAACTCTAGCGAACAAGGGGGTAATCATTATTATTATTCATAAAGTGAGTTAAACCTTTGATATTGTATATCTTAAACCTCTAAATGGTCGATATTTTAATAAATTTTAATATTTGTGAAGGTCGTTAGAATCAAATATTAAAATGTAAGGTAAAATGTAATCCAATCATTATTAGCCGAGTAGTAGTACAGTAATAAATTATCCTTATGACGTCATGCACGGTATATAATAGAGCACCTTGCTTCCCGTTATCCATTTTTCCTTAACGGTGGATCAGACAAGATGGAGTCACCAACTGATACAAGTTTAACTGCCGGTAACTCTTAAACAAAATAGATTAAGCTTACATAAATCACGAGTAGCTGCAAATTGTTTTAAAAGCTAATAATAAAATGTACATGTCAGTTCTAAAATTAAGGAATTTTCTTCGTAAATAAATCATTTTATTTATTTTTTTACTCTTTACGTAATCAGTGTCAAGGGAGATAACTACAAATTTGGTTTTAGATGAATTAACAGTTTTAACATAATATTGACAATTTACATGTTTGATATGGTAATAATAACCAGCATTCCAGGTATTTTTTAAGTATAGACAGAATAGATTGTAAATATCAACAAGTCTGGTTGATAGACTGCCAATTTATAATAAGGCCCTGATAGACGGCAATACTATATGGTACCGGAAAACACTGAAAAATCCCTGAAAACAACTGGAAAACTACTGTAAAAACACCATGTTATACTGAATACCGGAAAACACACTAAATACCGGAAAACACCTTAAATAGGTAACCCGGAACCTGGTCCTCCATGTGCGGTGAATTAGGGTTAGGTTTTTCTGGTGTTTTCCAGAGGACTAGGCTCTGGGTTACCTATTTAGGGTGTTTTCCGGTATTTAGTGTGTTTTCTGGCATTTAGTGTTTTTCTTGTGTTTTCCAGTATTTAGTATAAACATGGTGTTTTCTTGTAGTTTTCCGGTGTTTTTCAGTGTTTTCCGATACATAGTAATGTCCCTGCCAGGACACTAAGCTAGTTCTATTTGGAATGGTCTCTGAATGGACAAAGTCCTCTGACTTAGGAACTACCTTAGTGTCAGTCAATATTAATATAAAAACTGCATTATGGACACATGATATTTTGAAGTAGCTGCCCCATTACAGTTTTACTTCAGTAGGCCTACTGGTAGACAGTGATAGTTCTTAATCATAAATAATAATTAAGACCATTTCAATATTCATTGGAGATAAGGTTGAACTGGTTGACGTCTATATGTTTTCTCCTTTTGCCCCTGTTTCTTCAAACTGCTAAAAGACTCCTGATCCATGCTGTTTTAAATAGCATTCATATAAGAATGGATTTTTTTATTCATAATCAATGTCATGATAGTTTTGTTTTTCCCTTCAGTGGCTTTAGTGGAAAGTTCAAGTCGGCCAATGGGTGTTCAACTTGTCAATTCAAGAATGACAAATAAAACGTCAGATCCGATGGATTTAGTGGAATTGGCAAAACAGGTTCAAAAGGTATTATTACAAACTCATAATTATATTTGTTTTCCAACATCTGAAAGAAAATTGAACCATATGTTAGACCTAGTTTGTGTCGAGTGGACATTAATCCACATTTCTTTCTCTCCTCTTTGTGTAAAGATTAATTTGGCTAATATGCTATGTTGAAAATACATAGTTATTGTTAGAATTTTGCCCAATTTGAGTGCAGTATTTATTCTCCACGTAGATTAGTTATGCCTGCAACCTTTAAATCTGTCTATAAACTTATTAAAAATGTGCTCTAATCATTCAAACACATTAAACTGTATTAAATTTCTTTGTCTCTTTATAACCCAAAATATAGAATAATGTATTTGCATTGTAAAATGACGTGACATGATGTAGGTCATATAGGATTAGTTAGGAATATTTAACTTCATTATGATCATCTGAATAATTGTTGGTACCATAAGCATAATTCATTAAAATTCAGAAAGTTTTAATATCAACCTTGAAGCATGTATCAGGATAGACAACTCTTTGATTACAATTTACATCTAACACGTTGCCATGTGTGTTCTTCTTTTTGCTATGTGATATTAAACTGTATTTGATAAAACATTTTTCAGGCTGATGAATTTACACGAGCAACTGCTGGTAGTAAATTGATAGTGATAGCAGATCAAATTAAATATTTACAAGAACAAGCAAGAAAGGTATTATTGTATAATAATTTATTAATACAGTACACAAAGGAATTTAGTTAAGAACAAAACTATCATTTAAAAATACATTATGTAGGATTTAGGTAAAGAATTAGTCGCTCTTGCTATAATACTTCAAAAATAGATAATTCAAAATGAATATATTGAAAATTTCATTTAAATTACTTTATTCTGAGCGAAGTAGGTTTGGCAAGATGTGTGCATTGATCGTTTATTATCATAACCATGCTTCTCCATTTTTAAATTAATTCATTAAATAGCGGAATCATTCTTATCTACTTAAAATCGGAGCCATCCGATGGCATCAAGAATTGATTATGGTCTTGTCATGTTAATAAATATCTAATTAATAATTTATATAACATTTAAGGCCTAAAGAAAGACCTGCAATAGTCATATTTAGCTTTTAAGTCAATTCTATACAGTACTTGGAATAGAAATCTGAGTAGATGGAGATACTGTTGTTTGTATGGTACTACATTCTCCATCCACACATTGGACGTAGCTGAAAAGATCAATATGTTACTCTCAAATGATTTAAATGAAGTATCAACAAGATCTTAACTTTTGTATTTTTGAAGAAAATTTAATTTATGATTATATCACTCTTGGGCCTTTCTCGCATACTTATAGTTTTAATCTCTAGTGTTTTAAACACAATTGTTCTGATTAACCAAAGAAGTAAAATCAAATCTTGCTTAAAATTTTTTATATATTTCCTTTCCCTTCATGTGTTTTATTATAGGTTTTAGAAGAAGCTAAGAGAAATGCTATGTTACATCATGCAGCATGTAATTTGGTGAAGAAACCAGGAACTATGTATTATTTATATGAACGAGAGTCTGGACAAAAATATTTCTCTATTCTCTCACCGCAGGTAAAACTTATTTATTACTTAGAGCAGTAAGTTGTTTTAAAGTGATGCACATTAGCTCTTTGGTTTGTTTGTTATACGTGATGCAGGACGGAGGACCTGACAAGGACAGCTGTCTAGTCCTTCGGATGGGACAAAAAACCAAGGTCCCGTGTATACATTGGAATGCACGTAAAAGATCCCTTGGCAGTTGGAATTCGATATTAGAGTAGGCGATAGTGCCGCTGCCCGGGCAAAATTTCCCTCATAGCATACTGTATGGCGTATGCCCGTCTTCATTAGCCCAGGTTAGGAGCAGAACAGTAGGACCTTAAACCCCATTTCATTTCATTTCATTTGTTTGTTATACAGCCATTAGTATCACCTTTTTTCCGTACACAGCTAAAGAGCTCTGTTGTGTGAAAGCTTAAAATGAAATAAAGATTATGTTTAGTGGGCGTTGAACTCCCATTTTCTAATGTTCATATAAAGAGAAGATTACTCTTTTCAGCCAGTGAAGATTTTATAAAATAGTACCATTTATTTTTAATACCTAAAAACACCATTTTGAGGGAGCAGGTAATTAAAGTGCTATAAATGAATATTCGTTTTACTTGACTTCTAGGAATGGGGAACAAGTTGTCCACATGTGTTTATAGGTGCTTTTAAATTGGAATATGATATGTCATGGACGCCAGTCGAGGAAGTTGAAAAACGTGGAGAAGAATTTGCTTTAATTGATAAAATTTTGAATGCCAAGAATGCTATAACGGACTCAACTGCTTTAATGTTTGGTAACTCAAGTAAATCAAAGACATCAGTACCAGCTGAATTAAAGGATATATCTGATAAGTGAATAGTGTATCTTGTAATAAGTAAAGGATGAGACTTAACAAACACAAAAACTATTAAAACTGTTTAGATATCCTGTATAATGGAAGTCTTTCATGAATTGTTTTATTGTTATTTCCAGGATATTTCTACTAAATTTTTTGTTTTATCATATTTAATATCTTTATCTTAAACATACATTATGCAAGAGCTAAATCTGCCTATTGTAGGTCTTTCTTTAGGCCTGAAATGTTATATAAACTATTAATTAGACATTGATTAACATATCCAGACCATAATCAACTCTCGATGTCAATGCTAGCCTGCCATAATTGTTGGATTATGATCCGATTTGCTGCATAACTTTCCTTCTCGATTTAATGATTAAATGGATAATCGAGACTATGATTTTTGTCGTACCGACTTTAGTAATGACGACTGAGGCTATGCTGAACTTTCGATCGCTTATTTCTCGGTTTATAGTGGATCAATTTGACTGAAATTTTCAGCAAATTGCCTTTACATTATCTAGTTTTAACTATTATAGTGAGAACTGCCAACTCGTTATCTAATCTCCCATAATGTATCTTTAATTATGAGTCACAAGGCAGCAGCACAGATAAAAACATATCTATTCAGCATCCATGCACATAAATAACCAGTTATAGTTATTGTAAGCTCACATAGAATTTGTAGCAGATGGTTGGACAGAAATACTTTCAAATAAATGAAATAATTGTTGGTTGTCGCCGACGTGAGATTAAATTTCTGTGTGACTGTCCTTGACCCAATTAAACCCAATCGGCATTTCAATATCATGTTGTTTTGTGGTTTCTTATTATGTGCTAAAAAAAGCACCACTTTCTCCACGTGACAAATGACCGTCTCGGAAAATTTTGAAGTGGAAGCCCTGGTTGTCGGTTCTTCGTCACATTTATTATTATTCAAATCATAAAGTTTGACGGAATAACATTTTAGATCTGATTAAATTATATTTATCCAATACTATGATTGTATTTACTGTTAAATATCTTGATGCCCTTTCAACTATGTTATTCATATAACAAATAAGCTTATATTGTCTATTTGTGGTCCACTTTGAATGATTGTTTGTGGCAGTTTTTATTAAAAGACAATATTGGTTCCAGTCATTATCACATATGTGATAGAACGTGTTTAATTAGTTCTATCACATATGTGATAATGACTGACACCAATATTGTCCTTTAATAAGTATTTGGAAAGATGTCTATGGATACTGGATATGAATATATTAATAATATTATATTGATAAGTATTTAACAATGTACAACTTTGTATAATAGTATTGTATAATCTAGACTATATATTCAAGGTTATTGTGTACATTATTTTTGTACTTTTAAATTCAGATCTTTTCATACTACAATTCAAGACAAGATCGGTACATAGTGCCCTTGTCTCTTCTATCAATAATACTGGGTTTCATTTTAATTTCATACTGTATATTTTTCCGCCAATGAAACAAAAATTCTTTGGTATATTTTTATTGAATTTGATTATTGCATTATCAAATCTGATGTTATTGGACTTTGAAGAAAGTTTATTTTGAGTATTTCTTTAACAACCCATAGCACTATATGAGTTGATGATGACTGATTTCTGTTGTTCTCTTGTTCACTGGGTTTAATGTCAGTCTGCCCATTCAAGCAATTTAGTTCATCGGTATGCATTATTTTCATTGAAGTCTGGGAGTATATCAAATGCCAAGGTCACGAAAGCAGCTTCAAGCTCGAGGCCCACCCACTGATACGCTTTGAAACGAATAATACGCAATAAACTCATATATTTCATCTCTCTACAACTGTCTGCCCATGTGCAAACATTACTACCACGTTTGAAACTCTCCCCATTGATATTGTAACCGTTAGTTCAACATGTCATCAGTTTTCAGTTCCGAAACGTTTTGTTTAAATCCGTATGCCAGCTGACGATAAATGGAACTGTGCTGTGTAATCAATTTTAACTAAAATCTTTTAAAATTCAATTTTTTAGTTACAATTGATCGTTGTGAAACACATAAAATTGAAAATTCTATTTTGATCTTAGTTAAAATCTATTTTAGTGATTTTAGCTTAACTTTTTGTGAAACAGGGCCCTGTTTTTAATACACAAAAAAATTACGGTATATTGTATATTTTGATTTTATTTAAAGCAATTTAAATGTACATATGTAATTAAGTATGATGATGTATTAAAAAAACATTATTTTTTCTCTTTTTGTGCTAATTCCATTATTTAATTCTGAACATATGTAAATTTTCCAGTGACCTTTACACGAATAATAACTCCTTCTTATAGGCCAATTTAATATTAAAAATTGTATCTCAAATTCAATTTTGGTATTGTAAAAGAATGGGAAAATGGCCTCTGTTTTAAAATCCGTGTGATAATTACTGTTTTGATCAAGTGATTACTCTAGATTACTGTATTGTGGTGTTCAAGAATTAGAATATGAATAGATTAATCAATATTATATTTCTTTTGATTGTTCTAATTTGAAGATATAATTCTTTTGATTGTTCTAACTTAAAGAATATTTCTTTTAATTGTTCTAATTTGAAGATATAATTCTTTTGATTGTTCTAACTTAAAGAATATTTCTTTTAATTGTTCTAATTTGAAGATATAATTCTTTTGATTGTTCTAATTTGAAGATTTATTTCTTTTGATTGTTCTAATTTGAAGACATATTTGTTTTGATTGTTCTTATTTGAAGACATTTATTTTGATTGTTCTAATTTGAACTTATCTGATCAGCGGCTGTTTGTAAATCAAGCTTTGGTGAAGTTAATTTTTGCTTGATCCACAAGATACTTTTTTCAATATCTGTTTTTTAAAAACAATTTTATATGCAGTTTGATTAACTCTTTAGCACTTAGACCATCCAAAACCGCCCTAACTAGGGCTCTTTAGACCACCCAAAACCGCCCAGACTAGGGCTCCTTAAACTGCCTCAACCCAGCATGAACTAGTAAATGGTCATTGAATGCAGAAAGCTATTCACATATTTTGATTGGTTTGAGACTATCTAAGGAATAGCAGTTTTGATCTGTATTGATACATCATTTTTCTGTAAATTTTTTGAAAGAACTGGGGTAGTCAATATGTGTATGCACCAAGTGCTAAAGGATTAACATATATTGTACATTTGAAATTTATTTCAGATTGCATATGACGTTAACATTGTCTACAACAAAGAAATAGAAACGGAGAATCTCTCCTTGATTCTTTTTTGTTCCTTTTATGGACTACATTTAAATGTTTGGGACTATTGGATGGTATGAATTAAAGGGGTTGTATTGGCATTATTAAAGATGGGTTCCCGCGTACAAACTGGGTGATTTAATGGTATATATGGACCAAAAACATATTCAAACTAATTAATTTGTCATAATTATGCTTCAAATCCTTCTCAAACATTGTAATTGCGAAGGAATGCCCTGCTATTAAAATTCGATCAAACCAGGTCATGTTTACGTCATGTCTTGGGAGTCAGAGGAGAATTCATTGCATACATAAGACGATGTTGTCTTTAATCGCTTACTGTTTATTACAAATATCGAATTCTAATTAAATTCTCGGATTATCCTCCCGCGTCTTTTTCCGTCATTTTTATCTCAGAAAGTATTGAACGTCGAACTCTTCATAAAGTTTATCAACTTGTACATCAAGCGCCCAATGTTCGCTTGTGACCTTTGACATCACGCGTGCAGAGGTTCATAATCGTCGGACTGTTGATTAGTGGAACCCTTACATTTTTGTCCTGTATACGCTCCATGAGTGTTTTTCGGAGAATCCAGTATTTTTCTGGTAAGATTGGATATTTCTACTTTCCATATATACCAAAATTGCCATACTTTTATTGGAAATAACGACCCGATAAATACTTTTCTCGGAACCCATCTTTAAATAAAAAGGATTTTAATTTAGACAAACGGCATGTTATAAAGTACCATGATAATAAATTAATCAAGAGCCGGAAATCTAATTCGAGACTCAGTGGTACTGTGAATAATAGTCATAACATGAGCTGCACTATTAATTCACAAATACATAATGAGTTAGTTGTAACATACACTGCACTATTAATTCACAAATAGAAACACGTACTAATTTATCAATTCAGTGGTATGTATATACATGTACACGAGGAAGAGTGTGTTTATTCTTCAGTTGAATTTTTTAAAAAAAATTAAATTGATAAATTACAATTATTCAGAAATTTGTTATGATGGATGAGCATGTATGAAACATTAAAACTGCTTAATAATTTATGTAATTGAGCATGTTTGTTTAGTTTCTTTTTGTTATTTTATAGTGAATTCTAATTGTTATAAATTATGTTATTAGATGTTTCTGGTTGTTATATTAAATCATTATTTTGTTAGTCATTTTGTTGACTGTTTTTTTTTTGTTTGTTTGTAGATTTATTTATGTTTTACTGTGTTAATACTGCACAGCAGTTTAGGTCACTTCATTTATATATGCCCACATTGAAATCATGGTTGTATATTGTCGTCACCCCTGTCTGTCTAAATTTAATATCTGATCGACTTTAAATTTATACACAGGGTTAGAGGTTGTGAGAGAAAGATACCTATTGATTTTGAACAGTTTCCGATAATTGCTGCCAGAGCTATGACCTTTGAGAATTTTGAAAAGTCTTGTGGATGCTCTAGAGACTGAAGTTGTCATCTGATTACCTTTAAATTTATATACAGTGTTTATGTTGATCAGACAAAGACTCATCATTATGTTTCATGATTTGTACAAAGGTTAGCATCAGGAAGTAGGTATCTTTCTGATAATTGCTTCATAGGTGTTACCTTTTAGTGTCATGAAAATGCTTCCATGATAGATGGAAGAAAATAAATATTTAACAACTCTTTGGAGTGCTTGAACAACGTAGCTGCTTCACAACCTATCTTTGACTTCTACTACAGAGAATTTAACACCATTTCATATGCTTATGGTATAGGGTTGGGTATTACTATATATATTCATATTATGAATATCTACACTATAGGGGCACAAATTCGCCAGAGACCCAATTCGATGGCCTAAAACGTTCATGGTCATGCTGGTCAATTTGATACCACATATGGGGGTGGAGAGCGGTAACAAAGCATTAATTGGCCGTGGTGACAAAGCGTGGTGGGTGAACATACACACATAAACCCATGCATACTTTGATTTTATTTATATGGATGATGAAATTTGCAGGGTTTACGATTATGTCATAATTTGTCATGTAACAAAAATGTGCCCTATTTAATACTTTGGAATTTTGATGATTATTAGTGTAGTTATTGCCCTTACTTTTAACAAATACCATTCAAAAATTTAGTAGTGAAACAATTTGCAAGAAGTGGTTGACTCAACTGACTATCATTTGGTCATATGTTGTGTTAGCTCTAAGGTTCTGTATAAAGAAATCGACCTTGATTTGATGTTTTTGATCCCTGACATCATCAAGCTACCTATTTCATATGGTGCTCAAGATTCAACACCACCAAATTTTTTTTTTCGTTTGGATCCCGCACAAATCAAATTATTCATTGTAAACTGCGTCTCTTTTGCAGCAATCTAATCGGACATAAATTTTTACGTCATATTACTGATAATCCATGCTGCAAATGTGGTCATCACTTCGAAGATACTGAACATTTTTTATTGAATTGCTCCTTATATTCAGATGCCCGAAATAATACAATTAATAACTTAACGACTATCCATCAAAACACTACTGTCTTACTGCACAGAATTGGCGACATAGAAACCTCACTCAATATTTTTAAAATTGTCCACTCGTTTTTCGAAATCACCAGACGCTTCAAGGGACAACTATAACGCACTTATTGTAACTACATTTTCACTTGTACATTATTCGCCTATTTCTAAAATTCCATAGACAGCTGTAACACAACCACGGCAATCATATTTTCATGTGTACATTGATTATTTATTTCTAAAATGTAAATACATGTATCTATATCTGACAGGGAGAGGGGTTTAATATAGGCTATGCCTGTTCCCCAATCCCTATTCTGATACAAATCTGAATAAAAATATTGCTTAAAAAAAAAAAAAAAATATATAATCTGACAAAATAAAGGGTGTTTGATTGTCAGTTTAAAAGTACCAGCAAAAATACATTTTGTATTGCATGTGACACAGATTGTTGTTCCTTTTTCTAGAAAGTAAAGAAATATATAAGTAATATAAGTAATGTTTTATATTTAGTGCTTTCTGTTACATTGTTTACAAATTTTGTTTTTGATTAAAAATCAAATGATAATTTTCCTGTACATGCTAATACACTACACTTTCATTCTATATTTTTAATACAATATAAACTTTATAACATTTATCTAGCCTGGTTGATCCATTTCCTTAAATTCAATTTTCCTATTTTGTGATGTCATTAGGAAGCAAAGTTAAAGATGTAAGAAAACATAATTGCTTGTTTTGTGGTAATAGTTTTTCTATATTCATGATGAATGAATTTAGTGAGCTTATAAAATTATTAACAGTGTTTGAAGTTGTCGTCCTTAGGATCGGTTTTCCTATTTTATGATGTAATTAGGAAGCAAATTATTCTTGTTTCTGTTATTTTCCATTATGACATGTTGGAATTGTGTTTTGGTAGCTCTGGATAAAAATCTATTTAGTGGGTATTTGAAAAGGATAATGTAATTCAGCTGTTGGTAAATATAATATATAAAAAATGTGATGGTGTCACTAGGTGATTGATGTCTTATATAAACATTATAAATGTTTAACTGATAAATTGTTTAATTTGTGAGATAATATATAGATTAAAGTGCACGTACCGGTACTTCTCTTCTATGGTTACTTAGATAAATACACAAAATATCAAAACTACTTCCAGTTAAAAAAAAATCAACTACTTTTAAGTCTTCATTCTGATATACATCAAATCATGAGCAGGCTGTCTGCTCTTAATTGGGGGGTTGGATGACTGAATGGTTAGCGTGCGTCATTGAATCGACTGGCGTGGTTTCGAATCCCCGGTTGTACGTGACAAGGAGTAGGGTCGCCTGTCCAACCTTGTGGGTTTTCTCCGGGTCCTCCGGTTTCCTCCCACTGCTAAAGACCCCTACGCGCAAGCGAATTATGTAAATGAAATTAAACCATATGTTAGTCCCAAAATGAGCTAGTTTGTGTTGAGTGGACGTTAAACCCCATTTCTCTCTCTCTCTCTGCTCTTAATTGAGTGTCTTCAGATGTTATAATGTATGTATAGATAAAGATGTGCAAGTTAGGTGTTTACCCCTTTCTCTTCAATGCAGCATTTATGTACCGAATCAGTATTTAGATATATGAATACCCTTGTATAATGAGAGAATAATAATAATGATAATCTATTTATAAAGCACTGAATATCCAAAAAACTAGTTGCTCAAGATGAAAATGACTAAGTCATCACTACACCGTAAGGTCGGTTGAGTTGTGACGTCGGACCAAAACTGACGGTCAAAATGGCCGCCCCTCGTAGGCAAATAGTGTAAAAAATATGGTATATCAAGGTTGTGGACCCTCTAGAGACCACAATTTTGAACCGATTTTGATGAAACTTTATGTTTATATCACAAAAACCCTGGTTCCTTTCAATAATTAGTAACTTCCTGGATTGTGGCCCCTGATTGTTCGAAAAATCGCATTTTTAGCTTGTGTACCTGCTAGAAGTCACAATCTGTATTCAATTTCAAAAAACATTTAAATATATCACTGTTACACATCAATGAAGGTTGAGTTTGAATTTGGTAAAATATGTAATACCAAGGTTGTGAACACTCTAGAAGTCACAATTTTTAATGAAACTTGAAATGTATGATTATAATCCAAATATTTTGGTTCCTTTTGATGTTTGCACATATCGGACCATAACTTCCTGGATTATGGCCCCTGGTTGTAATAAAAAATCATGTTTTTAGCGTGTAGACCCTCTAGAGGTCACAATTTTTATCAGATTTTGAAAAACGTTTAAATGTATCACCGTTACACCTTAATAACAGTTGAGTTCAAAAATAAGATCGAAACTGCCTGACAAAATGGCAGCTACATGTACGCATAATGTAATACTAATATTATGGTCTCTCGAATTGCGTGAAGATCTGACCTAAACTGCCAACAAAATGGCTGCTCCTTGTACGCAAATAGTGTAAAAGTATGTAATACCAAGGTTGTGGACCCTCTAGAAGTCCAAATTTTTATCCGATTTTGATGAAACTTAAAATATATCTTTACATCCCAAACATCTCAGTCCTTTTCAATATTCACACATTTCAGACCATAAGTTCCTGGATTATGGTCCCTGATGGGCGTAACTTGCCTGGCAACCGCTGGTTTAAAAACTTTATGCATTTACAGCCAATTATTCTAGTTGTAATTCAATATGATGAATGATAGTATATGTGATCAGGGAAATATGTGATCCTGTGAGTTCAAATCACTCCAGGGGGCTCTAGAGTGGTTCCCCCTTGTCAGTGATGCAGGACATTTGTGTGCACGTAAAAGATCCCTTGACAATTTGAATTCGATATATAAGAGTAGGCCGTAGTGCTCTGTCCGGGCAAAATTTCCTTCATAGCACACTGTATGGCGTATGCCCGTCTTCATTAGCCCAGTTCGGAGCAGAACAGTAGGAGGTTAATCTCCATTTCATTTCATTTTTATCCAGCATATAGAGTATTCCTTTTCAGAGAGCAATATCATACAAATTGTCTGACATTTAGATTTTCTGGATACTGGAATCTTGTTGGTCAACTCCCACTGCTAAAGATCACTTTGCACTATAAATATATAGGACATAACAGGTGTTCAACTTATCTGTTTGATTGACCTAAAAAAAATCTTGATCAGACTCTGTACACAGCAGATTTTCTACAAAATTAATTGTGATGTGCAGCTTTTCATGATCGGTGTGTTGCCTGCAGGAGCTTTGATTTAGTGTGATAAAAAATACTCAAGTTCACAATTTGGAATGATTGATTGTTGAATTAATATTTTAATTTTACACTATTTTTAGCAAGAATAGATGCATAATCATTGAATCTCTCAGGCATTGAACATAACCACTGGGCAATGAAGTGGTTTTTTTTTTCTATTTTCTGTTTTTATGTGTATTTGACCTACACAGTACAGTGACATTAAATAGATGCACTGTTTAAATGTTATCGCTAGAAAGATAAGTTAATGCACGTGGGGCAGTGTAAACTGAATGTTATTTAACATATAAAGTAAGGTAGGCAGTGATTTTAAATTAAAAGTACCGACATTGAAATATATTATTTGTAATATTTCTAATTACATATATTTAAATCATCATCTTGACTATTATTCATAGTAAGCTTTATGGATTGGTGTCGAGATTTTTTGTCTAATTAATATTTAATTACATGGCAAATGTGTGTGTGTAGTGCATTGTATTTTGATCTGTATTTATCAGTTATCTTGTGATAGTAATTTTACTGTTGTTTTTTTTTTTTTTTTTTTTTAAAAAGCATATCTCTGGTCTAGATCATAGTCCAAGATATGGTTTTTAGAATGACGACATACACAATCACTTGTAAATTGTAAATGCATGTGGATGAATAATATTAATTGAATAATAAATAATGTGCATGATTCCTCATAGAATGTCACTTTATTTGGACAGATGATAACGACTAACTGGTTAGGGTTAGGATTATAAACCTCTGGCAGCATTGTCCTATGGGTTCATTTATTTAATTGGCATAGTTTCACATCTATTGCATCATATGTGGCATTTATTTATAAATTATGTTGAAATTACTGGTTTTACTCTACTGTTATGTAATGAAATATTTGACTTCAACTATGCTAGCTTAGCTATTATATTATCTTTACAAATCATTGTCTTTTTCAGATTTTTACAGCTTAACATTATTTACACTTGTTTCACTTAAGTTGCCAAATCTTCAAGAGGTTGGTATGTGGTATTTCCAATAAAACATTGGATAAAAGAACTGGAGATCAAGACAGAGATCTTTTGAAAAGATCAGATTTTTTTGTGAGCACTGAAGCGGTTTATACTCTTTATCTTGTTACACAACAGACAGTACATATTTTGACCTTTATTGAGTTCATTCACATTTATTTTCCATATTAGTTAATTCTACTTGTGAAGATGGATATAGAAACCTCTGAAGATTATAAACTATCATTTCAAGATATAAATATTTTTATCAACAAGACACAGATATTACATAATGTATGTGGAGATGTACAAGGTAAAGAAGTACTGGCTGTCATGGGACCAAGTGGTGAGTTTTTATATAATTACATAAAAAAAATTTTAGTCTAATTTTAGAATGAGCTCCACAGAGTTATCTTTCTGTTCACATTTTATATTTGAAAGCTCACAATGAATATTTTTATATGCCTATGTGTATTTAGGGCATATATAATAGTCAACTGTCAGACATCTGTCCATCATCAATTAGTAAAACGGTTATAGTTTTTTTTACAGATCTTTTTCAAAATTTAATACCAAGCATTGTGGTCATGATTGGACAAACCCTATTGATATTCATTGTTCCATGGCCTTCCATACCGTTGCGTTCTAGATTTAGCCCAAAACCTTGGAAAGTTTTTATATGCCCACATTTTCATTTGGAGGTATATTGTTGTTGCCCTGACCGGACCACTGTTCGTCCACAATTTGTTTGTGGACATTACACAGGTCACAGTTTTTATCCGATTTTGACAAAACTTGAAATATAGGTTTATCTCCCAAAGATCTCTGTTCCTGTCAATTTTGGCATGTATCGGACCGTACCTTCATGGATTATGGCCCCTGATTGTACAAAAGTCATGTTTTTAGCTTGTGGACACCTAGAGGTCACAATTTTGATCCGATTTTGATAAAACTTAAAATGTATGTTTATTACCCAAAGATCTCGGTCCCTTTCGATATTCGCGCATATCAGACGATAACTGCCTGCATTATGGCCCCTGATTGTATGAAAAAAACATGTTTTTTTAGCTTTTGGATTCTCTAGAGGTCACAATTTTTTATCCGATTTTAAAAACCATTTAAATATATCACCATTCCACCATGATGAAGGTTGAATTCAAAATTGCCTGACAGAATGGGCGCTCTTTGTACGCAAATTGTGTACACGTATGTATTACTATGAAATACAAAGGTTGTGGACCCTTTTGAGGTCACAATTTTTATCCGATTTTGATGAAACTTAAAATATATGTTTATGTTCCAATGATCTCGGTCAGTTTTGATATTTGCACACTTCAGAAAAATCGCTTTTGTTTTTAGCTTGTTCTCCATCCATCTCTTGCAAAATGTTGGTGCATCTTGCCTGACAACTGTTGGAGACAGTTTTCTTGAAGGCATCCCTTATCAAATTTGGTGAACATCCTAGTTTTCCTTTAGGATAAGCGGCTTTCAAGACACAGCATCTCCATGCCTGTTTTTCCACACATAGGGTGACTATCTTTTTGTGTTTGTGTAGGTTCTGGTAAAACAACCATGCTTAATGCTATAGCTGGTCGTGAAGCTGTAAAATCAGGAGAAATAACAATAAATGACCAATGTATCAACAAACAGTTAAGAAGAAAAATGGGATATGTTTTACAACAAGATTTATTCTATTCTAACCTTACGCTATGGGAGACATTATATGTAAGTTAATTAATGTTCAGTAAAATTTAAAATTTTGTATTTCGTAATAACATGGCAATGGAACCACTTCAGTAGTCAAGCAGTTAGGACACTGGAATCTCAACAAGAATGTCCTGAGTTTGGATAATAATAATAATCGATCTTGTATAGCACTGGTACATTCAGTAAAACTACTCAGTGGCACACAAACAAGATGCCAGTATGAAACAAGAATATATTTTTTTGAGATTTCACAAAGTCATTGTGGGGGTGACAAGTAAAGTGTTGCCTAATTGTTTGGAAGGGATGAAAAGCCAAGGTCCATCTGTGCATGTAAAAGAAATGAAATGAAAGGATGTCAGGCATATATGCCATGCAGTGTGCTATGAGAAAAATTTTTTAATTTATATTTAATCAAGAAAGATATGAAAACTTAGGTTTATGCCTTTGTTTAAAGAAGAAGTCACAGTTTTTATGGATTTTTTGTAGGTTTTTTTTCAAGTAGGTAGTTTTAGCATTGATATGAAAAAATTCCAGTCCATAGAACTAATAATGATTCAGTTTATTTTTATTACCTACATGTAATTCCAATAATAATTTTTTCTTTCTATGTTTAGTTTACAGCTATGTTACATATACCAGAAAAAGTACCCACGTCTGAAAAACTTCGACGTATTGATGCAATTATTGAAACTTTAGATTTAGAAAAATGTCGAAAAACAAGTAAGTATTATTGAAACTCTTCCTCAAAACATTTTAATTTTCAACAAATGCAAAGTGATTCAAAGTCCATCATTGATAATTGATGTTTTGACTTTTTGAGAAAGTTCCGGTTCCATTTTGCTTTAAAAAATATAGTGGGAATCTGTTAAAAAAAAAAAAAATAAATAAAATACAGATGTCTATTACATCTCTGTCTAATAAGAAAAAATTATTATTTTCATTCTCCTTATTTGTTGTTTACTCAATTAACATCTACTTAAGAAAGTATATTCAGGGTCTTTATAATACCTTTGACCTGGATAATAAAAGCCTATTGAGAAAATTAATGTTCGAGAATTTTCTGTATCATGAGTTTTGATCTTGAGTCAACCAATAAAAAAAAATATTTTAAGACCCAAACAAAGTGAACACTTAAAAAAGGGGGGTGTTCCCACTTAGCCGGCAGGCTTTGATGTCAAATTTTGCCGCTAATCCAGAGTTAATCCTAGAACAATGGTGTTATAAACTATAGTCCATATCTTTTTTAAGACTAAAACTGTATTGATTTTAACAATTTTAACTTTTATTAAATAACATTAAATAGCTTACACATATAAAAATATATTGATTTTAACAAATTTAATATTTATTAAATAACATTAAATGATTTACACATATAAAAATGCATTACAATTTACACATTGAACTTTTATTAAATAGCATTATATAATTTATAAATAAATGCCTTATAATTAAATTTCGGCCACCTCGATTATTGGAGATAAAGCGAATATTAACCTGAAGTTTGCCATTTTGAAATAAATATTATTTCGACACAGATCGACCATCTATTTATATTAATATAGTGAATTGAATTCATGTTTGAAATCATAACGGGGGGTTGGATGGCTGAATGTTTAGCGTGTGCACGCTGTATCATAAAGTCTGTCATTGAGTCAACTGGCGTGGTTTCGAATCCCCGGTTGTACGTGACAAGGAGTAGGGTCGCCTGTCCAACCTCGTGGGTTTTCTCCGGGTCCTCCGGTTTCCTCCCACTGCTAAAGACCCCTATGCGCGGGCGAATTATTGAAATAAAATTAAACCATATGTTAGTCCCGAAATGACCTGGTTTGTGTCGAGTGGACGTTAAACTCCATTTCTCTATCTCTCTCTTGAAATCATAACGCCAGCATGAACTGTGTTCAAAATGTCATTAATTAGTTGGTTAATAAATTTCATTAAGAGGGATTAAGAGCTCATTAACGCTGAACCCTAGTGAACAGTTCTTGAGTGACTACTTTTAAACAGACTATAGATTTAAGATCAATCAAAGGATTAACAGTCTGCCAGCTAAGTGGGAACACACCAAAAAAAGATCTGAAGAAAATATTTAGTTTAATTGGACTAATTACATCAAAAAGGTTGTTTATATTTCAGTTATCGGTGCTCAGTTTACACATGGTTTATCTGGTGGTGAGAAGAAAAGATTAAGTATTGCATGTGAACTTTTGACTAATCCAGATATCATGTTACTAGATGTAAGAATATATAGTTTATTTTCTCTGGGAAGAAGGTTCATAGCCATTTATGAAACATGTATTATATATGATTTCACTCCGATGACATATATAAATAAATAAATTGTAAATGAGTGAGGTACAAATATTTTATACTGATGACTTATATAAATAGGGGGGTTGGATGGCCGAATGGTTAGCACGTGCGCACTGTATCATAAGGCCTTTCATTGAGTCCACTGGTGTGGTTTCGAATCCCCGGTTGTACATGACAAGGAGTAGGGTCGCCTGTCCAGCCACGTAGGTTTTCTCTGGGTCCTCCGGTTTCCTCCCACTGCTAAAGACCCCTACGCGCTATTGAATTATTGAAATAAAATTAAACCATATGTTAGTCCCGAAATGACCTATTTGAGTCGGGTCGACGTTAAACTCCATTTCTCTCTCTCTCTCTTATATAAATATAATTTGTTTATTAATAGGAACCAACATCAGGATTAGATTCTAGTACAGCGTATAGTTTAATGGTACAAGTAAAACGTTACGCAGAGATGTATAATAAAGCTGTTATTGTCACCATACATCAACCTTCAAGTCAGATATTTCACATGTTTAATACTCTATTACTGTTAGCAGATGGTCATGTTAGTATTCTCCTTAATATTCTTTAATGTACAACTAGGCAGTGGTTCGGAAAAACTTTCATTCACAAGACCCCGTCGATTTCATTGGATGTGCCGATTTGGGTTTTTTTTAAGTGGCAATTTGTATTTGTTGGAAATTTTACGTCTATAGATAAAAAAAAGATTGTTGGGATATAGTTAATTTTACAGTTAACACAGTTAGCCAAAAACACAGTTAGCCAAAATTAAAAACTGAAATCAGTTAACAAGCTTAAAGAGGCATAAGGTAATATTAGATAAAGAACTGCCAGTTCTTGCTATAAAAGTTAAAATATGGACAATGAAAAGAGAATATGCTGAAAATTTCAGTCAAATTGCTTAGCTCTGAACCTAGAAATTAGCAATTCAATTTTAGGCTAGCCTCGATCGTTGTTACGATAATAAACAAAGTTGCGACTATCCATTTTTACGTTGTTATTTAATCCACAACAAAATGTATTCAAATCCAGTAAATATCACAGTCTAACGATGGCCTTGAGAGTTGATTATGGCCTTGATAAGTTAATTTATGTCTCATAGTTTAGATAACATTTAAGGCCTAAAGAAAGATCTGCAATAGGCAGATTTAGCTCTTGCATAATGCATATTGAAGCTATGGAAAGAAAATATTAATCATATAGAGTGCTTGAACCATGATTATTTAAAATAACCAGGTCTGGCTTTAATGTTCTAAAGTTTAGCTCCATTTAGTTCACAAATATAAAAAAATATGGGCAGTTTTCATCATGAGAATTTTTTTTTCTTTCAGGTTGCTTATTTTGGAAAAGCAGAAAAGGCTTTGGATTTTTTTGAGGAAATTAATTTTGTGTGTGAACCACACTTTAATCCAGCCGATTTTCTTTGTAAGAATTATTTCTGTTTCAACTTACATAATACTTTTTATTGATCTAAGTGAAAGAGTGGGGGTGCAGATTAGTCAAGTTGGTAATTTTGATTTTTGTGGAGAGATCCGAACTAAAATAAATCTTTTAATCATATTTTTTGATATTTGTATATTGTAATTGTTGATGTTATTTGTAGTAGAACTAGTGAAGAAAGATGAAGAAACCCTAGAAATAATCTTAGAAAACTGGAAAGCCAAGAGGTAATTAGAATAAAAAAGCCGTAAGTTTTTTTTAGAAAGATTTCAAAAACTTATCTTGACATATTTAATGGTTATATCCTCTTACATATGATATAATTTCTTTTGATCCTTATATTTTGCTGGAAGTATTATCTGGAGTAGATTTATTTAATTTTATCTTTGTTTTATGTTATAATAATTATATTCCATTTATGTTTTGGTCTTTTTAACAGCAGTTCAAACAAAAAGAAATTAAGCAACTCTAATTCTCTAGATCTGGACAATTTTGAACCAGTCCATGAGCCTTCTGATATCACCTTACAGTATATCAAAATATTAGGTATTAATATTTATTGAGTACATTTTTGTTGTTGTCATCATAGATCAATTGTGTTTTTATGACTTATGAAAGCTGAAGACTCTTCTCATTCTGATCACTCAGAAGTCTTAAAAGATTTTCATTGGTCATTGATGAATTAATCTCATATTTCTTCTCTTTATCAGAACAATTTCTGATTCAAATGATTGTATTAAAAACATGCAATGTTCAATCCTTATTTTTGTCATTAGATTAAAGGAATAGTTAACTTGGTCCATTATCATATATCCAAACTCCATTGGAGAACAAATCAAAACCAATGCAGCATAGTTAGTAGAATCAAAATAAATGGCTCACAAATAAATTTTAGTCACTTTTGATAACATTTAGAATATTTAAAATTAGAATAATATATTTTGATAACATGACAAAATAAAATGATGGTGATGTTTTTTGGGGTTTTTTTTAAAAAAGAAAATTTTAATTTTATTTTTGATGTAAGATCCGGATGAAAATAAAGACATTGATAAATTAAGCAATGGTAATCATCTATCAGATGTTCGATGGCAAAGTTCTTTCTGGACTCAGTTGAAGATGCTGACTTGGAGAAATTTTAAAGAATCGAGGAGCAGAATTTTATCTAAATATGTTGTAGGAAGTAACATTGTTATAGCTGTTGCTATGGCAGTATTATGGTTTCAAATGGAACGTTCATACAAGACAATAAGAGACAGGATGGGATGGGTAAGTAGTAAACCAAATAGAATGGATATAAAAGCTAAAGATAAAGCAAATATTAGTAATGTAGTTTGACATACTAATGTACAGCAAATAATAATAATTTAGTTTAACATACAACCTTACAAAACTTAACAATTATTAATGTGGTTTAACATACACACTAAATATTAATAATGTATTTTAACACACAAAGGTGATATAACAATTATTAATATAGTTTAACACACAAAGGTTAAACAAATATTAATGTTGTTTAACATACAAAAATACAACAAATATTAATGTAGTTTAATATTCAAAAATACAACAAATATTAATGTAGTTCAACATGCAAAAATACAACAAATATTAATGTAGTTCAACATGCAAAAATACAACAAATATTAATGTAGTTCAACATGCAAAAGTACAACAAATATTAATAATTTAGTACAACATACAAAAGTACAACAAATATTAATAATAGGTACAACAATTATTAATGTAATTTGATATACAAGTTTCTACATTAATAATGTAGTTCAACAAGCACACCAATGGTACAACAAATATTAATATAGTTTAACATACAAAGTACAACACACAAGCCATGTGAACATATCAGGTGTACTAGAAAGACACCCGGGAGAAATAGTTTGGTAATCTCTAATCAGTAAAAAAATCACCAAAAATTGTTTCACAGCATGTCCATATTTGAGCAACATTTTGATTCACATCATATTGTAAAACTGTTTATATGACACATTTAAATTACCTGTTATAGGCCTATACATGTATATTAATATATATAATTCTTTTTTGAATTATTTGCTTTAATAGAACTGAAATTCAACTCGATAACTACTTTGTTTCTAGCTTATCCTATTAAATTATCTTTTCAGTCGTTTTTTATAATTGTTTATTGGGGCTTTTCACCGATTATGGATGCTGTTATTAGCTGTAAGTAACTTATATTTACCAATCTTCCCACACATAGGTGGTATCAAATTAACCAGCATGACCCTGTGAATGTTTCTGGCCATGATTCAGTTCAATCTGGCCATGATTCAGTTCAATTTCAGCTCAATTGCCAGCTCTAGGTAAAATAAGGATATGCTAGCTTCATATAAAATCTAGATAAAATATATAATTGCTAGCACTAGATGAAATATATAATTGCTACCTTCAGATCAGATATGGAATTACTAAAATGTATAATTGCTACCTTCAGATGTAATTTATGTCAGATGAAATATGTATCGTAGTTACTTGCTGTAGATAAAATATGTAACTCAAAATAGTTTTAATTGTCCTTTATTATCATTGTTTTGGAGAAAACAAGGGACTGCTGAAATAGGTTTGTTTATTTGGAACGTAATAATTATTTGACGTAGGATATGTTTGTTGGGTAAACATTTTATCGGTTGAAAATTTTGGAACACAGTTAAGTTAGAATGGTTAAACATGATGTACCTGATAAATGTTCTTAAGGAGAATGTCTTGACTTAGTTGGATGATGAGAATTCTCGACTTAGGCTAATCAGAGATAAGCATATTGATTTGTTGATGCTTCCGAACACCATGAATTTGATTCTAATTGAGTGATGAAACTTAGTGGAATAATGTTTCAATATATCAATTCCTTGACTCTGTTTGATTTGTCGAGAACTTTGATTCTAATTGTGTGAGATGGATGAAATTGGTGTATAGTTTCATCACGTCCATATCTTGACTAAGTTGGATAAATAGAAAATTTCCTATGAGTGCTGATCTTTTTATATATCAAAAAAAACCAGTAAGAGATTTTATTTATCACCCAATCCTTTCTTACATGCACAAATAAATAAATATAATTCTTTGACATAAATTTAACTTTTACCAACCTGATTACATTATGGCATAGTGATACATCATTTTTTTGACAGCAATTCAACCATTCCATCAAGGTCAATTAAATAAAAATAGTTCCATTTTAATAAGAAAGAAGTTAATTTTAATAAAAAATGAATTTTTCTTTGAAAATAAAAAAAGTTCCTTTTTAATCGACCTATTGCTATAATGTATATTTTGAAATGTGCTGAAATTGTCTTTTGTATAGTTCCCATGGAGAAGACAATAATGCTGAAAGAAAGAGCTGCTGGTTCCTATAGATTATCAGCTTATTATCTAGCTAAAACAATCAGTGAAATACCATTAATTGCTCTCCTGCCATTTGTATTTGTAACCATTACATATTGGGCAGCTGGTATGAAAGGAGTTGTTGAATATATTGCTACCATGCTGTTAATATCCATATCTGCCATCAACTCCCAGGTATATAAATAAGTCATGTTATAACTAATATATCTAATGTCTTTCTCAATATCAGATATGTTTATTTTTGATTATGTCAAGTCTTATATTCAAGGAAGTGATGAAATAAGAGTAGTCCAAATGTGTAAGCAAACTGATATAGATTTTTTGAATGAATTTGTATCACGTTAAATTTATTGTTATAAAGGCCTATATAAAATGAAAATATTGCTTAAAACATCACATCACATAAACGTAAACAGTAAAAGCAACCTTATAGAGAATAGTATATTCATTTTAGGCGAAATAACTACTGCGTAGCATTAAAGAAAATATTTACCAACATATTATTCATTGTTTTCGATACTTTTTAAACAGGGCTTTGGTTTTGTACTTGGAGCTGGTATATTAAATTTTGAGCTAGCTTTAACATCTTCAACCACCTTTATGTTGCTTTCTCTTACATTAGGTAAGTTTCATTTATTATACAAGCTTTCAGTTTCACTTAAATGGCATTATACAAGAGCCAAATCTGCCTATAGCAGGTCTTTCTTTAGGCCTTAAATGTTATATAAACTATTAATTAGACATTTATTAACATGACCAGACCATATTATTATTCAACTTTCAATGCAATCTAATGGGTCCGTTTTTAAACAGATTTGAATCTATTTTTTAACTATTACAGTGCAAACTGTCAGCTCTTTATCTAAATTTCCATAATACCGCTTTAATAGTGTAAGTATGATGTCAAAATTGATTCGATTGAAGAATGAAATAGCTTCTGTGACCCTGTTAAGCATATCTAGAATTCAGTTTACATAGTTCAACCTACTTTTATTTATGGGGGTTTGTTGGCCAAGTTTAGAACTGATTGATTTGAGTAATTCTTGGCCCAATATGTTTTTTTTTTTAGAAATAGACTTGTGTGGATTGTGTATGATTTTAAATTAAATATTTATAAGTAGAGTTAAATCTGTATTTTATATTTTTTAGGTGGGTTTTACATTCAGAGGTTTCCACCCTGGCTGGTTTGGTCAAGATATCTCTCATTGCTCCATTATCCATTTTCTGCCATCAGTATATTAGAATTTGCTGATACCGCTCAAATTCTGTAAGTAAATATTATTATACCACATCTTCACGAAAAGAGCATGCAATATTCACTGGTTACTCTTATACAAACCGATACTAAAAAGATAAAAGCTTCTGTTTGATTCAATTTTATTTCTGGATATATCTTTTATCTCATTTTGAGTAATATAAACATTTTCTTTTACAGCTGTGCTAATGTCACTGTTACACAATTTCCACAATGTGGTAAAAATGGTACAGATTTTGTTACATCAAAGATGATATTGGAGGACTTCCAAGTGACATTACCTATATATTGTTATGTTTGTACATTGATTATAATGACCATACTAGTGAGAATTCTGGGTTATTTCGTGTTGAGGTTAAAAACCAGGCAAAAACATCTTTCATAACAAGCTGTAATGAAAAGGTTTGAGCGAAGCACTATATGATATACATGTACATGGTGATTACAAGAATCTTGATATCGTGTATCACCTAAAATGGAAGTTATTTATACTCTACACTGTTTTAATGTAAACTAATGTGTTTTATGAGATATTGATTGGATGGACCTCCAGTTGATATAAATAGTTCTAATTATGTCAAGATGTACTAATTATTGTATCATAAATTCATCCATCCTTTACTGTTAACTAATTCACAAAAACTGTCCCTAATAATTGATAACCAATCATGTTACCTAATTTGGGTGCCTGAGTCTCAAATCTTTTCACTCAGTAGGCCTAAGTGTATTTGATGATGAGTGCATGTGGGAGACAAAAAGGGGTATTTTCTGGCAAAAATCTAAGATTTTCAGGGAAAATCATTCATTCTGGCAAGAATTTTTCTGCCCTCATATTATAAGGTCCTGTACATCCACAGTGCACTGATTGACGGAGTAGGTTAATTGTGCATATTTCTGATTGATATTTGGGAACATACCGGTGTTCAGTTGATCTAATTTAATACCAGTGTACTCATTTTCATGTGTTATTCCCATATCCATGTGCATCATTTGTGTAACTGTATTACGGGTACATTTAATTAACAAAAATGTGTTTGCTCTATAGGCCAACATACACTACAACTCAGGTATCATGTAGTTATAAACCCAACGCTCATTATCGAATCTAAACAGACCCTTTTTAAACCACACAACAGTAGAAACCCAATGCTTTTCTATGATTCTCAACAGATTTGATCAGTTTTCCAACAATGGTTTGAAACTAAACATTAAATACAGAAACTACTGCCCTGCTAAAACAACACAACTAAATGATACCCAAGCTGTAGTGATGTATATTGACTTATCATGTTATTTAATTCACCTGTTGGTATTGTTAAATTATGATGGAGCTTTTTTTAAAATAAAGTCTGTGACATAGTCTATAATTGTACTTATATTTTGAAGGCTGGGGCTATTTGCCACATGTGGTAAGACAATCCGGAGACTATTTGCCACATGTGGCAAGTCTCCGTACCGCAATCATCAACCGATTTCAATGAAACTTACAGATAACGATAACATTAATAATATCCCAGAGTAGGTAAAAGTTTCCCAGATATCAGGTTACCACACATTTCATGTGGCACGGCTATAGACCACAATTATCAACCGATTTCAATGAAACTTGCAGATTGTAATATCTCAGAGTAGGCAAAATTTCGACCACTTCCGGTTAGCGGTTTCCGAGATATCAGGTTACCACACATTTCTTGTGGCACGGCTACAGACTACAATTATAAACTGATATCCATGAAACGTACAGAATATAATAACCTTAATAATATCTCAGAGTAGCCAAAATTTCGACCACTTCCGGTTAGCGGTTTCCGAGATATCAGGTTACCACACATTTCATGTGGCACGTCTACAGACCGCAATTACCAACCGAGATCAATGAAACTTGCAGATTAATAATATCTCAGAGTAGGCAAAATTTCGACCACTTCCGGTTAGCGGTTTCCGAGATATCAGGTTACCACACATTTCTTGTGGCACGGCTACAGACTACAATTATAAACTGATATCCATGAAACGTACAGAATATAATAATATCTCAGAGTAGCCAAAATTTCGACCACTTCCGGTTAGCGGTTTCCGAGATATCAGGTTACCACACATTTCATGTGGCACGGCTATAGACCGCAACTACCAACCGATTTCAATGAAACTTGCAGATTATAATTACACTAATAATATCTCAGAGTAGGCAAAATTTTGACCACTTCCGGTTAGCGGTTTCCGAGATATCAGATTACATTAATAATATTTCAGAGTCCGGCTAAGTGTCGGCCACTCCCGGTTAGTGGTTTCCGAAACCACTAACCGGAAGTGCTCGAAATTTTGCCTACTCTGAGATATTAATATCTAGTTTCATTAAAATCGGGTAACAATTGCGGTCTGTAGTCGTGAAGCTATTTTGAAATTCTTGCTTACCACATGTGGCAAATAGCCACTGCCTATTTTGAATGTGCTTTAGAGGTGATCTTTATATAGATAGACAGGCTTAAAAAGGTGCATAATTACATATGAGCTAAGTCAACCTATCATTTCAGTTCTTTCTTTTGCCGCTTTAGCTTCAATGGCTTCAAATATTTAGACATTCATTCATATCAAATGACAAACTTATTATCAACTTTCTTGTCTAGACCTCCGGATAGCTGAGATTTAAATTGGTCAGATTATTACCGGCGAGATTTAAAACTTTTCGTTAAAATGGATAATCCGTTCAATATAGCATTTATAACAATGTGCGAAATCAATTTGTGGAAGCTGTTTTATATCCATTTCCAGGGTCTGTGCATGAAACCGAACACAATTTGGCAACCTATTCGCCTAGCTGCAGATTCGACCGATCAAGCTAACAAATTGACAAATAAAATAATCCCACATACCAGTAATATGATCAGAAGCCATGACATTGTTCATGTATCAGCAGGAGACAAATTTAAGAGACGTAAAGGGGTATAACCCTAGTTCACTAAACATAAAGGGAGCTAATCCTCTATTACCGATATCGTACTATGACTGGTAATTGCTTCTCCTGATCTTATGATGTAGTGACTAAACGTGGATCTGGAAAAAAAAGGTTTGGAAAAATGGTGATAACACATTTATCTCAGAACTTCAGAAAACTAAATATATTTCTGATCATAAGGAGATCGCAGAATTTCAGATAATGTTTGCTCTTAAACTGTTGCTTATTTTAGACTTAATAATAACTTCCATGTACATGTATAACAAAACATCATTTATAATCACAACTGACCATGGATATCTTTCTGAAAAAGAGGAGTCAAACAGGGGTGTTTGCTTAATCCTACTCTTTCCAATATTTATCTTAACGATTTGCATGACTTTTAAATATTAAAAAACTACATTAAATTCACACATTAAAAACTATTAATATTTCGGTTATTAACTGATGAGATGGCATGATTGATATTTTCCATAAAACACTCGATAAAATAAACTATAGAGCAAGACGACTACTTAATTTAAAAGACTGAAATGGTACGTTCATGAGCATTGAAGCGTTTTACGGTATGTAGTTATATTTTTGAGCCGCATAGATATTTTCTTTTATTGTTTTGATTTTCATTAACGTGTTGGTTAATTCTACGTGTGAAGATGGATACAGAAAAGTCTGAAGATTATAAACTATCATTTCAAGATATAAATATTTTTATCAATAAGACACAGATATTACATAATGTATGTGGAGTCGTACACAGTAAAGAAGTACTGGCTGTCATGGGACCAAGTGGTGAATTTTTATACTCTCATATTTAAAATTGTGTAAATGTCTAAAGCGTTTTGCAAAATGTCCTCGTTCTTTTCACAGTTTTACATTTACAGAGTTTTCTGAGTTGAATGATAAGCATTTTCCAGGTACTCTAAGCAGAAATGAGTGATTTGATGTGTCGACAAGCTTTTAATTAAGGGAGATTGGTGGAACTTGGTGTAGTTTTCGCCCAGCGAACCAGCGAGCCAGCGTCTCACCCACTTAGCCACCACGGCTTCCTTTCTTCTACTAAACATTGATTTAAAATATAAAATCTTTATTTTCCTTTGAACATATTCTCTCTGTGGGTTTGTATGTATGACTGTTTGCTTACTCGATCAACATATCTATAATTCTCTGGTATTTGAAGGTCTAAACTCATGTTTACGGTAAGGCAACATATTTGTTTATGTTTTTCTGTAATCTTTGACTTCTCCAGGTTCTGGTAAAACAACAATGCTTAATGCTATAGCTGGTCGTGAAGCTGTAAAATCAGGAGAAATAACAATAAATGATCAACGGATCAACAAACAGTTAAGAAGAAAAATAGGATATGTTTTACAACAAGATTTATTCTATTCTAACCTTACTCTATGGGAGACATTATACGTAAGTTAATTAATGTTCAGTAAAAGTAACAGTTGTTGCTTGAGAGTAACTCATTGCAATAATCGGTGCAAATGTTTCCTTTCTTTCTTTCTTTAGTTTACAGCTATGTTACATATACCAGAAAAAGTTCCTAAACCTGACAAACTTCGACGTATTGATGCGATTATTGAAACTTTAGATTTAGAAAAATGTCGAAAAACACGTAAGTATTACTAAGAACTTTTCCTTCAAACAATTTAATTTGCATCAGATACATGTTATTTTTATCATGCAAGGTAATTTCCACCAGTTGTTGCAATGATTGGTTGATAATGCATTTCTTTTTTTAGAAAGTTCGGGTTTTATCATTTCTTTTGAAGTTTATTCATATTAAAGTTGAATAATAGTGAGATCAGCGGCCATTACATTGAAAACGGATTAATTTAAGCAATGCATAATTTACCATGTGTTGCATATTGTATGTAATTATATGTAAATAAATATGTTTAAATAAAAAAAAAACCCTTTGAATTATTTTCATTGTGTTTATTCGATTGATCACACCATTACCTGTTAAATCAAGTGTCAGGATAATTAAAACGTTTCAAAAGATGTTGCAGATGAGTTATCAGGAGACGATCAGTCACTCTATAATTCACTTAATTCTGTTATTTTACGAAATAAACGGTGAAATTTAGTGATAAAATGCTTTATTCCATTCTATATAATGGACTTAATTCTGTTATTTTACGGGATAAACGGTGGAATGACGAGGAATTTACGGATTATTTCTGTTTGCAAATGCAACGATAAGATACATATATAATCATTCCTAATACTTATCATGCTTTAGTATTCCTTTCAATTTATTAGCCATAATATGAAGAATCATATTTTGTAAATTTTGGTTTATTACATGTCATGTATATCTAATTTCCATTATTTATGAGATCTATAAAGTGTATTGTTATTCATCATACGTTAATCAGATTGTAAGTATTTTCATAAATGTATAAAAATATGTTTTAACGCTCCGTGTGTATAGCTTATATTATCTGGTAATCAAGCACTTTTATATCCGGATAGTATAACCGATTGGCCAGTGTAAGCCGGGTTGTCGCTATGGCGGAGTGTACATACCTGCAAATTGATAGTACCGGGAGCATACATCTAAAAGTCTCTTAATGGTCCAATCAAGGACGAGTAGCGGTTTGTGATACCTTGCGCTGGTCTCCCGATTAGGATATTCCGTATTCTTATATTAGCGGAAAGAGGATGCGTATAAAGATAATCTGCGATATAACTTCGGTGGAAGCGGACGTTAAATAAAGCTATTTCACCCACGCGTATAAAGTCAATGGTTAATTCATTGAAATTTTTATGACTTTCATGTTCAGGAAAAAACTACCAGGATCTTTTTTCTGTATTTGAAAATGGAATTTATGTTAATTGAAGGAATTTCTGTCAATTACAGGACAAACAAATACGGATAAAATTTTCCTGGTAATTTTTGTTTCCGGAATTCTTTACGTTTTTTCACGGATTTTTTTGTTACAGTGTGGGTACGTTACCGAAATCTCTTTATTTCAGTTATTGGTTCTCCGTTTACACATGGTTTATCTGGTGGTGAGAAGAAAAGATTAAGTATTGCATGTGAACTTTTGACCAATCCAGATATCATGTTACTAGATGTAAGAATATATACATATACTAGTAGTTTCTTAATGTTATATATGTTTAGAACACATGGCCCATTGGCCCACTAGTCGATTTGAAATAACATGTGAATTTGACTTTCTATCAATGTTATTTTATATGAAGTTATTTGGCATACAAATCTTTGTTCCTTATAAACATGTTGAAATTTTGTTAGAGATCTTTTGGGTTAGCATGAAATGGAAGTTTCTGGGTCAAAATTCAAACCATATATAGAGCATTTTCAACCCCAGTTACCATTTGATGGGTTTAAACCCCGCAGCACCAACAAGGAAAAGATGTTACAAGATGCTGGTCGGTTGCCTGTTATTCATAATTTGTCAGTTTAAGACGGATTTCGTGAACAAAATGTTGCCAATAATCTACTTGGCTGCCATGCCATGTTACAGTGCGCAGAATCTTTTATCACAGATTATTCTTCATCACCCAATTTATACTGACCAAAATACATTTTATAAAATGGAGTCAATGTGCCATTTAGAGCGGTGCTTGTTATAATGGCTTGGGATGTGGGAGCTAGGGGGTTGCAACGACTGTGTAAAATAGTTTTTGATAATAAGGTGGGATGGGCGGGGGGGGGGGGGGCAGCATCACTTCCTGGCGTGGTATACACATTGGTGTGCATGTAAATGAATCACTGACAGTTGAAATTCGACTTAAATTTCTGGAAACGACGCTAAACTGACATCGTAATTCTCCTCAGTAACATTGTTTATTAATAGGAACCAACATCAGGATTAGATTCTAGTACAGCGTATAGTTTAATGGTACAAGTAAAACGTTACGCAGAGATGTATAATAAAGCTGTTATTGTCACCATACATCAACCTTCAAGTCAGATATTTCACATGTTTAATACTCTATTACTGTTAGCGGATGGGCATGTTAGTATTCTTCTTTATATCCTTTAATGTGCACAGCTAGGCAGAGTTTCCCAATCTGATTTTCAGTATCAGACGCCTTGGAGCATTTAACAAATTTCTGGGGACCCACAGCATTTTGTACATAAATCTTTGATAAACCCTAACATGAATCATATGAAAGTAATAATGTTGGTAATTCATCGTATTTTTCCAGATATTTTTATTTCAAGATTTTAATTTAAAGACATTTTGAAGTGTAGAAAATATTTTCACAAGAGGTCAAATACTTTTAGAAACCAAAGAATTAATTTATTTGTCATGTAAAATATAGAACTGTTACATAGAAATGTTACTGATAATTGTAATTATATTGTAATTAATGAATTAATTGAGGTTACATGTATAAAACATATGCGATTTTTCAATCGTGCTCGAAACTCTTCAGAAATACAGGAATAGATTCTTCCTGACATGAATTTTGTTAATTTATGGTATTTCCATTTTGTTCTTTCAGGTTGCATTTTTTGGGAAAGCAGACAGTGCTTTAACATTTTTTGAAGAATTTAATTTTGTATGTGAACCACACTTTAATCCAGCCGATTTTCTTTGTAAGAATAGTATTTTTGTTTTAACTTTTTATAAATGCAGGATCAGGGAGCATAACAAGAACGCATAACAAAGACTTTCCTCATTTTCTAAATTGATTCAAATGAGCTTTCAAAGTGATTTCATGTTGGTCACATAAAACTATTTTGAAAGAGATTGGTTTTCATGCTAACTTAAATCTGATTTTTATTGGTAACTGGTTTCGACTAGAGGCAATGTTGTGAAACCACCCCCTTTAAATGAACTCAAAAATAAAGGAAGTAAGTGAACATAACACCTCGGACTTACCTTTCAAAACAATTGTAAATGGAACAACCACGTTGATAGTATGATTAGTGAAGTATCAAAACTAGTAAACCACCTTGGCTCCTTGAAATATCAATTAAAACGATTTGTGGTGTGACAAGCAAATCGTGATATAATTCGACATTTATTCATTTAGTCCTTTATAAGTAGTCTGGTTATCCAATAAAGGCAGGAATGAGAGCTGTTACTTTAATTTGAGAGGGCTCATTTCATCCGATCCTGATTTTTATACGACTACATGTTCTTGTGGATGTATACTGCTGTCGCCACTGTCCATTTGTCCGGCCATGATTTGTTTGTGGACACTCAACAGGTCACAATTGTTATCCGATGTTGACAGAACTTGAAATTGGGCATATCTCCCAAAGATCTTGGTTTCTTTCGATATTGTGTACCAGACCGGGTCTCGTTTTTAGCATGTGGATCCTCTAGAGGTCACAATTTTCATCCAGTTATATATTTATATCCCAAAGAGGTATGGTTTATTCTGACGCATTCTCTTGAGGTGATAAAATGCTATTGAATAGACGGATTGGACATATTCCTTGAAGGTGATGTTTGAATCTAACGTTGTTCCAATGTGTCCGGCGGATACTTTTTCCGGAATAAGTTTCAGGAAGTACTTGATCTCCCACTGGTGTAATTCTTGGAGACACGAGTGTATGTAATACTAAATGGGGTATTTTAGTTCTATGTAAGGTGATCTGTTTAAAATATATACTATTCAAAAAAAGTAGGGGATATTTGATTTTTAAGTGTTATTAAAGTCACCTAATGAAACTGACGAAGAAAGAAATGACAAAATGAAATGGAGTTCACATTCATCGATTTATTCCAAATGATCGTTAGACTAAGTAAGGCACAGACTGACCATTATAAGGGTAAAATGATACCCGGGGTCAAACAGCAAAGTTACCACAGCATCACAACCAAGTCAGTAACGGGTAAATCCTCCTCTGTTTGCCAAACAAGCATTGATCCGACGTGGCATACTCCTAATGAGACGTCTAAGGTCATTTTGGTCCAGATTGTCCCATTCCTGTTGCGACGCAGCAGCAAGTTCTTGGACATTGGCAGGACGTTGTTGACGTTGACGTAACCTCTGTCCAAGCATGTCCCAGACATGCTCGATGGGGGAGAGGTCGGGACTCAGTGCTGGCCAAGGTAATGTGGTGATGTTCTGTTGTTGGAGGTAACCTGTAACGATCCTGGCCCTGTGACAACTTGCGTTGTCATCCTGGAAGATGAAACGGCGGCCATGACGTCGTGCGAACGGCACAACATGGACTGCCAAGATGTTGTCCCGGTAGTACTGGCCTGTAACACGCCCTGCAACAACATGTAAAGCCGTTCTTCCAGCAACAGTGATGCCTCCCCACACCATAACAGAACCACCCCCAAATCGATCATGTCTGATGACGTTAACGTCTTGGAAGCGCTCGTTTCGACGACGCCACACCCTCCTACGTCTGTCCAAAAAATCAACAGTGAACCTTGACTCATCTGAAAACATCACATTGCTCCAGCGTCGATTATCCCAGTGTTGACGATCCCTACACCAACGACGTCTTGCCTGAATGTGATGATCTCTCAAACAAGGGATCACGCGAGGACGTCTGGCGCGAAGGTGACCCCTATGCAGTCGATTCCGAATCGTCTGGCCACTCACTCTCACACCATAGTGTCTGTTTGAAGACGAGCGCTGATCTGATTTGCTGTGATGACACGATTTCTCAAGGCCAAGGTACGGATAAATCGATCCTGGGCTTGAGTTGTCGCCCTTGGTCGACCTGAACGTGGTCTGTCCTGTACAGATTGTGTATCACTGTATCTGGACCATAGCCTGCTTATGACAGACTGAGAAACATTCATCGTCCGCGCCACAACCGCCTGTGTTGTGCCGATCTGTAGCATGCCAAGGGCACGTAACCTTTCATTTTGGGTAAGCCGACGCATATCAAAATTTGTTTTCTGGTCACTAAAACAATTAAACTGATGTTTCCACCCTGGAATTCAATGCCACAATGACTGTAACATTCAAAGTCAGAGTCGTGCAAATCTTGGGTTGGACCCCCATGATGATCCCAAGCATCACCTGCATTCCATGCGGTAGCTATTGGTGCGTTTGGGCGTCACATGTAACTGGAAATGTTTCTTCTGTTAGGTTCTATAGTGACTTTTTTCGTAGTCATTTGCATATTTTAGTATTATGCCCCCAAAATCAAATATCCCCTACTTTTTTTGAATAGTATATGTTGAAGTGGTTAAGCAAATGGGTGACAACGAGAAATGGGCTTAGTAGATATTATGCAAGATTCAACTTTCTCAGACTAGCTCACAAACAGTTCCTGACGCTATCAATTACTGAAAGTAGGGTAATATCGTCCAGTCTAGATGGCCAATGTATGCTACACCTATACACGAATGGCTTGTTAATATGTACAAAGGTCACAAACAATATACTATATGGTGGTTTAAAGTAGTAAAATTGTGAAATTTGTTTTGGTACTTGTGGAATTAAGGAATTCAAAGAAAGAGCGACAGAGAGAGGTGTTAATGTCCACTCGACACAAACTAGGTAATTTCCGGAACCGTTTAACCCAACGAGGTTGGTCAGGCCAACCGACTCCTTGTCGCGGACACCCGGAGTATCGAAAGCACGCCACTTGACTCAATGTTAGATGTTTTGATTTGAAGCTCATGCAGTAAACCATTCGGTTACTCAATCCCAGATTTGGTCAAAGGTCACGAAATGTAAACAGGGCTAACCCTGGACCTACCCCTAACCTTTACCCAAACCCTAACACACAATCTCGTTAACAATCACGTGCCCTAACCTTATTTACATCTTGGCGACCTTGTCGAAATCTGGAGGTGACCTTAAGAAATAGATCTAGCCACTCAACCTCCCAATTCAAAGTAAAATAAATCCTTTATATTTTTTGATATGTTAGCTGTTATATAAATTTTGTATATTGATGTTATTTGTAGTAGAACTGGTGAAGAAAGATGAAGCAACCAAAGAAATAATCTTAGAATACTGGAAAGCCAAGAGGTAATTAGAAAAATTGCAGTAAGTTTTTTTTAAAAATCTAAAATCTAAAGAAAATATCGGGCATATTAAGATTATTGACTAGCCATAAAATGTGTGTTTTGTCGGGCAAAATGTAGCTTTCAATTTTGTATTTAAAAAATCCATCCGGCCTCTGATGCATCGCAATCTTACATTAAAAGCTGTCTTTTGCCAGGCGACTTGGTATTTTCATGACGTTAAAGGTAATATGCTGTAATATGCACAAACATAAAAAAACAGACTTGTATAACAATAACAAATTTATTATGTTGACAGGTTCTTTTACAGATGCGTTATGCAAGATATAGATAAAGAGCTAGCTGTTCTTGCTATGATAGCTCAAATATAACGGACGAATGATGGATAGACGGCATTCAAAATTTCTTTCAAATTACTTTATTCAGATCGAAGTTATATGTTATCGTAGAAACTGTACTTGACAATCGAGTCAAAGAATCGATTAACGACCACCCAATAGTCTAAAGAGTTGATTATAGGCTTGTAATGTAATATAACATCATTTATATAACATTTCAAGCCAAAATAAAAGACCCGCAAAAGGCAGATTTAACTCTTAGATAATGCATCTTTAATTTCATTATGTTTTATGTTGATAATCAAATTCTATTTATATGTCTTTATGTTTTGACAGTAGTTCCAACAATAAGGAATTGAGCAACTCTAATAACTCTGATTCTCTGGACAATTTGGAACCAGTTCATGGGCCTTCTAGTATCAACGTACAGCATAACAAAATATTAGGTATTTTTATATATTGGATTCCGCGGTGTCTTAAGTGAGTAAGACGTTGGCTTGCTAACCTGGATGTCCCATATCCATCCATATTATCCAGCGTGATCCCCCACCTTGTCAGTGATGCAGAGGGCCTGGCAAGGGACAGTGTATAGTCGTTCGGATGGGACCAAAAACCGAGGTCTCGTGTACACATTGGCGTACACGTAAAAGAAACCTTGGTAGTTGGAGTTCAATATAATAGTTGGCCGTCGTGCGCTTTTCGAGCAAACTTCCTCATAATTACACACTGCACGGCGTATGTCCATCTTCATTCGCCCAGTCAGAGCAGAACAATGTGACATTAAACCTCATTTCATTTCATTATTTATTGTGAATTTTAGCAGTCTTGATAGATCAGTCATGTGTGTTTATGTCTTATGTTTGTCTTATTTCGATTTTCAACTTTTACCTGAACACCAATGTGTACACGGGACTTTGGTTTTTCGTCCCATCCGAACGACTATACACTGTCCCTTGTTAAATCCCCCGTCCTTTACCACTTACAATGGAGACCCATGCGGCAAACACCGAGATCGAACACGGTTTCCTCCCACTGCTAATGCCCCCTATGTCTTCATTCGCCCAGTCAGGAATTTTCCAGCCTCGTTTCCTTTTGTCAGTGATGCATGGGCGGATAGCGTTGCAAGGAACAGTGTCTAATAGTCTTTCGATGATCAAACCCAACGCTGCGTAGTAAGTAGAATAAAAATAAATGGTACTCGAGTAAATTTAATGGAAACTAATTATACTTGATACATTAATCATTTTAAATGTGTGAAAATATTTATATTTTCACTAGATCTTGTACAAGATGTTTTTTTAAAAATGATTGCTATATTTTATTTTTGATAAAAGATCCGGATCAAAATAAAGACATCGATAAGTTCAGCAATGGTAATCATCTGTCAGATGTTCGATGGCAAAGTTCTTTCTGGACTCAGTTAAAGATGCTGACTTGGAGAAATTTTAAAGAATCGAGGAGCAGAATTTTATCTAAATATGTTATAGGAAGTAGCATGTTTTTAGCGATTACTACGGCATTAATATGGTTTCAAATGGAACGTTCATACAAGACAATAGGAGACAGGATGGGATGGGTAAGTAGAAGACCAGATAAAATTGGGAATAAGTCAACTCATTAGTCATGATCATGGTTCAGCAACTTCTTTTTTTTATACATAATAGCATTAGCATGTATATATAACATTTGAATTAATCTACTGAAATACCGCCACTTGACTCAACGCTAACTATTTCCCATATTGCTTAGTATAGGTCTATAATTTGTGTTAACCTTATAACTGTTTTGTTATCTGTGTCACATTATATTCCTTTGATTTTCTTTTCAGATATTTATTATACTTGCTCGGTGGGGCTTTGTACCAATGTTGGATGCTATTTTTAGCTGTAAGTTAGAATTTGTACTAATATGTTTTTAATTCATTAGATAACCGCTTATAGCAGTCAGAAAAGAAATCCAATTACAGTTTACATCTGATTACCAGCAAAATAAAATTTACCTTAAATATGTAATCAGTAGCTTTCGATAAAATATGAAATTGTTAGCCTCAGACGAAATATGTAATTGGTAACTCAAAATAAAATATCTAATTTCTAGCTCATAATAGTATGTTTCCTGTAATTCTACCCAAAATATAAAATTATCATTGCTATAATGTATATATTTTAGGCTGAATTGTTTTTTGTAGTTCCTCTGGAGAATACAATATTACTGAAAGAAAGAGCTGCTGGTTCCTATAGATTATCAGCTTATTATCTAGCTAAAACAATCAGTGAAATACCATTAACTGCTTTCGTGCCATTGGCATTTGTAACCATTACATATTGGGCAGCTGGTATGAAAGGAGTTGTAGAATATATTGGTACTATGCTGTTAATCTCAATGTCTTCCATCAATGCGCAGGTACATAAACAAATCATGTTATAACCAGTAAACATAGCAGATGTCTTTCTCAGTGTCAGATATTTTTATTTTTGGTTATGTCACCACATCATAAAGAGTAGGGACTCTGGTTCATCTGTTCATGTACTGAAATAAGATTAGTCCAAATTGGGCATTAGGTCTGATTTTCTCTCTCCTTTCTCTGTTATGGAATAGATGTAGCAGAATACATTCATTAGTATGTGTATTGTTTTAAAGGATTTGAAGCAGTGTATCGGTGTGTGTACAATGAAAATATTGTTAAAAACGTCTTGGCCATGATCGTTATTTATGTACATACATGTATTTATATTTTATGCTATCCTTAATGGATGTTTCGTACAATATTATCTTATTTATGTTATCATTTACCAAAACCTAAATGCAGCATTGTGTTAATAAAGAACGAAAGAACTAAATATAGTATATCATCGAAAACCACGCATTCATTTTAGGTGGAATAACCACAAACTGTATCTGGATTTGCTAGCAATACTTATTAAACCGTGCTTTGTGCACGTAGTTCAATTTAAACCTTGTTTTATAATATGTTTTTATAATCATCTTGCATATTCAGGTTTAAAGAAAATTATGATTGGAATGTCTCATTCAATGTTTTTTGACATTTTTCACAGGGATTTGGTTTTGTACTAGGAGCTAGTATGTCGAATTTTGAAATGGCTTTAACATATTCAAATGCCTTTATGATGATTTCTATCCTATTTAGTAAGTTGCATTTGTTATGTTGTATTCAGTATCATAGTTGTAATGAAATTTACAACCCTTTCATGCTTATGCCATTTATGTCCCGCTTAATGAATAGTACAGGTTGAAGCCGTTGATCGCCATCTTTTTCCGTCTCGTATTCCTATCATTTTAGTGGATATCGCTGATAAATTCAGGTTGAAAAATGTACAACGTTTTAGCAAACCTGCAACTATCTAGAACTACATGTATGTGATATTTTTCCAATCTTGACCGTAAATTCCAAACTGTGTAAGTCCATGGATAGCCATGTGTATGTAGGAAACATTTTGATTAAAATAGCTAAACCTACTTTTATGTACATTGGCTTTTGAAATCTGTGAAATAGTAATTTAAAAGATTAAAAGAAAAAAAATTACTGACTGGATGTTAGCATAATTTTCAAAGGAATAAAATTAGTTATTGTGAAAAATCCCGTATAATTTATTCAAAAGTTAATTAATTTACTCTGAAATTTGTTGATTTAGTTTGATGTTATGAAGAAATGCGTCTTATATATAGTTATAAATAAAATTATTCAAATCAACGTTCTGTCTATTAACAAAACCAAATAGCTCTATTGGTAATATTACTTTCGATCTAGAAATGTGCCATATACTTGATTCATTATTATTTTGGATTAATACTCGTTATAGTGAACGTGGGATCATGGGTTCTGCTTTAATAAGGGGGGATAATTCTGTTCCCAAATTTTTTGTGAAGTCTACACTATTCAGGAAAAGTGATCAATTTGAATAATTTGTGGACCAATAATTTCTTTGCTGACCACTTTAGATTGTGTATGATTTTAAGATCTATATATTTGCATTTTATTCTGTCTTGTTTTCTCTTTCAATTTTTAGAATCTCAAATGCAATTCAATCTTTTAGGTGGGTTTTACATTCAGAGGTTTCCACCCTGGCTGGTTTGGTCAAGGTATCTCTCTCTGCTCCATTATCCATTTGCTGCTGTCAGTATATTAGAATTTGCTGACACCCCTCAAATTCCGTAAGTAAATATTATTATACCACATCTTCACGAAAAGGGCATGCACTATTCAATGGTCCCTCTTATACAAACCGATACTAAAAAGATAACTGACACTGGTTGAAAACGACTAAAAATTCAAACTGGGTTAATACTCTTAAATTGGACACATTAGAAAATATAGTCGACTAATGTCATAATCTATTTCAGTCCAGTAGGAGAGATAACCAGAACCATAATCCAGAATTCTCAATAAATGGATTTTCCATATGAAAAGGACTACAACTGGTCCGATCACCTTCCCCAATCCTCCTGGAAATAGACAAAAAACACTGCAATAAATGTTTCTGTTTAAACTTTCTAATTCTTCTTACCAACGAAGCTGTATTAAATTTTTTGGGACACCATTATTTTTGGAATATTATTTTGTGGTTGGAATAGATTTGAAGTAATACTATCTTTTATTTCATTTTTAGCAATATTAAACCTTTTCTTTTACAGCTGTGCTAATGTCACTGTTACACAATTTCCACAATGTGGTAAAAATGATACAGATTTTGTTACAGCAAAGATGATATTGGAGGACGTCCAAGTGACATTACCTATATATTGTTATATTTGTACATTGATTATAATGACCATACTAGTGAGAATTCTGGGTTATTTCGTGTTGAGGTTAAAAACCAGACAAAAACATCTTTCATAACAAGCTATAATGAAAAGGTTTGAGCGAAGCACTATATGATATACATGGTGATTACATTAATCTTGATATCGTTTATCACCTAAAATGGAAGTTATTTTATACTCCACACTGTGTTAATGTAAACTAATGTGTTTTATGAGATATTGATTGGATGGATCTCCAGTTAATATAAATAGTTCTAATTATGTCAAGATGTACTAATTATTGTATCATAAATTCGCCCATCCTTTACTCTTAACTGTTAACTAATTCACAAAAACTGTCCCTAATAATTGATAACCAATCATGTTACCTAATTTGGGTGCCTGAGTCAAGAAGGCTTTGGGGTTTGTGAACTGTGAGCAATCAGATGCATATCAACCAATGGGAAAATCTCGTTCAATTCTTGATATTAGAAGGCAGCATAATGCATAATGTAGACAATGGTTTTGGCACGAATTCAGAAAAGACATACTTGAATGGGAATGAGACTTTTGTAAATGGTCTCATATCTTTTAACTGCAGCTTTTCACTCAGTAGGCCCAAATGTACACATCAGGGCCCAGTTCCTAGAAAATTCTTAAAGTAAGCACAAAGTCATATATAATATAATATGGTTGATTTAGATGCATTTGACATGTCCCCTATACACATATAAAATGTGCCAAAAGATAAAAACGCAGACACATACAAACTAAATGAATAATTGTGAGAGCACCTGATCTTAAAGTAGCCCGTGTGTTTGTAGCCTATTGTTTACTAATGGGCAAATAAATAAAATGGTTTCAGGGTAGAAGCGAAATTTTCTATAGCATTCTTAATTTCTTCTGGAGAAGGATTTTCTCTGTCTTGTAATTGTCTGTTTGGTATCAAAAGGTGTCGGAAATGCCGTCGAAAAACTCTACGGTCAGCCATCTTTTTGAAGCAGAAACAGACTTAAGGTTGGTAAGCAAGCGTATACCTTGCTTGGGACTTGTGCTTAGATTGACTATGTTTAAGAACGAAGTTGTGCTTAAGTTTTTTCTTGGAACGCATAATAACGTTCTTGTGCTTACAATGAAGTCTACTTAAAAGCTTAGCACAAGAACGTTCTTAAGAATTTTCTGGGAACACAAAATAAGGTAAGTTTACTTAATGCAAAGTCTACTTAAATCTAAGCACAAGAACGTGCTTAAGCTTCAATGACTTCAAATATTTAGACATTTATTCATATCAAATGACAAACTTATTATCAACTTTCTTGTATAGACCTCCGGATAGCTGAGATTTAAATTGGTCAGATAAATACCGGCGAGATTTAAAATTTTTCGTTAAAATGGATAATCCGTTCAATGTAGCATTTATAACAATGTGCAAAATCAATTTGTGGAAGCTGTTTTATATCCATTTCCTGGGTCTGTGCATGAAACCGAACACAATTTGGCAACCTATTCGCCTAGATTCGACCGATCAAGCTAACAAATTGACAAATAAAATAATCCCACATACCGGTATCAGCAGGAGACAAACTGAAGAGACGTAAAGGGGTATAACACTAGTTCACTAAACATAAAGGGAGCTAACCCTCTATTACCGATATCGTACTATGACTGGTAATTGCTTCTCCTGATCTTATGATGTAGTGACTTAACGTGAATCTGGAAAAAAAGGGTTGGAAAAATGGTTATAACACATTTATCTCAGAACATCAGAAAACTAAATATATATCTGATCTTAAGGAGATCGCAGAATTTCAGATAATGTTTGCTCTTAAACTGTTGCTTCTCAAATACATTGGCAATATTTTAGACTTAATAATAACTTTCATGTACATGTATAACAAAACATCATTTATAATCACAAATGACCATGGATATCTTTCTGAAAAAGAGGAGTCAAACAGGGGTGTTTGTTTAACCCTACTCTTTCCAATATATATCTTAACGATTTGCAGGACTTTTAAATATTCAAAAACTCCATTAAAATCACACATTAAAAACTATTAATATTTCGGTTATTATTAACTATTTGCTGATGACCTGGTTTCAGATTTTTACAACGTAAGTTAATAAGCATAAAGCACTCATTCCTCTTTACTACTCAAATTCCAAAATTTATTAAAGATGGCATGAGTGGTATTTCCCATAAAACACTGGATAAAAGAAACTATATAGCAAGACGACTATTTAAATTTAAAAGACTGAAATACAATATGGCACACACTTTACTATCTAAGTTTGTCTAATACAAAACACACAATCATATTTTGCCGATAGCCCACCAAAGCCTACATCTGAGGCGTCACAAAAGACTTCAAAATCAAACGTGTTCTCTGCATCAAGTTTGCAAATTTCCACACCATAACTATTGAGATGTCTTAGAGAACTGTTCCAAAATCGGGTGTTATTTTGACGGAAGTGTTCCAACTTGCTCTACCCAAAACACAGTCATATAAAAATCTTGTGTTAAATCTAACAATGTTACCTAAGACTATCTGCATTGATATTAATTTACCGACAATACTGGCCAAAATCTTGCCCTGAAATACAACTTCCCTCCGTTTGTTGCACTTATACTATTTTCAGCGCTCTCGATCCTGTCTTTGCTTACAAATATCAAGCCGTTTCTAGTATCCCAAATATAACCTAACCACTTTAGTTTCTGTACAGGCTCCCAATTACTTTTTTCTTCTGCTATCAAAAAGCCTAATCTAACCAAGGTCTCTCTCACGAATCGCTTGTACTTGCTCCGCCTAATCCGTCGTCAAGAAACATAATAATTCTGATACCGTTAGCTCTAAAATACTTCACAACCTCTTTTAACACCTTTGTGAAAATATATCCTGCGGTTGACAGTCCAAACGGCAATACGTTAAACACGAAAAACTTCGTTCTACCCTCAATATGCCAAGCGAAACCTAGAAAAATTCTATGGTCTTCACATATTTCCAAATGATAAGCTTGGGATAAATCAAAAGAGAACATAAAATCATTTTTATGGAAAAGATGTCTTGCCTCTTTTGGGTTCTCGTATTGAAATCTGAATTTGAATAAATGTGGATTTATATGACGACAATCTAAAACAAGACGCAATTTGGCCTTATTGGTGGCCACTGTCAAAGGGTAAATTACTTTAGGTTTTATGAAAACTTCTGAAATACAACCTTTATCTGACAGCTTCTGAATTTCGGATTTTACAAAATCGGGGGTGTCTCTTGCTGATTTATTATTTCTAAGAAAAACCGAATCAGGATTTGTTTTAAAGGGAACTTTATAGCCATATTTGACAATATCGATGACATGCCGATTTGTTGTGATTGAATCCCACTCATGTGAGCGTGTTCGAGGTTTTCCAACAGGTGAATTGATTTTACTAGTTACACTTAAAGACGGCTCGCCGCTAATACTACCATGAGTAACAAATGTCGACTGACTGCCTAAATTATGTTTTGGTTCACTTTTACAACCGTGCATATCAATTAAATAAGCTAAATTATCAAAAATACTCATCTTGAACTTCTTTTCTGGACAGCTGTCGGCCCGATGGCCGGATTTACCACACGAAAAACATCTCCCCGGCTTACAACTACTAGCAGAAGCCCCGTCCCTATCTTTAAAGATGGGTCGACTATATGGTGTTCGTTTCGTTTTAAGTTTTTTCATTTTCTCCACTCGCTGTTTTCTTTCTGCTAGGTTACTAGCTCTCAACATCTTCTTTTCATCTTCTGAGTCGTCTGCTATAGGATTTGTGACGTACTCCTGCACAACCCTCCATCCTAACTCGGATGAGTCTGCCAATTTTATCAATTTTTTTCTTTCAGTTACTAAGCCTATACCTTCTAATATACTGGATTTTGCGGCGTCGACAGAGTCTAAATCTAGTTCTTCTTTATCTAAAGACGACTTGGCTTCTTTTAGTTTGGCTAAAACCTTGGATTCGTGTCTGTATTGATTTTCATTCCCCTTTCTACTAAACGTGTAATTATCGGTTATCTTCTCTTCTATTCTTATGACCTGATCGTTCGAAATTTCTTGTTGTGAACGGGTAATACTTCTCTTAAAGGACAATATTGGTGCCAGTCATTATCACATATGTGTTAGAGCTGGTTAAACTCATTCCAAATATATTTTTAACACAGAGATCATTGCTACGATAGCTGAGTAATACAGGTTTCCAGTATCGGAAGTGACGAACGCCAAAGGAAAACATGAGTCGCCGCTCTATATAACTGACTGTAGCGACGAGTGATAACAGATACACGGCCGAATTTCTACTCACTAATAATTCCTTCGAAGACCAAAAGTTGTTATATGGGACTGTGTTATGTTTGATAACGTTTCAAAATTCGAATATCTCTTGGATTTCGTAGATGCCCGGTGTTGATGTGTGGATGCTAGTCTCTGTAATATCGAAACTGCTTTCGACTTCGTAGATTCCCACTGATGGATTCCTTGATTTTATGAATTCGAATTTTGAATTTGAGAGATCTGGTATTGTTGGAGATCTAGCTTCTCCCTCTCTTCTTTTTTTAAAGCTGGTGGTTGGACTGGCGGAGACTGGTTTACTGGTAGACTTTTCGGGACTGTTGGTGCCGTTGGAGCTGGCTTCCTGTCTTGGACTGTCTTTACTGCTGGTGGAACTGTCTGTTTTTTCTTTTCTTTTTCTGGGCCTCGAAGAGGTCATTCCTTTCGTGAGTGGCCAAGCTTCTCACATCTAAAGCATGGAGAAGGTTGGCCTGGCGTTACTACTCTAACTCTCGCGTCTCCGTAGTGGGCTTTGGGTATTTCTTTTACTTTCTTATTTGGGATTTCTATCTCAACTTCTCTGATTCTTTTGTGGACATTCGTATTACTCAGCCGGAGGTCTTTGAAGGATCTTACTTGACATTATTTCGATGAAGTATTCATCAGAGTAGGAGACTGGGAAGTCATATACAGTGAGGGTGAGAACTTTGGCGAAACGTTTGTGGAAGCGGTAGGTTATTCCCATGTGGGTGTGGTTCTCTGCCTCGAGGAATTTTGTTTTGGTTTCTTTAGTGCGTACGTGTACGTGCCATTCTTCCTCTTTCAAGTATATAGTTAGGATGTCTTCCCACTTGCCGAGCAGGTCGGTCAGGCACTTTACCACGTGACGCAGATCACGTGCCAGTGATTAATACTCGTAACGTTTATACAATGATTTCCCTTTATACTTCGAAACGAGGGAAATTTTAATTCATGAGCATTGAAGCGTTTTACGGTGTATGTGGTTATACAGAGAGGAGGCGAACTTTTTGACCCGCATAAATATTTTCTTTTATTGTTTTGATTTTCATTAACGCGTTGGTTAATTCTACGTGTGAAGATGGATACAGAAAAGTCTAAAGATTATAAACTATCATTTCAAGATATAAATATTTTTATCAATAAGACACAGATATTACATAATGTATGTGGAGATGTACACAGTAAAGAATTACTGGCTGTCATGGGACCAAGTGGTGAGTTTTTATACTCTCATATTTAAAATTGTGTAAATTTCTAAAGGGTTTTCACAGTTTTATATTTACAGAGTTTTCTGAGTTGAATGATAAGCATTTCCCAGGTACGCTAAGCAGAAATGGGCGGAGGTGGCGGGCGGAGCATTCTGCAGAGATGAACGTACCGAGAATAAATTGTGTTTTTTGAGCGAGAATAAACAATAACTACACAAATAAGGGATTAGGAATATTCTTTATTTCATCATAATGAAT